TTTAAACAATCATTTCACACCAGATAAGAAAGTTATATAGCCACATGTGGTTGGCATGTGTCAGGGATGTGATTTATGGTGATTTGAGTTAACACAGTGGTCACGAATTGTCACTTTATAGCATGGTGCAAGAAACATACATTGTGGGAAACTTGTCGCACAACACGGAATCAAAATCGAAAAAGTTCTTAAGTTCATGTTCCAGACCGTTCCGGGGCATTGTGCGACATAGTCGTACTAGAAACCTAGGATCATGGGTTCGAATCCAAAATTGGACTTGACTTTTTTTGTATATGTTTCGTTGTAACTCAACAACATTTAACAAGCGAGTGAGTTTCGGCACGGTGGTGAAGATATAATGTCCTGCATAGCTTAGAATTCTCGACATTACGCTCACAGGTGAAAGGCTAAAATGTTGTTGAACGCAGCTTTAAAACCAAACTCACTCAAGTAAAACAGATCGAAAGCTCTATTTCGGAGTGAGCCAATGCTCTTGGTATTAAAAATATAACATGTTTTGTTGTATTTTGTAAATGTATTGCGCGATAGCCCAGTTGTATAGGGCGTTGTAGAACGTCATTCATTAGTGTTCCAGGTTTGTTGTTTGAGTGAGTGAGTGTAGTTTTACGCCGCACTCAGCAATATTCCAACTATATGGCGGCGGCCTGTAAATAATCGAGTCTGGACCACACAATCAAGTGAGCATGCATTAGCATCGATCTACGCAACTGGGATACGATGACATGTGTCAATCAAGTCAGCAAGTCTGACCACCAGACATGGGTTACTGAAGATTAATTCTAACCCGGATCTTTACGGGTTTCCAGCTATGTGGCGGGTAAGTAAATCTAATCTTAACAAAGGTAGGTGAAAAGGGACGCGTGCATGTTTGCGTGTGTAAGTGTGTGAGTGAGTGCATGCATGCCGATCTGTCAGCTTGTCCGGCGTTAACGCCTGTTTTATAGCGATTGTACCTCAGAGCCCATAGTGCATTTTAACACTTTTACCCTACCCAGATACCGACGACACCATGTGTTATGCCTTTAACGCCGAGTTACAGGCAGGGTAATAACATGTACCATTTTGTATCACGTTTTGGGGATATGGATAGGCTGGGTATCGGACCAAGAGTACACAGACAGAAGTGTGTTGATGTTTATACAATAAGACCTAAATAATCCAGAGCCCTTTTAGTCCGGAAGATCGTCTTCCGAATGGAGGGGCTGTAAGGTCGTCTAGTGGTTAAAAAACGCTGACTTTTCACGCCGAAGACCTGGGTTTTGATTCCCCACATGGGTACAATGTGTGAAGCCCATTTCTGGTGTCCCCCGCCGTGGTATTGCTGGAATATTATTAAAAGCGGCGTAAAGCAAAACTCACTCCATGCTATGGTTCAGGCCCCCGGTACATATTGCACGTGTAAGTATGATAACATTGATATTCTCTGTTATTTCTTTTATTTCTTCTTATTTTATGGTAATTTTTCAAAATACGTCGTGCATTTTATCATTGTATATTATGACTTGGTTTTGCTGCTTCATCGGTTGATCTGTTCCTAGGAACATCAAATAAAGCTTCCAACATCCTCTGTGGTAATGTTCGGTAACACCAGCATTTTCTTCGCTCTGGTAAATTATGATTTTTATGTTTTCAAACAATCGCAGTATTTCGTCACAAAGTGCCAACTCCCCAACGGGCCATGGTCCCAACCCCCACCCTGTCTTCCTTCCTCAACAAGTGGGGCGGTGGGGTAGCCTAGTGGTTAAAGCGTTGGCTCGTCACACCGAAGACCCGGGTTCGAATCCTCACATGGGTACAATGAGTGAAGCCAATTTCTGGTGTTCCCCGCCGTGATGTTGCTGGAATATTGCTAAAAGCGGCGTAAAACCAAACTCAGTCAGTCAGTCAGTCCTCAACAAGTGAGTGAGTGAATGAGTGAGTGAGTGATTGAGGCTTTAAGTCTTTTGTTTTACAGTGGCTTCGTTAAAGTAAATCACCACCGATTGACATCGGTCACTCACTCACTCACTCACTTTATTGAAATACTGTCCAGGGCCCCATTCCACAAAGCTCTCGTTAGCCTAAGATCTCGTAACTTTCCTCGTAGCATTAATACCTTCTATAACTGTAACCCTGCCTTAAGAGAGCTTTGTGAAACGGGGCAAGGCCCAGGCCCACCCACTCACTCACTCACTCAAAACGTTTTGCCACACATACACTTTATGTTCCTCTGACATTCAATTAAATCACCGGCGTTCAACAACAAAGGGCGATTATCCCAATCAGCGTCTGTCTCACCTGAAGTAATTACCTGTAATGACGGAAATCACCGGGCGGTCTCATCTGGATCAGGGGATCGACAGTGAGTTTATGAATGTCTGTTGAGTCGATCGATATCCGAGCAGAACAGAGGTCACCAGAGCGTTCCCCTGCTATCATAGGAGTGATACAGATAAATATAGTAGACTACTTTTATCACGAACTCAAAGGTTTAATTCGTTATAAACATACTAGGTGATACGTATTTGGACTAAAATATACAGCAAGTGGCCCGCACAAAATTCGTTATATCCGTCAGTTCAATATAAGCATGTTCGTTATAACGTAGTTTAATAATGTCATAGGAGGGATAAAGTGAAATACAATAAACAATTATTATAACGAACTTAAAGGGGCCACCAATTTTACTTCGTTATAACCGTAGTTCGTGATTCTTCTTTCGATAAAACAAGTAGCCGTAGGGTAAAGAAAATCTTCGTTTTATCCGTCAGTTCGTTATAGGAGGCATAAAGTGAAATACAATAAACTATGATTATAACGAACTTAAAGGGACCACCAATTTTATTTCGTTATTACCGTAGTTCGTGATTCTTCTTTCGATAAAACAAGTAGCCGTAGGATAAAGAAAATCTTCGTTTTATCCGTCAGTTTGTTATAAGAGTTTATCATAACGTAAAATGTACATCATATGATATTTCTATGATATAACACAAAACACAGTTTGACAATGACACATGCTCCAGGTATGATCATAAGGGTGAGCTTTACTCTACGATAAGAAAACCCATCCAGAAAGGCAAAAGATTTGGTAAATAAATTACATATTATGCTTCAGTCTCACACCAGTGTTTAAACCCATCATGATTTGGGTTAGAATTGATTTTCAGCAACCCATGCTTGTCGTAAAGGCCGACTAAGGGGATCGGGTGGTCAGGCTCGGTTGATGCATGTCATCGTATCCCAACTGTGTTGATCGATTCTCATAATGGCAGTCATAGGGTTGTCTGGTCCAGACTCGATTATTTACAGACCGCCGTCATGTTGCTGGGTGCGACGTTAAACAACACCTAACCAGTGTTGTAGAGTATCCCTGACCTAACTAACCAACAACGGTGTTTGACGGTACGTGTTGCACCAGGTTGGGTATAGAACCGTGTATGAATGTGTATGTTTATAAGTGATTTGAATATTTGTATCTAAATATTAGGTGTAATATGCTATATGTTTAGGGAAAAGTGTTTGAAATAGGCTACCATTTCTTTGGGGAAATAGATGTTCTTCAATTGACGCGTTTGTCACACAGGTTAGAACAACAGGTGTAACGGTTGTGCAACGTACCTCACCAACAACAAACAAATATACAAAACCAGTCTTGATTTAGTGAGTGAGTGAGTATGGTTTTATTAATATATCAGCAATGTCATGGCCGGGGACACCAGAAAAGGGCTTCACATATTGTACCTTGGGGAATCGAATCGGGTGATGAGTGAACGCTTTAACCACTCAGCTACCCCACCGAATTATCTCAGTGGGAACGGAGTGGAGCGGTTCACTTAAACCAGACCATATTTCACAGAAATCGTGACGACAAATGACGCTGTATATTTGGGAAATGAAAGGGGTAACGAATATCGCGAGGTTAGTGCTTGCGTCGATGTAGCCAAAGGGAGGTAATTCTTCCCAAACAGAAGCGTTTGCCTTAGTTATTTTACGCACGCTTCTCATGATCTTTGATTTCGTGACATCGTGTAAAGTAGTGAGTAGTTTTAATGACGGGGTTTCATTTATAACGATGCCAATAAATGAGTTATGTATTTGCACCCCTTCTAGAGTATATGTGATCTTTAAGATGGACTCCCAAACGAAAGGGGGTCCAACTCAAGCCTAGAATCGAGTTGTGCAAGTCTGGATTGTCTTAGCTCTAGGCATGAAATGAAGCATTTTATTTTTCTGGGCCACTTTTCTTTTCTCTGTTGATATATATTTTTAAGTTTAATAACTTCATTTCTGGGACTAAATGTCTGAGTAAAAGTACAATTATACTTACTTGTCGGGAGTTGGGTCACTGTACTATCCGGATCCGCCTGTTCTGTGTTTGAATCTGAGCTTAGTCTTTTGACGTCATTTGCTATCGTAGGGCTCTTCAGACACCACTTGTTATGAAGGTTTAACGAATACGACCACACGCGCGCGCGTGGTAGGGGATTATTCATTTGCTAATATTTGAACTTTATTATGTTAAAGATATGTATGAATGCATAAACGTCATTACGTTTTGGTTTGTGTGAGTGAGTGAGGTTAGTTTTACGCCGCACTCAGCAATATTCCAACTATAAGGCGTCGGTCTGTAAATAATCGAGTCTGGACCAGACATTCCAGTGATCAACAGCATGAGCATCGATCTGCGCAACTGTGAACTGATGACATGTGTCAACCAAGTCATCGAGCCTGACCACCCGCGATCCCGTTAGTCTTTTGGCATGTGTGTGCATGTTTGCGTGCGTGGGTGTGTATTATGAAAAAAATGTGCGTATATATATGAGTAATTGTTTGGATGTGCATAATTTAGAGCGATTACGAGTGTTGTCTATGATTTGAACTTTTAAACAGCGCGATAATATACATAAATCTCACGTAAATCACAAAAATTTATTAGCGGTCCGCACCTACCGTCCAATCTCTTTTTATCTCGCCTGTTCCGAGAGTCGTGCGCAGAAAAGTGCGTCGCGTCGTTAGCATCGGAAAGCGCCTATGGCGACACGGGCGAAACTTTGTGAATGTTTTGGTTTGCTGCATAGACTTACCCGATAATGACATGACAAATATCGCATGGATTTGACAGTTTGTACAGCTTGTAGACTGAACTCAGTGCATTCCGTTCGACAAATTGTGGCGCTGTAATTATTCTTGGTAAGTGTCGAATGTTGTGTTATCAAGCAGAGAACTTTTGAAGTTGACAGACCGAATCGCGACCTCTGTGATATATGTTCCAGTGCCTAATGTTTTGGGTTCTCGAAGGTCATCTACGGAGATTGAAACAGTCTGTGTTTTCGTAATCATGCTAATGTATTAAAGATAGATTGAGGTGTGGTTAAATTGCAATGAATTTATAAAAGGTGAAAAGAAATTTACCTCTATTTAGTCGTAATACATTTAAGAGTGATGTGATTTGGTGCAAGATTGTTTTCCCCCGTAGTCATTAGAGCGTTTAGTGAGTGTTGATTGTTGATCAGTATAGTTCCAAATATGAACTGGTCAATCACCTATGTCCTAGTAAACTCCCAAATGGCACCTAATGCCCTAACTATTAAGTGACTGTAATTTTTTATCTAGCTTTTTCACACTTGTGGAACTTATTTGTCAGAATGGATTATCTCAGTATCATGGTTGCTAGTGCACAGTTATTTCATGGTCTTTTTGTTCTCATGCATTTGTGTGAAATTGATATATTGGATCTCGACTGATTTACATATGTAACTGTAGATACATAGTGTATTTTCCACAAATCTTTAATGTGTTTATGTCACTACTTTGAAAAGAGTTATAATGTGTCCATGGGTGAGGACAGAATTGGAGCCAAAGTACAGCATGAAATAACATACCGATAGTAGGTGGAAATATTCCTTGTGAATGTGTCTTTTTTGGATTAAAAATTACTTATCTATAGTTTGGGAATCTTAATTTTTAAATGAGTAATAAAAAATACTTGCTGAAGTTGCAGAATTTAGAACTTGAATGAGTGCTGAAAACAACATAATGCACCTTAATGATCATTGCATTTAAGTAAATCAGGAAAGTCACTTCTTAAGTTAAGTTAAAAGAGCTACTGACTGGAAAGTGGAATGTTGGTGATTAGATCCATAAATACCAAAAGATGGTACCCATAGTTACCCTGCCTGGCACTCAACATTAAGGGACTATAATGGACTGGTTGTTTCATCAGTGAACTCTGAGTAGGATATTCACTCGGCTAGGCACCCGTGAAGATCCTGGTTAGAACTGGTCTTATGCAACCCATGCTTGTCATAAGAAGCGACTAGTGGGATTAGGTGGTCAGGCTTGCTGACTTGGTTGAGACATGTCATTGTATCCCAATTGTGTATTCGATGCTCATGCTGTTGATCACTGGCTGGTCTCGACTATTTTCAAACTGGCGTCATTTAGCTGGAATATTGCTGAGTTTGGCGTTAAACAATAAACAAAAACCCAAAACAGTTGTATAAACTTATGAAACCTACCGCTATCTTTAGTCCGGGCTAATAAAAGCAGGCACAGGCATATGCTTGTACATGCACATGGCTATAAAAGTGAAATAATCTTCAGTACAACATTTAGCCCCATCTCACTTCGCTACCTTCTGCTGGAAATACTGCCTTGTTTTCCAAACAATAGGAGGGGTACATGGACGACACAAACAGGACAAACAGTTCAGGCTGAGTCTCTCATTGATTTGGGATTTACAGACTAGATATCTGTCAATCAACATATGATTCCATATGTTTGTAAGAAATGGATTGGGCACAAGTTTTCACAATTTAAATAGCCCTCTCCCAAAATATTTACATGATTACCATTAAATAGTATCACAATTGAAATTTCAAGAGTATTGAGAGAGAGATGTAGCAGGAACGAGAATTTTACATTTATCTAAATCTATAACTGTCAATTGTATACTTTTGTACAGAATACAGCAACTGAATATTTGTTTTAGCTCAGTCTGGAGCTGCCATTTAAAAATATTGACATATGAGAGAGTACCTTGTTTTCACAATTGTCAGTAATGCTATCAAACATTATATTTCTTGAAGTGTGATAAACATGATAAAATAAACGTTTTATTAAGATAAATGTTTTCTAATGGTTAACTACAAAGTGAGTTAGATTTGTCTATTAACGTGAGTAAACCAATTCTGAATAAGTGACTGAGGTAATTTTGAATAATTTTGACTGAGAGTGTGGTTAGTGTATTTTGTAAGCAATTTTTTCTACTTCTTTAAACACAAGAAAAATAAGAAGGCACACATTTAGTTACTATTTGATTTTAAACAAAGTAAATGTATACTAAGTTACATAGTAACCTTTGCAGCATTATCAATGAATCAAACATGTTTTGTTGACCAGTGTATACTGGTAACTCAACCGATATATATATGTCTCCCTGGGCCTCTATCGGCCTTGAAATGTATTGCGTAATGCACATTTATCAACAGTCGTTTCGTGATTAGATTAGTTTTTAAACATACTGCTGAAATTCTTTCACTTAAAAGCAATGTGAAAACAGCTGCGTGCCTGTGCTCTGTTGTCATGGTTATTGTAAGTCACATTCTCTTTGATTGTTTGTGCAATCTTTCTTGATGTTTTAGAAAGCAGAGGTTTTCAATTCATTCTATTATTTTTATTTATTATAACATGTAAGAATATGCTTGTGGTAAACGGAGAACAACAAAGAATTGTGTAACTTTGAACAGGGAAAGCCATACTTTGATGTATATTGTGGATTGTTGCATGAAAGAAGATTGGTCAGGTGTAGCTTGATGCACAGGGACTGAAGCGTCAGTCTCAGTATATGCCTTGATGCTGTTTTTGTGTGTTTCAAGCACTGAAGGGGTCGTTGGCATATACAGGAACATACCCTAGACAAAATCTGAAAACAGAAACATACCCATTCTGCATTGTGCCATTTCTTGATCGGAACTGCCCCCTATTGTATTAGATGTATTTATTTGCGTCATATAAGATATGAGCATACACAGTACTGAATAATTTGTTATACATTATACCACTTGCAATCAGATGAATGGGAAAACTGCATACGTTTTGGGTTGTGGAATATCGACTCTTTCCTCCTCCAAACCACACCCCACCCCCCCTCTTAGGGTATTGGGTACGTTTCTGTATTTTGAATTTGTTTAGGGTCCATTTCTGTATACATACTTGGGGTACATATCTCCATCACCCATGCCGACAACAGCCCTTTCAGCGTTACAAGCCCATGTGGTTTGAAGCAGTGTATTTGTTGGCTGCATTGGGCCATGTTGGGCAGCACTAGTGGTGTGATACCAGCATATCCTGTGTCAAACCTCAGTGACAGCAAGTTATTTATTGACTCATTGTTCCATGTACTGGTCTAGGTACATCAAAGTTTCTGCATGAATACATCATCCTTGTCAACATGACTTTACTTAAGGTGATAGTGACATGAAGTGTTGCCTGAGTCATACTTATGTCAATATGACTTCAGTATGAGAAAACAACCAACAAGCATGGGCCCAATTTTCCATTGGGTGTTATAACAGCTGTCCCTGATAATCTTATTGATTTTTTGATAAAATACAGCACAATGATACTTTTTTGGTATTTCTTCATTATTTACCATGTTTGCAGGACAAAAACAATTGTACAAAATTATATATCAACATTATCATTGTAAAAGTGGCTGATGAATTCAATACCTGCAAATATGTTTTGTTTAGGTTTATCAGTAGATTGGTTTGGTATTTATTTTATGAAGCATCACAACTTCATGAAGGAAATTGTTGCAAGTAACAATGATTGAAAGAAGAATTGATAGGAACATTGACTAAATGCAGTGATTGAAATGATTCTTCTGACCTTCATACTTCTTCATGTAAATGGGGCTGTGGGGTAGCCTAGTGGTTAAAGCGTTAGCTTGTCACGCCGAAGACCGAGGGTTCAATCCCCACATGACATTGAAAGCTCATTTCTGGTGTCCCCGGCCGTGATATTGCTGGGATATTGCTGAAAGCTGCGTAAAACCAAACTCACTCACTCACTTCATGTGAATTCTAGTTTGTTATGATACTAATGTTAAGTATAAATTATATTGAGAAAGATGATGAAAGTGATGTCCGGAGCTAAATGTTGTTTATATGACGTTACCAGGAGTGATTATATCTTTTCTTCGAATTCTCTGAATGTCTTAGAAATAAATGTTTGGACCATAGGAGTGAGTGGGTATGGTCTTACACCACCTTTAGCAATATCCCAGCAATATTACGACAGAATTGGGCTTCACAACTTGTACCCATGTAGGGAATCGAACCCGGGTCTTTGGCATGACAAGCGAACACTTTAACCACTCGACTACCCAATTGCCCCTATAGATCATGGAGGCTGTAGTATGTTTATTGTTTCTTAAACTAGATGAGGTTGTCAACAGCCTGCACAGGTTGGCCCTATGTTAGCATTGTTATCATGGTGAAACTGTTTACAGAACCTGGTGGAATGTGGAAAGTAATTAGTCTAGGAGCTGGCCAGTATAGTGACCCAGTGTTGCCACTCTCAGTATGGGTCTGCTTGTAATCTGGAGATCGGACTTAGAAATGGGTTAATCAATGGCTGTGCTATCAGGCAGACCTGGGTTCAGGGATAGAGTACCTGTAGTGAACTAGCCTGAGCACCTGGACTGCTAGACGACACACGCAGTAGTGGTTGGGACATGCTGTTACCATTGCCACACCACTCTCCTTGGGTTTACATCTGTCATGGTATCTACACAGCTATATGATGGTAGTGTTGATGAAGATAAACACTGTTTACGCCTGGTGTTTGAATTAGCAGTCTGGGTCCTCTTTCATGGAGTGATCAGAACACTGTGATATTGTCTTAGTCTATCTTAAAGTATAGGAGTTAAAACAATCCCAGCAGTATAATCACTTTGTGAAACGGGGAGATAGAATGTAATGTCAATCTTTGTACTAACTACTATGAATACACAAAGCCATGTAGTAAATGAGTTTGGTTTTACGCCGCTTTTAGCAGTATTCCAGCAATATCACGGCGAGGGACACCAGAAATAGCTACCCTCCACCAATGCCATGTAGAGTGTACTCAGTAAAGTAGATTTTAGCATTATTAAGCACACAAAAATAAGAAACTTTAAAGGTGTTTGGTTGAGTGGATTTCAGTGGCTAAGACACAAAGAAAAAATGAATGTGAACCTGTAGCAATGCACTTTGGATGAACAAACATTTGGAAGGACCCATAATATTTATCGTCGCCAGCTTTGGGGACTGGTAGTTTCAAATACTGGCTGGATCACGATTCACACATGACTTATCAGGATCTACAAGGCTACCTTGTAATGTTGTAGGTAAAATATAAGGCTGTCATGCGACTCACTCTTTTAGAGTCAAAGGTAACCATGGCAACATAGGGTGAGTTGAAATTGCTGAGTTTTGATGATATATACATGAAATTCATATTTTGGTGAGTGCTGTCTCTACTGTGGAGATTACTGTTGAAGGGTGCACAGGATGCATGCATTTGTCCTAGCCAGAGGTGTTGAACTAAAACAGAAACTGCAGCATGAGGTATCTGGCGTCATGGTGCTTGTTTAGAAATTGCTCTGCGTTGGACCTTTTGGGGAGCATGTGTTCTTACAAACAGTTAGTGATGTCTCTGCCAAAATTTTATGTCTGCTTGCCTGATTTTCGCTCTTACTCTCAACATTATTATTTTCTTATATTTCAGTGTTGTCGTATAGCGTTTTATTTGATAAGGGAAAAAACTGTACAGAAATATACAAGACTCCGGTTTTGGACTAGTGGCTAAAGTCACAGACTTGAAAAACGTGTAAGGGAACCAGAGGAGTAGGTTTATGGACTTACAGTTACACAATGTTTGAAATAAATAATATTGGATAAGAGGTTCAAGTTTCACAGTGAGTTCAATGTTGTGGTGATATTTTCTCCCCCCTAAGTGTCATGTGCCATGATGTTTGTATGTGTTTCCTTGGTTATAGGGGTTCTTTATAATGAATATATTTATACCTATCAATCACATTGAATTCATATTTGAAATTGATCAAGTTGTTTATTTATATCTGAGTATTAGAACTCGCATTATATGAGCAGATTGATTATTAATGGCTATAAACGACTTCAGTGAGCTTGTAACTTTGAGATTAGCTCAGCCCACAGTGAAAGTACCTGTTGACTTGCCACGAGCTATAACAGGGGACACTGTGGAGGATTAAGAGCAAGCCAATGTTATACAATAAGGAATAATACTGGTAGCATTATGCACAAGGTGCTTCAGATATCACAGTAATATATGCCCCGTGCTGTAGCTGATATTAAAAAGCCATGTCATTTTTACTGGGTGTATTTTTGAATATGAGCTATAGAATTCTGGTTTAATGATAGTATATGATAATAAGTGCTCAAGAACTGGTGAGTTTGAGTTGACCTCAAAAACCTAGAGTAGGTCAGTGTGGGTTCACAACAGTTTGGACAATAGTTTCTCTTGTTAATCTCTAGAGAGTATATGTTATTGCCATTCAGTGCCGAGGGTATCTTTAGAGAGTATCTTTTGTTACCGTGCAGTTGCAGAGAATAAGTTGGTAACATCAAATGGCAGAAAGTATCTTTTATGAACAAGCAATACTGGTGATCTTTTGTTAATACTTGTTCAGAAATATTGTTGGGGACAGAATTCAAATTGCCTCTTCTATTAAAATGTGATTTTGATATGTTTAATATCATCAGGGGACCTGCAGTATCATTCTGATACACTTTACAGAGAATGCAATATGATCATCATTGCATCTAATAATGTAATAATCTACATCTGATTGTTTGGAACTTATGCCCATTTTGTTGATACAAAAGTTATAAAAAAACATTGTTGTTTTGTTACAAAAGTAATCCCAAAAACCATGTTGTTTGTTGGGTGCTATTATCAACTTAGCAGCAGTTTTTTATGGACACCTTTAATGGTTATATAAGACCATTTATGGGATATTTTAAGGCTGTTTCTTGAAATTGAGATTTTTTTTTAGCTTGTCAGAAATTGTACCAGATCCTCCAGCATAAAACCACACTTTTAAAAGGTCTCAATGTATGATTTAGCCCAACTAGTCCACAAACCCAGGGGAAATGTAGTCTTGTTCAGAACTCCATCAATCTTTCAAACACTTCACAGTATTGTACTGGCTGACTTGCTTCAGGTTGTAACCCTGCCTCCCAGTATTGTACTGGCTGACTTGCTTCAGGTTGTAACCCTGCCTCCCAGTATTGTACTGGCTGACTTGCTTCAGGTTGTAACCTTGCTTCCAGTTGTAACCCTGCCTCTCTTGCCTCCCAGTGTTGTAGTGGCTGACATGCTTCAAGTTGTCACCCTGCCTCCCAGTGTTGTAGTGGCTGACTTGCTTCAGGTTGTAACCCTGCCTCCCAGTGTTGTAGTGGCTGACGTGCTTCAAGTTGTCACCCTGCCTCCCAGTGTTGTAGTGGCTGACTTGCTTCAGGTTGTAACCCTGCCTCCCAGTGTTGTAGTGGCTGACTTGCTTCAGGTTGTAACCCTGCCTCCTGACAGCTTCAGGTTGTAGTGGCTGACTTGCTTCAGGTTGTAACCCTGCCTCCCAGTGTTGTAGTGGCTGACTTGCTTCAGGTTGTAACCCTGCCTCCCAGTGTTGTAGTGGCTGACTTGCTTCAGGTTGTCACCCTGCCTCCCAGTGTTGTAGTGGCTGACTTGCTTCAGGTTGTAACACCCTGCCTCCCAGTAGTGTTGTGTTGCTGACTTCCCAGTGTTGTAGTGGGTTGTAACTTGCCTGCCTCCCAGTGTTGTAGCCTCCCAGTGTTGTAGTGGCTGACTTGCTTCAGGTTGTAACCCTGCCTCCCAGTGTTGTAGTGGCTGACTTGCTTCAGGTTGTAACCCTGCCTCCCAGTGTTGTAGTGGACTGACTTCTGCCTCAGGTTGTAACCCTGCCTCCCAGTGTTGTAGTGGCTGACTTGCTTCAGGTTGTAACCCTGCCTCCCAGTGTTGTAGTGGCTGGCTGACTGCTTCAGGTTGTAACCCTGCCTCCCAGTGTTGTAGTGGCTGACTTGCTTCAGGTTGTAACCCTGCCTCCCAGTGTTGCTTCAAGGTTGTAGCCTCCCAGTGGTTGTCTGACTTGCTTCAGGTTGTAACCCTGCCTCCCTGTGTTGTTGTGGCTGACTTGCTTCAGGTTGTAACCCTGCCTCCCAGTGTTGTAGTGGCAGTGTTGTAGTGACTTGCTTCAGGTTGTAACCCTGCCTCCCAGTGTTGTAGTGGCTGACTTGCTTTCAGGTTGTAACCCTGCCTCCCAGTGTTGTAGTGGCTGACTTGCTTCAGGTTGTAGTGGTTGACCCTGCCTCCCAGTGTTGTAGTGGCTGACTTGCTTCAGGTTGTAACCCTGCCTCCCAGTATTGTAGTGGCTGACTGTTGTAGCCTCCCAGTGTTGTAGTGGCTGACTTGCTTCAGGTTGTAACCCTGCCTCCCAGTCCCAGTGTGACGTGCTTCAAGTTGTAACCCTGCCTCCCAGTGTTGTAGTGGCTGACTTGCTTCAGGTTGTCACCCTGCCTCCCAGTGTTGTAGTGGCTGACTTGCTTCAGGTTGTAACCCTGCCTCCCAGTGTTGTAGTGGCTGACTTGCTTCAGGTTGTCACCCTGCCTCCCAGTGTTGTAGTGGCTGACTTGCTTCAGGTTGTAACCCTGCCTCCCAGTGTTGTAGTGGCTGACTTGCTTCAGGTTGTAACCCTGCCTTCCTGTGTTGTCCTGACTTGCTTCAGGTTGTCACCCTGCCTCCCAGTGTTGTCCTGGCTAATATCAATATTTATGTTCAACAAACTAATACAGGTAGTATTTCATGGTATAGTTCCTGCAATTTAATGATTTATATAAATTGAATCGATCCTGTGCATAGCTTTATTGACAATTTTGTGAGCATTATGACAAAAAGAATAAACATAAAGATATTGTACACTAGGTTCATTTGTTTACTTTTTCTGCGACAAATGTAATGCAGGTTATGGATTGTTTGCTGGTGTTATTGCTGCACACCGCATGTGTCGTGTGTTCTTGTTGTCTCTCATTGAAGTCAGGACTGAGAGTGAAACATGGCTGCATCTCCAGGCACACATGCCATTACATTGTTTTGACAACAGGTTGGCCTCTCACATAGTGTCAGTGCATGGCGTTGTCACCATATCTACCTGGATGCAATGTGTGGCTCTTGTTAAAAAACACCACCTTACTCGGCAGTGATTGTGGCATGAAATATTGAGCCCTTAACTGTTGAAAAACAGATGTTCGTTGCCGCTTGTTAATGATCAATTTGCATGGTTAAAGTCTCTCAGTGGTAACCTATGGTAGCTGCACTAGTCAAATTCTACTTAACATGGCTAAGTGTTGACAAGGAAAATGTAAATTGCATGTTATCAGATTTGTTTTCAGCTCATTGTTTCTAGGGTCAAATTTCTTTTTTTGCTGTGCTCATTACAGCCTTGAAGGTTTTAAATGGAGGATTTGACATTATGTCGGTGCAAGGTTATGTAGGAGTTATTGGTGACTTGCTGATACGTGAACTGCATGCTTTGACTGTGAGATTCTGGAATAAATACGATAGCCATTGTAGGACCATACACGTCACGGCTTAGTGCCACTGTTGCCTTACTTTGAAGCTGAGCTGTGAAAGGAAGTTGGGAAAGATTATAAACACTGTCATGTATACCTGTATGTTCACAGATTGAAAGGTAATTCAATGTAATTATGTCTTGTTGAGTGCTATACCAGGACGTGTAGCCGTTCAATAATAGACTACGGGTTGAGTGGCCAGATAGTGATTCTCGTACACCCTATTCTGTGCATGTGGAGGTCTTCAGGGAAATCTTGTGTGGAAAGGTTATGAAATATTTGAGTAAGTGTGGTGGTGGTGATCAGGTTGTAATTCCTTGGAGGTGAGTGCTGTCACGGAGGCATTCATCAACTCCGACGTTACACGCTCTGACAATCACTCTAGATTTATGAACAGCTCTTATTTGAGAGCTATAGGTATGGGGATATTTGGCAAGTAAATTAAGTGATTGCAGTGTTTTGAAGGATTTGATCGGTCAAATCTTGACGGTCTGTTATTGTGCTGAGTTGGAGAGAACAGAACAGGTAGGGGTCAAGTCAGTTTCTTATTGACTAGCATGCTGGGAGATTAGGCGTGGATTTACTGCTTTATGGAGGTGTGTTTTGGGTTGACTCCATATCTAAGCTGCTATTCACAATGGTGTAAGCTCTCAGTGGGTAATCAACCAAACATTCCTTGCACTTGGAGTTGTTAAATAGATTTTGTTTTCAGTCTGTTTTGTACATGTTGTTCAAATAATATGTTGTTTTGAACACTGTGAAGTATCCATTGCTCATCAATTTGCTGATGTTAATGAAATTGGTTTTCTATGAAAGAAAATCATGTAATTTGTATTGAACACTTTTCGTTTAGAAAATTCTTAAGATATTATATTATCATTTCATGATCCATTATTATGTTATTGGACTGGTAATCATGTTTATCATGTTTTATCTTACCATACACAGGAATGTAAGATTCTCGTTAAATGAGAACTATTCTTATATTTTCCATGCTCACATGTAAAATATATTTGTTATATTCCCAGTTTTACTGACAAAATGTCGACATGATATTTGCAAAATAGCATCATCTATTTTATATATTTTGATGTAGGACACATTGCTCTAGATGTTTATACTATTTTCAGAAGGAATTAGATATAAGTGGAATAGCTCCAGGTTTGTTTTCTGCCACATGAAAGTGAGTAAATGTGTAACCATGGTATTCTTATGGATATGCACCAAAGCATTACCTTCAATATAACTATGTGTGAGGTAACATCACTTCATTGTCCACTGATCCCTTGTGTGTCCCTTAAAACCAATGTACAACTTGTAATTTATCAGTGGTATATATAGAGGATACTAAACGACCTTCCGTGTAATACCATTTTTATGAAACGAGTTAATGATTTGGTATCAAACGAGTGAAAGCGAGTTTGATGCTAAATCTTTCACGAGTTTAATAAAAATAGTATTTCACGGAAGCAAGTTTAGTATTCTGTTTATTACCCTCCAACATAAACTGATAGAAACAGCCTACGAAGTGTGATGACTCTCAGCTTTCCACGAGTCAAGTAAGGTCCAATACAATTGTGACAGAAGTATTAGCATTGTGATGTCATAACTGTAAAACATTATGACGTCATACGTCTAGCGGTATTACACTAGTGTAATATTGTCGTAAAACTATTACACTGCAGTATCTTCCACGGGCGAGTAATAAACCTTTAGTATTGAGAAAGTGTACAATATTACTGACCGAACAGCGATGAAATGTATGTCACCATCATAGCTCTAGGCCTCTTGTGTTCTCTTTATTACCAGGAACTTGTGCTGAAGTTGGTACTGAATCTATGATACCATATACAATGTCAAAATTGTTCATATTTCCAAGACCGCCTCCGTGGTGTGGTGGTTAGAGCGTCCGCCCGGAGAGCGGAAGGTCGTGGGTTCGATCCCCAACCGCGTCATACCAAAAAGACGTTAAAATATGGTACTTGTTGGTCCCTGCCTGGCGCATTAATGGGTACAACAAGGACTGGTCAGCTCGGAGTCAGTATAATGTGTCTGAGTGGGGTATTCATGCTTCACTGCGGCATGGTATCTCAGTGGGCTAGCACTATAAAACCAGCTTAAGTCTGGGCTAGTACAAGCAGCCACACATACACATACACATGCATGCACGTCGTCATATGAGCGAAATATTCTCAAGCACGAAGTAAAACCCAATTTCACCTCACCTCACCTCATATTTCCAAGGAAAGAATTCCCACCAAAATTGTGTCACCTGTATGCCAATACCATTGAATGCAACATGTGACTATGTTTTGGATGCCGATAAACACCAATTCATTATTTACCTTTGTGTTAATGTTTTTTCCAGAGTGAACTAATTGTAGGTATTTTGGTGGTGGTGGTTTACGAGCAACTACTTAAGCAGTTAGGTGGGGCATTAAATATTCCTAGGTTGTAGCTCAGTAACCTGGTACAATCTGATCCTGAGCTTGTCGCACACAGATTGCTGATAAGTCCACAAGCCAATGCAGTGGGACTATATTGCCAGTACACCAAATTACTGCACACTTCACCTGGCACAAATCACTGGTAGGTTTCAACCACCAGACATGTACCAGTACGCCAAGCAATCTGAAGACACCTCACCTGTATGACAGTCTGACTTTGATGTTGTTATCTCTCTGAACTAGCCATTCTGGGGAGCCATGTGTGTAATTGCCCTTGAATCGATGAGGTACATGATTTGATTAACACTTGTTAAATCCTCTCGGCCGAGACACACTGGTGGGCAGGGACATAGTATTTGAATGTAGTATCCCTCCGAACTACAGATTTTATGTTAGGGTTATGGCTAGGATAAAAAATGCTTTTCATGCTTTATTTTAAACACTGGCATTTTACTTGATTAGCTTGGTTTAGGTATTTTATGACCTTGAAATTCAGGAATGTGGGTGAAAAAAATCTGATAAATTTATTGTTTTTTATAACTTTCCAATCTCAAAACGTTTAGAGATAACAGAATGTAAATATTTTGTATGTAATTTTATTGATGGTTATTTTTTTAAATGGTTATTGATACAAAAATCTGTAGACCAAAATAAAATGGAATTACAGTTGTTGACATCAGCGATATTAATGTCAAGAGTTCCTGTCATTTGCTTTTTCATGGTTTAATTCATATCATTGTTGTCACTACCATGGTCGCCAACAGTGACTGGTATTAGTTGTTTGGCTGTCGTTCTGTAGATCTGGGTTAAGAAAACATTCTGAAAGATTCCAACATACTCTCCAGTCAGTGACTCTTTAGTACAATGGTTTGATTTGTTTACAAAATATATCAAAAGTTAGAATTACAAAGAAAGCCTTTAATATTTTAATATGGACCGCTGCTGTTCCCCATATCATATTTATAATCATTGACAGCTGATTCATCATTTCATATTTGTTGAAGATATTGAAATAGTCAATGGGCTTACTACAAATGTGTAGTGCCTTATAACATGTACAGATAGACTCGTGTTCCTCCTCTTGAAATGTGGCCTTATACACAGTGTAAATAGTGCTTTTGATATTTCAGCCAGGATAAGCACATGATAAGAGAACGTTATTTTCAAGAAGTATGTATGAGCAGCCTGTTGCGAACAGTTATTCTACTATTTCACTATTTTCACCTTGTTGTGCTGCCATCTTGTCCAGTTCAAAGTAGTGGAGTAACTTGGTCTGAACTTGTTCAACTCGTATAAAATAGTCCACTCCCTTATTGGAAATGTTAATGTTGTTAGTGGAACTGAGATGTTTGTTCAGACAGGTTAGTAATGGACTGCTCGGCTATTTCTGAAGTCAGTCACCAAAGGGGCACCCCTTCCCTCAACAAACATGCACCTACAATAGGTTAAAAGGGTTATACAACTTATGGCAATTTTATCAAGCAGTTTACGCATTTGTCTACATACGGTAAGAATAGGTTGAGATTATTTTTTTCTGGCAAGCTTGTGCCTCAGTTGTGTATGTAAATAGTTTCTGTATTGATCAAATGCATCAAAAGCATTCACTCTAATGAGGTAAGGTATTACTGCTATTTTCAACTGTTTACCTTGAGTGTTGAATTTTCATAAATAGCCGAGTCAAATTGCCGACTTAAGTCCATGTCTTGACTTGGTTGGGAGAAAACGTTCTTGGGGATATCAGAATGTGTTTGTACATGATCTTTCCCAGTTATGTAAAAGAGATATTTTAGTTTCACTAGTCCACAAAAACCTTTTGCCAGTAAAGTAAGTGCTAGTTTATAAAAATACATGAAAGTCAAGGGGACCTTGATGTACTGTCAAAAATGATAGATTTATGTGGCCCTAGATTAAAGTAGTAAAGTGTAAATTCATGCTAAACATAATGAATAAGGAGTTAAAGGTACCTATATGTGTTATACCAAATATATAGGTGTCGTGCCATGCAGCAACTCTGTAGTATTGTATGTGTGGAGTACATTCAGGAGTGTTTGGAAAGCGTTGAGCCTGGTTTACATACAGTATTTAAATGCTGACATTTTCTAGTTGAGGTATTGTTTCCCTGCCTAAGCTGGGTCACCTAGCCAGCCAAGTAGGATTATCGTAAGCAATGGTGAGTGAGAGTTTCCAATAGCTAGGGCAGTAGTATATCACTGACTTTACTAGCAAGACCCAACATGTAGAACAATGACTTGTAACGCCTTTGCTTATGTCTGTATTTCTCATGTGTTTCATGAACATTGGGGATGTGTTTCTGCTTGCGTGAACATTGTTGTTTTAGAAATGTGAATTAATGGTTTCTAACTTGAGTTAATTTCATGGTTTCTATAAGAGATGTGGCTTATTGTATTCTGGTACACCTATGTCACTGAGTTGAGCCAACAAATGATGGCTTGTTCCTGTGTGCCTGATTCTGTGCTGAGGTTTGTCAACTTGAATATGTTTTGTATGTTAAAATACTTCAGTGTTGATCTAAGTTAGGTGTTACTTGTTGACATGTTTACTTTATACTTGATTGTTGTGCATGTTGTAGGCTTGATAAATGTTACTGGCTTCAGTGGAATGTTACTAGCATCAGTGGAATGTTACTAGCGTCAGTGGATTGTTACTAGCATCAGTGGAATGTTACTAGCGTCAGTGGAATGTTACTAGCATCAGTGGAATGTTACTAGCATCAGTGGAATGTTACTAGCATCAGTGGAATGTTACTAGCATCAGTGGAATGTTACTAGCATCAGTGGAATGTTACTAGCTAGCGTCAGTGGAATGTTACTAGCATCAGTGGAATGTTACTAGCGTCAGTGGAATGTACTAGCATCAGTGGATTGTTACTAGCATCAGTAGAATGTTACTGGCATAAGTGTTTACTAGCCAGTGGAATGTTACTAGCGTCAGTGGATTGTTACTAGCGTCAGTAGAATGTTACTGGCATAAGTGGAATGTTACTAGCATCAGTAGATTGTTACTGGCTTCAGTGGAATGTTACTAGCGTCAGTGGATTGTTACTAGCTTTGTAATGTTACAAGCTGTGTATAATGCACTGGTACCTGGTTGAGTCACAATGCAATGTTTCTTACCACAGTTTTACTTATCTCAATGCCTTGTTACTAGCCTTGATGTAGTATTTCTAGCTTCGGTGCATTGTTACTGGTTTCAGTGCAGTGGTATTAGCTCTAATGCAGTGTTACTAGCCTCAATGCACTGTATCTAACTTCAGTGCATTGTTACTTGCCTTAATGCTCTGTTACTAGCTACAGTGCTGTTACTTGCCTCAAAGCATTGTTACTTATTTTAATGCACTGTTACTCACATAAATGTATTAGCCATAATTCAGTGTTAATGGCCACAATTCAGCATTACTAGCCACAGAACATTTTAATAAGTCTCAGTGCAGTGTTACTAGCCTCATCTCCTGTACGGCATCTATGGTGAAAATATACTGATGGAAACAAATAAGGGAACACCACTTCATGGTAGTGTTCCTTTATTTATTATCAGATTTCTTCCCACAGCGCTATTCAAAGCTGGTGATGGAAACGGGAAAGTATTAAAAGAACGCTTGAATTTTCCTGTGTTCCTTTATTTGTTTCTCTCAGTATATATGTCCCTATCCATGCTATTTATCTGTCTGTGCTATTCAGTAGAGCTTAGCAAGGTAAATGTGTCAGCAAGAAATGGCCTGTCACAAACAGCATGAACAGTGTGACAGTTGCCTTGTTTATGATGTGCTGCCAGCAAGGGCTTTGATGTATTTCTCTACCTTAATTAACTGCCTACAAAAACATGCTGACAATGGAATATGGGGTGTCCATGTCTTTATTCATGGTTTCACAGAGGTGTCAACAGTGCAATATAATGTATACAAATAACACCCCGTGCAGGTTTTTAGGCTTAGATTGATCCATGGTGTTAATCATGGGAACCTCATTGTTATTGTGGGGGATCCATACTGTTTGTGAAGGGTCACTCAACCATGCCGGGACGACTGTGGACATAGTGGACAAGCTTCACTGAATCCACTGTAGTACTATCCAGGGTTTATTTGGTCTAGGAAGTGCTGAGCTGGTCACTTAGTCCGAGAGGTTTGACAGGTAGCCATGGGAGTATTAGGCTCACTTTCCAGTTTTTAGCTTAATGCCTTATTAGTTAACAATTGATATGGCAAGAAATTCCATGTAGGTTGTTAGGGAAAAATAATTTCAACTACCTGTTTTGTACTCCTACTTGTGAGGGGAAATCAGACCTGTAGGTGTCACCATCACAGAAGTACGAATGTAAACCGATACAGATGTTTGATTGAGTTTTTTGTAAGAAGAAATGTTTTGAACACACTATTCACCATTTTACAAACAGTGGTGATAACGTCTTGTGGCTTTGAGCTATATTTTCAGTAACTTTATCATAAGGACAACCATTATTATTAGGGCCTAAAATAAAAATGTTGTGGTTTCGATTACCTGACCGACCTTTGAATTCTCGTGCCGACCCTAATTTTTTTAAGCGGTATAAATGAAATAAGCTTTTAGATACCATTGTCTTTTCCTGGCACCGACGGACATCCGTCATTCTGATAGAGAGAGTTGACATGATGGCCGAAACCTTGATTGAATAAACAATTATACATTGATAAATGTGTAATTAGTTTGTACTTTACTTCGAAAATAAAATGTTTAAAAACAAATGCTACCTACCTACCCTAAATTTTAAAGAGGTGTAATCAGAACCACAATTTTTTTTTATTTGGCCTAGAGCTTTAATACCAGACTAAACAGAATTAGAATTGTCTGTGTCTTTGGACTAATGGCTGAAGCGTAAAGCCTATGTTATATGTTCAACATGATACACTTTGGTCTGTATGTTGACATGATATTTGTCAGGTTGTATGGACAAGGCAGTGTCCCTCGGTCTGTGCAAATGTATTTACCATCCACTTTTAAGTATGTCTGAGACAGGCCTATGATCATGATGATCCTGAGATGCTGAGGATGATTACAGCTGTTGTGTCTCTGAACTCTATATACAGAACCCTGATTCAGTTTAAACATGGCTCCATGTCATTTTCTACCTCCTAGTCATGTCTGCTAGTTTTATTTAAAACTTTGATTTGTGGTCAGTGTGCAGTATGTGAAATAGCGGGATAGTTTTTGCGGGGTGTGAATTTAAATAATAAATTTCACCTTCACCATGTACCCTTGTTGATCTACATTTTATTTTTTACTGTATTTTTCTCTGAAACGTCATTTTTCATCTTGTTCATAATTCTGAAATTCCTGTTTGTGATCTCAGAATTAAAGATTTGTTTACAGAAATCTGTTACAATTCTAAACATGTACTTCATATTGATAATGTCTGTTTGAGTTTACTGCCTGGCATTCATCATTATGAAGTACTCATGCTGTTTTGTGGTTTGCTAACCGATGTGTTCATGTTCTGTTTCCCTTTTGTCATGACCTTCAACAGAATGCAGGTGAGCTACAGAGCTTCTGACTCCATGTTGAAGTGTGGCCTGTGTAAGTGACTTGTGCTAGTAGTTATATCTGGAGACCTGGTGTTGGATATACAAGTACAGTCTACCGTGTCCTGCTGGGATATTTGATAGGTGTGTGTTATTGAGGCTCCGCTGATGGTTGCTGATGATTGCAGCCTATTTCCCTCCAGGAACTTACAGACTCGGGTTTCTTAGCCTTGTGTTCATTTCACAACAGTTGTGACATGATAATGGTTTGTGAAGGCCAGATAATGATGTTGTTGTTTAAATTAGGGTGTAACAATATGGCGGGCTTGCAATACTATACCGTTCAATACTATAGGCACGATATGATTTGTATCCTGGTACCATAGAAACAGTCCTTCTTTCTGTTGGCAGATAAACCACAACCCTGAATCATTAGCTTTTATATTTCAGAGATCAAAAATGGGATATTGTAGGGCAGAAAAATAAAGACTCCAGTGGTTACATGCCATATAAATACTACTGACTGACTGACTGAGTTTTGGTTTTACACCGCTTTTAGCAATATTCCAACAACATCACGGCGGGGGACACCAGAAATGGGCTTCACACATTGTGCCCATGTTGGGATTCGAACCCGGGTCTTAGGTGTAATGAGCCAACGCTTTAACCATTAGGCTACCCCCCCCGTTCCTCATATGAATACTAACAAATGGGCATAAGCGAGTGGTTGAACATTTTCATGTTTATTCCAATGTAACTTGTAATGCTTCCTATGTATCACAATACATGGGTTGCAGATTGATATGTTATATCTGGATGCAAGACTGCATCGGTGTATTGTTAGATAACTAGATTTAAGTGGTTTGCATAACTTTATTATTACTGTGTATGACTACATAGACCCTCGTTTTATTATAGTGTTATCATTATGTTGCAGAAAAATTCTAATTTATGGCTTTGAACTCATCTGTCTTGTGCTGAAGTGATTGATAAATGATGAACCGGTATATGTTTAGTCATGTTAATGGACAGTTCAAATACGGCATGAAATAAAACAAATACCGAACTTGGGTCTATTTACTTTGTCGTGTTTTTAAAGCAATACCTTCAAATGTTTTGAAGTCTTTTTAACTTATCAATATATTTGATAATGGAAATCATGTAAAATAGAAACTGTATTATTGTGATAATGGATGTTAACAAACATTACAGTTTATTTTATGTGTCATACTTCATGGATCGTGAGATTCTTCTGTTGTAAAAAGAAGTACTTCATGTTGAAGGTGAAACAACATCCTGCACGGAAAACAGCAACAACCGTTAATTAAAAAACTCATTTGAGGTGCAGAGAGAATGCTAATTTCCCCTGTGAAATCAAAGAACCGTGTCTATTATCTTTTGTAAGATTTGTGAAAGTTTAATGAAGAAGGAAGGCATTAGGAGAGAAAATCTATAGAAGTGACCTGGATCTCAGCCACTACTACAAACTGCTTCATCACCTGTTAGAATAGCATCAATAATTGACACTGCAGCTAAAACAGGTGCCCATCATGGCACTAATCTCCTTTGTCACCTTCTACCTTTAATATTCATGTCGTTTCACATGTTGCATGTATTCCTGGTGTGTGCTGTCCAGGCTGAAGTTGCTGAAGCAGCTGAAGTCGTGATGAAGGTAGCTGCAGTGTGTCCATGCTGTTGATGCAGGAAATCCAGCTTGGAACATGCTTGTGTCATTGTCCTAGCCATTGATTCCCACCTTCGGTTGGACTGATGACTTGATTACTGGGTCACTGGTGGTGTTGTTGTAAGAGTGAATCAGGCCTGGCTGTCAGTCAGTAGAGACGTGTAGTGTTACCTCAATATTGTTTTATTGTGCTGAGATCATTGGTGTTTAATGGAGGATAACATGGTGCATTCCTGGAAGAAAGCTAGCTACAGAGCTGCGAGTTACTTTTTCTAGAATGGTGTGACAGTTGCTTGGCTGTGTTTAGACTATGGCCTTATGTACTAAGGTCAGTATTGGCCACAATCCTTGATTCTTCTATTGTTTGTTGTCATTGCTGGACTTTAAGATGTCATTTCGGCAGATTCAGATTGCTTAGTGACAGATATTTTGATTATAATTCAAAAGTATTAATACATGACTTCCACTCTACTGTAGTACAAGGGCGGCCTCTGTTCAGTGTTACTGTGGACAATGATGGCCATGGAAGCCTACCTTCCAGATGATCAGGTTGGGGATGCATGGCTCAAGATAATGTTTTCTTATATGTTGTCATTCACATTGGGTATTTGATAATTTTCTTAGGGTATTCAACATATTTAACTCCCGTGAAGCCAGTTTTGAGGCACTTTGCAACCATTATTTAAACATTTTGAAAACTATTTTGCTTAAAATGCTGTTTCAGGTAATTGCTAATTAGAGCTGTGACGATATATCGTAGTATCGATAATCGTGATACTTTATCTGATGATAAATATATCGATACTTTTGTTCATATCGTGATATGTATCGTTGACCTTAAAAATGTTAATGTTCACTAGAAATTGACGGTTATGTAAAAAATTACATTGTTACTTGCTATCAAAATATACTTTTTTTAAAAGAAAATAACTAAAGATAGCATATCGTGATATGCATCGAATCGAATCGTATCGTTCCAAGATATCGCGATACGTATCGTATCGTGACATTTCCGTATCGTCACACCTCTATTGCTAATGTGTTTTACTGGTCATGTGCTGCTCCAAGTGTTACCTGTTGTATAAACCCAATATGGCCACATTTGTCTCTGTTACAATAAGCCAGACGTAGCCATTTAATGCATTATTAACTGCAGTAGAGTTTATTGATAGGTTATGCCTGCATTTGATCTGGTAATAAAATGTTTTAAGATATATCTGGAACACAAGCTGAAAAAGCTACATTGTTTAATTAGGCATGATGTTATTGAATTTTCCTGTATGTATACCTGTATGCTAGCAGCTCCAAATTACATGTATTTGGGTTGTGCTGATATATTTTGTGTATTTTATGCATATACAAATCTTTTGATATGTTTATCTATATACAGTCTATGTATAATAAAACTGTTATTGTACCTGCCCCTAACTTTGTTTTCAGCATCATATTTCAGTAGATTTTAGTGATGTAGACCAATTTTAGCTGAGCTTAATAGACCAAACAGAATATTGCTGGACTAGTGGACTTGGGTTTGGGATGAATGGCAATTGCGGATGCTGTATGAAAACATCACTCCATACCTTCTTTTGTACAGATAAGTCCATGAAAACTATTTCAGTTGGTCATATTTGTAAAATGAGGATGTTTTGTTTCAGATGTTTATGCCTGAGGTGATGAGGGTCTCAAAATGACCACAACAATTCCACACATACGTATTGCTGATGACAGCGCAGTCAAGGAGAGCTATGAAGTGGGGAAGAAGCTCGGTCAGGGAAGCTTCGGGAAGGTCCACGAGGCACAGCACCGAGAAACCAACAAGTCCTGGGCCATCAAGAGCATCAACAAGGAGAAGGTAAGTTGTGCGAAAACAATAGCAGGGCAGTTGGCACCTAACACATTTGAGTCCACCATCCTCCTCTTTGTTCTTTTGTACATGTTGTGGTATATTATAAGTTGTTCACTGGTCTCGAGGGGGGACATCAGCTGATGTACCCTCGATGTTTGTTTATGTTCCCTAAACATAAAGAAACATTACATCAAACATTGGGGCCCGAGGGACCAGTGAACAACGTATTTATCTTACCGAACACCTCAATGGTCATTTTGAACTGTTTGAAGCACGGGTGTCGAATCATAGTATGGAGTACCAGATGACAAGAAAAACAAATTTAGAGTTATCTCCCTTCCACCCATTTGCATTCGCAAAACATTGGTAATTTCCGTACATCATACGTGATTCAATGTTACGAAGCACCAAATGAGTTTGGCATTCCCAACGGGGTACATAGAAAATGTTACTTGCTTGTAAGCGGGGTACATTGAAAATAGAAGAGCGCTCAGCCAATCAGAAAACGACATTTATGTGTGAGGCAAGATAAGTACTTATTAACAGTTTTTAGAAGACGGAATGGAATTTAACTTATCTCTGGTCTTTAGACAAGTGTATGAAGTTGCTCAGTGTAAGGGCCAAATTAAGGGAAAGATGGGACAAGCAGATAGATGACAACGGATAGGGGAATATTGGACAAATGACAGAGTAAGAGAGATGTGAGAGGTGACGTGGACTCAGTATGTTGGTCATTGATTGTTGGTGGGAGCTATGTTCAGGAGAGATGACTTTGTGGTTTGACGAACATGGCAAAGTGGTGGCAAGTTGTGAGGGATGAGGTGAGGGATGAGGTGAGCTTGAGATGACATTGGTTTTGGTTTGTTTGTTGTTTAACGCCAGGGGCGCATGGGGTAGCCTACTGGTTAAAGCGTTGGGTCGTCACGCCGAAGACCCGGGTTCGAATCCCCACATAGGTACAATGAGTGAAGCCCATTTCTGGTGTCCCCTGCCGTGATATTGCTGGAATATTGCTAAAAGCGGCGTAAAACCAAACTCAGTCAGTCAGTTTAACGCCACAGCTTTATTCCAGCTATATGGCGGGGGTATGTAAATAATCGCATCTGGGCCAGACAGTCCAGTGATCAACAGCATGATCTATGTAAATGGGATACGATGACATGTGTCAACCAAGTCAGCAAGTCTGAATTTCCGATCCCCTTAGTTGCCTCTTACGATGAGCATTGGTTGCGGAAAACCAGTTCTAACCTGGATCTTCATGGGTAGGAGATGACATTGGGTTGATAGAGAAATACCATGGGGGTTAAGTATGACAGACCATGATAGTGTAATGATAGCATGTGCTGTAACCATGTTAGCTCTGTGCTCAAATCTATATTACTTGTAGGCGGGGAGCTCGGCTCTCAAGCTGATAGAGCGGGAAGTGGCCATCTTGAAGAGAGTAAATCATCCCAACATCATCCAGCTGAATGAAGTGCTGGAATCACCAACGGTAAGGGGCACACTGTTCCTTCTCCATGCTAGTATATGTTTCAACTGTGCCACATTACACCATGAATAAATGACTGCTGACCTCAGGAGGAGGTATTTTGAATTAGTTTGATCAGTAGTTTTTGACTCCTTCATTGATATATATATCTAGTAATCCAGAATTTTTCAGAAATTTTTATCTAGTTTGTATGTTAGATACTTATCATAACAGCATCCAACTTAGAGCATCCCTTGATTCAGATACTATAGGAACTCTAGCTGCTTTGCAAGAACAAGTTTGTTTTTTAAGTGTGTTTGTATTGTTAAAAAAACACATTTTTTTTTTGTTTTTGACATCTTTAGAGCTACTAGAGTGGAAGTGAAATGTTACTTTATGTAATTGTGTTGTTATACTTGTTTGCAAACATGTGTTTTATTAACTGTATCTTGTATTCAGCGGATGTTCCTCGTGATGGAGCTATGTGATGGGGGAGAGATGGCAGATTCCCTGAAAGACAATAAACACTTCTCAGAAGCTGATACCAAAACTGTCATTAGAAGATTAGCAAGTGCAATCTCATATCTACATAAAAATGGTAAGCACTGCTTCATATAGACCCTCTGTGTAATGCCTAGTCAGGATTACGGTTAGACTTGGTCCTAGGTAACCTGTACATGTTGTAAAATGGTTTGGGTGGTCAGAGTTAGCTGTAGTCATTTTAGCTACATAAAGTAGTCTGTAAATAGTTGATTATAGGGCCAGTCCATCTAACAGTGTATAAAATATAGCCCGTCCCACCGTCCTTGGCGGTCTATTTTTGTGATGGACTGTCCATTAAATAAGTAAGGCCGTCTTTTGGTCGGGGGAAATATTTGAAAAAATAAACTTAACTTGGTTTGAACTTTGTCTTATCTAAAACAATTTCATTGTTTTAGTTTTTGGGACTGGATGTGTTTGTTCAGGACTGGTCACTTGTTTGGACAGCCAGTCCTTGGACAGGTCATATTACAAAACTATTTTATACACTACATCTAATGATTAATGTCATGAGCATCAGTCGACACAACAGGGATAAGGTGACACATATCAAATCAAAAGGTCGACCATCACATGGAGTTAGTCCAATGGTGAAGACCAATTGGTTAGGCTTAATGGCTTGGCTGATAGGTTTTGATGGTGTGAAGTGTAGGCCATACTTTCAGATACAGGTGTATTGACATGCTGCTGTGATATAGCTGGAATATTGCTGTGGCATAAATCATACACTCACTCACTCCTTCATCTCAAAACATAACTGTAAATTGCTAGAGATCTATACTTTCCTTACAGAGATTGTGATATGATTTCTCACTCATTTGAAGGCCATGTGTTTTCAGTTTGACATAATGTTCAGTTAATATGAACAATAATTTCAAGTGTTTACCTGGAAATATACTGGCAATTTGACCAACTTTGTGTCGAAAATAGGAAAGATGAAATAGTTTTATTGAGTTTAGATTACTGTCTGTGTCACTACTGATGTTTACATTCATGTATTTCAGACATAGTACATCGAGATATCAAACTAGAAAATATTCTCCTCAGTCAAAATCCTGATGATCCGCATGACAAGTTACATATTAAGGTAGGTGGACAGTAGATGATGTGTTCATCTCTTAGCGTTCTCCAGTTGTTGTACAGTGTGCTCAGGGTGCAACTTCTGCGATTAGTTAGAGACACCCCATAAGAAGCCTGAAATTCTTGTATAACCCTCAGGATTCCTTGAACTGTGAACTAGTTCATGTTGCATCTTTGTGATTTATCATTTAGTGACAGGGATGATGGGACAGCATGCCAGGTTTGTCATTAGTTTGTCACGTCAAAGGTCCAGGTTCGATTCCCCACATTGGCAAAATGTGTGACCTCCATTTCTGGTGTCCCCAGCTGATATTTTGGGAATATTGCTAAAAGCATCGGAAAAGGGGGTCTGTTCCTTGGTATATGGTCTCTCCTCAGTTTCATTCTCATTTTAGGCCATGACGAATAACATGGTTCCAAGTAAGTTCCAAGATGGCTATGTCAACAAACATTTTTCTCAGAAGGTAGAAAACTAGTCCAAACACTAGTGCAAGGTGTAGACAACAAAAGAGAATTAAGTCTTCTATACATTCGTTGATGATGTTTACTTGCTATTTTCAGGTGACAGACTTTGGATTATCTGTAGTAAAGGGAGGCGCTGGACATGACAACATGATGCAGGACTTCTGTGGTACACCAATGTACATGTGTAAGTTACCTTCATTATCAAACAATAATAAGCTGATAAAATTGAGTATAATTTCATGATCACTTGTGTCAACTTCGTGTATTTCACTTATAAAGTGGTGTGCATGTATGCATGTGTGTGTGTTTGCCTGCCTGCTTCTTCTAAGCTCAGACTAGTGACTGTTTTATAGTAATGGCAACTGAGATTGCATGTGACAGTTATGCATTTGTACCCCACTCAGACACTAAGTCGTCCATTGAACCGCTGCACAAAACAACCATAGCGCTAAGAGTGTAGTTGGTTTATGTAAAGCATGGGAGTTACGATCATCTTAGCACTACAATATCTTTGTGCAATGGCACCCAGTACTTGTTAAAAGTGAGATAAGTATTATTTTACTGGTGTTGAGAGAATGTTGACAGATGATCTGGGATGGTAAACGTTTATTCCAACCTGTTTTACTGCCTTCGTGTGATGGCTCAGTATTCCAGCTGTCAAATGTTTGTTAAAATCCGAGTTTGAGGATTATCTACAGGCAATGTCATCCTAATTTCTCCAGTGTATTTTATCTCCAATCTACTGCGACAAATGCTCAGGGCCTGTTCACCAATGGCAGGATTGTAAGCCTAGCCATGCAGTCAAACTACACTCATGAGCGGTATTCTCCAAGGTACATGTATTTATCAACTGAAACTGGCTTTCATCTGATGTATTGCTTTGGTGAGATCAAGTGATATTACTTAGGACAGACATCTGCTACAAAAATTGGTTAAAAACCCTCATTAAATAAAATAACAATTGTTTGAGTATTTCTGTTTGCCTTATCTTTGACCACTTTATCATTACTTGACTGAGGTGAGGTGAGGTGAAATTGGGTTGAACGTCGTGCTTGAGAATATTTCGCTCATATGACGACGTGCATGCGTGTGTATGTGTATGTGCGGCTGCTTGTACTAGCCCAGACTTAAGCTGGTTTTATAGTGCTAGCCCGCTGAGATACCATGCCGCAGTGAAGCATGAATACCCCACTCAGACACAGTATACTGACTCCCAGCCGACCAGTCCTTGTTGTACCCATTAATGCCGAGCGCCAGGCAGGGACCAACAAGTACCATATTTTAACGCTTTTGGTATGAAGCGGTCAGGGATCGAACCTGCGACCTTCTGCTCTCCGGGCGGACGCTCTAACCACTACACCATGGAGGCGGCGCTTGACTGAGAAACCTACAGTATTTAAGGAACTTTACAGTTAATATAAGATCAAATGCAGTGTTGGCAGTCTTTTACCTCTAACCTTAAGAAAATGAAAGAAGCTTTATCCGAGGTGAATGCCTATGTATTACTGTGAAATATATTTAACATCCTGCACTTTATTCAGCATAACAGTTATTTTGTCCCACTAAGCCAGCCAGTTCCAAACAACTTTATGTCTAATAACATGAGGAAACATTGTGTAGGTTTACGTTTGTAGTTTGACTTTCACAGGGTAATTAGTTCGCAATTACCTGTAAAAGAGTGATATGGTGTTTTTGTACAATAGTCAATAACTCTTGCATTTGATGAACCCGTGACAATCTGGGTTAGAATTGGTCTTCAATAACCCATGCTTGTTGTAAGAGGCGACTAATGGGATCGGGTGGTCAGGCTTGCTGACTTGGTTGACACATGTCATCGTGTCCCATTCGCGTAGACTGATGCTCATGATGTTGATCACTGGATTGTCTGGCCCAGGCACGATTATTTGCAGACTGACGTCATATAGCTGGAGTATTGCTGATTGCGACATTAAACAACAAACAAATGAATCAAACACTGGAGATTTTTTTAGCAAAATTCATGTTTACTCATGGATCAAACCACCCTTCGAGGGTGTTTTAGTCCATACTATGCATAAATTTTGCTGAAAGGTCCCACGATTGGAGTCAGTGATACGAAGTGTGGCAATAGCTTATGTCGCTTGTAAGTTGCGAGATTTACTGTGTAGGAGTTGGTTGTAGTCAGACAGCATATTCCTAGCAACTATCAACATGTAATCAGCAACAGACAAATGAATGCATGTTTTTTTCTGCATTTATCCAAGAAGTGTCAGCTACAATCCCATACAGGGCTCAACTCTCTCACACACTAGGCGGTGCAGTTTAGTTTTGTATTGTAAATCACATGCTAGCTGCAAATCAATTTTTCTCAACTGAGAAATCCTATAGCCTCTGGTACAATAGGTTGATATCAACATGCACAGATGATTGACAAACATGTCATCAGGATGTCTATAGATGACGATATTATTAACATGTAATAGCTGCTTCATGAATAATAATGAAAGGTTCAGGGAATACTAGGAGCCTGGGTGGCCCAATGGTTGTAGGTGCTGTAATTCGTTTTAAGGAGAAGGCATCACTATAAGCTGTCCAGATCTACGTATCTTAAATACTCTTTATACTTGTTTTAAATCAAACTAATTTGATAATTTTAGATTTTCATACTGGCAGGAGATAGGAAATAGGGGATAGTTCCTTAGCACAGAGTGTCACAAATCATACACATTTTTAGTTGATCATTGATGGATTAAACGATATGAATTATTTTTGGCACAAATTCCTTTGTTATTAAGTGTTTATTGTTGTGTGCATTGATTGTGAATCCATCACTCTGTCACGGGATGTGTGGCTGAGTGAGCTCACACAGAGGAGTCTCCAAGTTGCCTTCACCTCTGTACCCTCACACATCACTCAACTCCACAGCAGGGGGGGGGGGGGGCAGTTCTGAGGTGAATGTACTCCACAAGAGTGTCCTGATGGTGTTACTGATGACCATAAAAAGACACATAAGGTTGAGATTGAAATATGATCATAAAAGTTAAATGAAACAACACAAATACTGGTTAAAAGTTGAACAAGTTAGAACTTACCCCAAATAGATTTGTTCCTGATTCCGCTCCTTTATAATTGTACTGGGTTGTGCAAACAATGTGGTTAAATATACATACCATTCAAAGAATTAAAAGCAGAATAAGAAATATTTTAATTTTTTTTCTCTGTGTGTATGTATGTGTGAGTGTGTCTGTGCATGCATGTGTGTGTCTGTGTCTGTGTTTCTGCATCTGGGGGTTGTATCTGTGTAACTGCATCTTGCTATATATTTCTGTATCAGACCAGAACAATTTTATTTCTTGTTTTACAAATCCTTTTTTCAAGAATAAGAAAAAAAATAAAAATGAATTTTCCCGCTCAAAAACCCATATACACTTCATAAAATGCCAAAGTAAAATACTTTTAGTATTTAAAAGGAATATTACTTTGACTGGTGATTTTTTTTTTCTCTCCTGCCTTTAGGTTTTCAGAAGACAAAAATCTGTAAAACAAGGAATTTAAGTTGGTCTGGTCTCATGGTGAATAAAGTCAGAGACCATATACCAGCATATGATCTCTGATAAAGTGATGAAATTTTAAGCATTGAGGGTTGCTTATAAGATAATTTGTTGCCTGTATTTTGACACAGTAGTGAAATGGTTTGAAATATATCAGTGCTCTTTGATGTCTTTTCTAAAGTGTGTATAAATGTGCAGGGAAATTGTTCTAATTATATGACAACATTAATTTGGCTGTAATTTGATGTGTTCTATCATTCCTTGTCAGACTGAAATCACCAGTAATAAAGCTACAAAACTCCCTGTACTTTAAATGAAAGATATTTGAAGATGGGTAGTTATCTGTTAAGATTAGAGGGAAGCTTGTTTCAATGTTAACAGCTCCATGTGAAGTCATGTTCAATTTGTTACAGCTCCTGAGATAATAGACAACAAGACCTACAGCCAGCAGTGCGATGTCTGGGCCATGGGGGTCATCATGTATATCATGTAAGTTGATGGAGCTATTGGGGCAGTGGGGTAGCCTAGTGGTTAAAGCGTCCGCTCGTCATGCCGAAGACCTGGGGTTCGATTCCCCACATGGGTACAATGTGTGAAGCCCATTTCTGGTGTCCCCCGCCGTGATATTGTTGGAATATTGCTAAAAGTGGCGTAAAACCAAACTCACTCACTCACTCACTAATGGAGCTATTGGAGTCTCACATTCTATGTTTTATACACATTAGATCTATTGCCATCACTGTTTAGAAAAGTATTAAGGCTCTAAGAAAATGACAGCAGCAAATGAATAAATCTCAACTTAACAGTTTTGATGGACGTTTTAAAACCACATAGAAAGTAGATTGAAAGCCAGTCTTACATTTATTATAAGCTATGAGAAAAGCATATTTTTTTTAGGCATCAAAACATAAATGTTTTAGTTAATGCATGATGGGTTTCAGTTTTTATTGGGATGTTCATGTTACTTTACCAGTGTTATTTCAAATATTAGATTCCTGGTCCCCATGTCGCTGCTTGCGCAAGCTAAACCAAATGTAGAACATGATGGTTGTTGGAGCCAGGTGTATGGAGATTGGTTTACACTATGGTGAAAAGCAGGATGGGTGGTAGCTGGCTTACCTTGGTCCTTGTTCACAAAACAATGTTCTTGCTACAAATTCATTCCATCTTTGTGACATTGTGTTCACGAATGGTGTTTCAAAGTCACAGGACATTGGGTCCTGTAAGTTTCATATGTCTGTCTGACCCATTGAAAATGCACAGGACCCATGGAATAAAATTAAACACACATTTCAGATTTAATATTTCTTATAATTGACATTGAATTGTTAACAAACATAAGATTTATAAACAGCAAACAAGTTACATATGTCACATAAAACAACTTCAGTCAAAGTCATTGTGAAATATACAGTCAGACACTGGGACCGGCGGGGTGTATACTTCTGTCTGACCGTTGGCGAATCTGCCGGATTTGTCAGAGGGTCAGATGCTATTCGTGAACACTGGTGACATAGACTTTCCATAGCTGTAGCACTAGGATCACATGGGGAAAGGGATCCTGGTGTGGATTGATGCTCATGCTATCAGCCACCGGTTTGTCAGTTCTGGACTTGGCATGTGTGGCTGTGTTGGTTCAATTGTAACATTGCTGACCTATTTTATATTTCAGGTTGTGTGGGTACCCACCATTCAGAAGTAATGATGAAGACTCCTTATATGAAATCATCAAGAAAGGAGAAGTAGATTTCAGTGAGGAACCATGGCCTTCGATCAGTGAGGAAGGTAGGCATTGGCCGGATAGTTAGAGACAGCTCAGCTCCTCAGTCAGTGAAGATGTTGAGGCTGCCAATGTAGTACCATGTATGGTACATGTCATATTCAGTACAGTCTGTTGAATCACAATGGTGTGAGTCATGTCAGCACAACAGACAGTATGATCTGAATGTATTAAAGGTTTGTTTACGCAGAGTGAATGAGTCTTGTTTTACACTGTTTTTAGCAATATTCCAGCAGTATCATGATGAAGGGACACTGGACTTGGCTTTGCACACTGTACCCATGTGGGGATTTGAACCAGGGTCTTCAGCATCCTTTAACATCTTCTTCTTTAACCAGATGTCTACCGAGCTGCCCTTTGTATGAGTAGAACTTGATCACATTAAAGGAGTCTCCTTTAGAGGGTTGATGGTTTCAGATCTCACTCCAGGAGGGGAAGCTATGTCAACAAGTAACTGATGAGCTGAAGCATGGGGTGCTCTGTCTTAATGTCATACTGAATTGGACAAATGTTGGAAATACTTTTCTTAATGGACGTGATATCTCATTTAAGTTCCGACCACATATGACTTTCTGGTTGAAGAGCAAGATGCATGGACTTTGAGCTGTAATCAGTTAGATCCTTAGGGATCAAAGGTGACTACAGATAGATACTGTTAAAATCATATCTGACCGTCAAATGTTCCTCCCTTCAGACCGCCCTGCGATGCATGTTCCTGGTGGAAAACGTCCTTTATTCCAAGTACTTATGGCAAATCAAAGATGGGGATGTGGCTGCTGATGTAACACAAATTCCTGTTGTTAGAATATAACACAATCACATTTCTTGTTTATGCTTTTTGGACATATTGCTGACCTGTTGTAACAATCACGTTTGTGTTTATGCTGGACATATTGCTTGTGGTATGGTAGGCATGGTACTGAACCCCTCTCATCACACCTGACTAAACCCTTACCCAGATAGCATTCGGACGTTGGCGCAATGTTGACAATGTTGGCAAAACCATTGCCAACATTGGGCCAACATCTGAATGCTATCTGGGTATTTCTGTAAGTAGATATGTACTAAAGAGCTTTACACAAAACCATAATTCTTCTGACTATCTTGTTCCAGCAAAGATGTGCATCCAGCGGATGTTGAAGGTTGACCCTGCTCACAGAATGTCTGCTGCGGAAGTAGTGGACCATGCCTGGCTAACTGTGAGTAGAGGACTGTATGGTCAGATAGGAAGGAGGGATAGCAATATATGGATATTATATGGAAGTTATAAAGAAGTTGTTCAGCTCTCACTGTAATATAGAAGTTATTCATCCATATATTATCTTCCTTTGTGCTCCAACTTCTAAATACCTCTCAAACAAGTTAGATTCGGTGTCTCTGCAGGAAAATTCCAGCACATTAGATAGTATCTGTTTGGGTTGTATACAAACAGATAAACAAAATTTTAGATGTTAGGTAGGTACAACTTGTACAAGTACTCTTGTGCAAACAAACATGGCATGACCCTGGCCTCTTGGAGAATGATAAAAAATTAATAATCAGGACTAGTAGTTTTACAAGGTAAGGTATAGGCTCCACTGAATGTGGGTACCAGGCTGCAGTGCATAGAACAGTATGGTTTTCACTGCGAAAAGTTCAACACTGTCCACTGACAAGTTCCAACTATTCTGTGACACTTGATTTGGTTTCTATAGGGTGAGACCCATGACAGCACAAAGCCAGTGAATGTTCTGGAGATGATGAAGGAATGGGGCCCTGAGCTGAAGAAGGGGGGAAGCTGTGATGACAACCCTGAGAGTGCAATAAATGGTGACAGCCCAGACAGCGTCATAAAGGAGAGTGCATCCTCCACCACGGACAACACCTCGCACAATGCTGCACCGGAAGCCGCCAAGGTCAGCGCCGAGTAATAAAACATGCTGTATTAATGATATCTTGGTAGACAATACAAGAAAAGTGTGAAAATGGATCTGTGTAATAATTTTATAATATATCAGTTTGGGGTTATTTGTATCATGGCTTGTATGAAAGTGAGTTTATGTTTCTTCTGTTACAGGGTAGTTCAAGTGATACAAGGAAGGGATCTGGTGGAGGAAAACGGTCCAGTGACAGTCGCTCACCACCCAACTCTAGTACAAAACCTGGGGTAGGTTGACAGTTGAACACTGCCTAACTCTAGTACAAAACCTGGGGTAGGTAGACAGTTGAATACCGCCTAACTCTAGTACAAAACCTGGGGTAGGTTGACAGTTGAACACTGCCTAACTCTAGTACAAAACCTGGGGTAGGTTGACAGTTGAACACTGCCTAACTCTAGTACAAAACCTGGGGTAGGTTGACAGTTGAACACTGCCTAACTCTAGTACAAAACCTGGGGTAGGTAGACAGTTGAACACTGCCTAACTCTAGTACAAAACCTGGGGTAGGTAGACAGTTGAACACTGCCTAACTCTAGTACTAAGCATATGTATGATAAGCAGTTGTACACCCATCCACAATTGTTGTTCAGAATGCACCCAATCTTTTGAGACTGCATGACTAGAAAACACATTAAGACTTACGTTTTAGCAATCTTGTCAGATTTTTGTTTGTTGTTTAACGCTGCACTCAGCAATATTCCAGCTATAATGTGGCAGTCTGTAAATAATCAAGTCTGGACCAGACAGTCCAGTGATGAACGTCATGAGCATCGATCTCCGCAATTGGGATACGATGACAAGTGTCAACCAAGTCAACAAGCCTGACTGACTGATCCTGTTAGTCGCCTCTTAATCCAAGCATGGGTTGCTGAAGACCAATTCTTACCTGTATCTTCATGGGTTGATCTTTTTGGAGGATAGGTCATTCAAATGTGACCTTAAGTGTCTTCAGACCTTTGTGCACTGATTTAGACTAGATTGTTTTCAGTCCTACCCTTGTTGAATCCTTCCAATTCTGTGTCTTACCCATATTTCCAATGTATGTTCACTATCCATGTTCACTATCCTTGTTCACTATCCTTGTTCACTATCCTTACCCATGTAAGGGTACGAAGTTCTAACCTTACATGTTGTGACTGCAGGCTACAGGAAGAGGAACCAAGCCTGTAGGTGGTGCCACAAAGATAAACCCATCTACCAAACCTCCTGCCACACAGACAGGAACCAAACCAGGAAGTACCGGTGGAAGGACGACCGGTGGTGGGACCACCAATAAGAAAACTGCTGTGAACTCGAACAATACAAAAACACCATCCGCTTATACAAGAAACCAAAAGAAATAACCCCAAATAAGTGTAGCATTAAGTGTGACCATATTCCACCAGCGCTGCTGTGGATGGGAGACTTTACAGTATGTGTGTATATATTTTACATCTATGTATCGCTGAGTGAAGTGCTAACAGAAGACAACAGGGGAAGAAGATCCTTTGGTACCAACCATATGCTGATCAGTCCTTCACCCCAGACAGGTCACATGACTTGCGAGTAGGTCACATGACATGTTGGCAGGTCATGTGACTGAAAGGGGTGGTCTGTGTTCTGATGCTGCTGCTGTGTGGAAGGGGAGATAACTGGTTCCCACTGTGCTGTTGATTTTCTCTGTAGCTTGCTGATTTGTTAAATTAATATGAAATAATCATGTTTTTCTCATTCTTGATTACATCATGGTTGATATTTTCATAAATACCATTTTTTTAAGGAGGGTTGAAATTTTGTGTTGAAAATATATGAACATTCTTGTGTTTTCGTTCTGAATGTATGATAGTTCTTCCTATTCTAAGGAGTTCTTGTAGACAGATTAAATAACAGGAAGAGCATAAAGGTTTTGTATATCTCCATGACCAGGTTTTGCCCCTGCTTTGATGGAACCAGAGACCATATATCGGTATATGGTCTCTGATGGAACTGATTGGCCACCTCTCCAACAGTGCTGGAAGTAGAATGACAACTATTTGTAGTGAGATCGGCCTTGTTATGTTTAGAGATGTGATATTCTAGAAGTAGCCTTATTCAAACTGCTGTGAAGTGTGATAGGAAACAAGTGCCTTTCCCTGCTTGAACAGCCATGTGACATTACACTTTCCTAATCCCAGGAATGTACCATTATTGTATATTCAAAGTTTCAAATGCATTTATTTTGTTAAATGTGTGATATGTAAAAAGTTCATTTGTATGAAATAGAATTGGAATAAGAAGTTTGTGTCCCATGTTCCTAATATCAGTAGCCTGTTTAAGTCACAGACTTCAAGATAGAATTGCATCAGAAGCTTTTACCTTGGCCATATTCTACATTGTCTGACAAAGAACAAGTTAGTCCACAATTGTTCTTCAGGATGTTTTACGCTAAGCGCATCCTCAGCCAATAACAAACAGCTGTGACCTATGTTGTGAGCACATGTAGGTTCCCAAGGTCCATACCCTGCTCACTTAGAACATGCATTGTAGTGGAGCTTCTGCTGTTGTGAGCAAGTTCCCAAGCTCCATACCCTGCTCACTTAGAACATGCATTGTAGTGGAGCTTCTGGTGTTGTGAAGTTGAGTTCTGATATTTCACTATGGCAACTCGATAAAGGATTCAAGCAAACCAATATTCTGTCATATACCATGGTGTTTTGTTAGTTGGTGAGGGAACATTGTGGCTGTTGTTTTAAACATCCTGGATTTTTAGTTATTTCCTTCAGTTATTTTGCCAATAACTACATTAATTACAAATCTTAAAATCTTCTTACAAATGTTTGGCATATAGCTTATAGTCACTGTTTCTAATGAAGGGGTAGTTTGCTTGCTGCTTGAGGATTGAATCAAGAGATACCTGTAAACCTTTCTACAGCATAATCCTAGTCACATTCGATAACCACAATGCTGTACCAGTTTCTTGTGCCATGCTGGGGCAGTGGGGTAGCCTAATGGTTAAAGCGTTGGCTCGTCACTCCGAAGACCTGGGTTCGAATCCCCACATGGGTACAATGTGTGAAGCCCATTTCTGGTGTCCCCCGCCGTGATGTTGCTGTAATATTGCTAAAAGCGGCGTAAAACCAAACTCAGTCAGTCAGTCAGTCTTGTGCCATGCTGGGTTAACTCCTTGACAGTTTATTACCACTTTGATCAATAAGAATGTAAAGTGGAATGGTAAGGAAAGAACTTCCCTAGTAATGACAGCTTCATTGTAATAGCCTGATACAGATGTGTCCATGTTAGTAACCCCACTTCTGTCTGGACTCTTCTCATCTGGCCCTGACTTCTCGAAACAAACTTAAGTCTGAGTTTTACTCAAATTTGAAAAAACGCAGGAAAATGCATTTCCCAGAATGAACTGAAATCAATATCAAAGTAAAACATAGTAGACAATTTGAGTTTGGTGGATAGATTACTTAAGTTGTTTTGGGCTCTTTTATTTTAAAAATGCAGTTGAGTTAAACATTCAGCTGTTTCAAATTGTCAAACTCAGTTTGAAATTTGAGTAAAAACTTAAATTTGTTTCGAGAAATCGGGGCCTGGTCTGTTTAAATCTCAAGGTTTCCAGGTACTAATGTGTCCCTCTCTCTAACAGCTCACTCCACAGTGACCTTTTTTATTAAGTTATTCATTATGTCTTTAATGTCATGCCTTAGACTGACAGTCATCATTGAGCTGGAATATTGCAGTGTGGCTTAAATCGTCATCTTTGAGTGGCATTTTTAGGACTTGGAGAGTCAGATAAGGAAACATTTTATGGATGAAACAACTTCTTTATTCAGGTGGTGCGAGGTTTCAATACAGATTCTTGTATTGACCTGCTTGACAACGATACAATAATCTGTATCGAAACATCGCACCACCTGAATAAAGTTGGTCATCCATAAAATTTGTCCTTATCTGGCTTAAATCAGCCAACAACTTGCTTTATATTTCCTTGCATGTCAACAAAATGTGAAAACCTGTGATTCATGCATTCCAGTTGCTGATGTTGTATGTGCATATTAGCACAGATGTGTATGTGCAAACTACAATGTACTATGTTAGGGTAAAGCATATGTGTGATAATAAACTCCATTCCGTCCACACCAATCTGTATTTTCTGATTATTCACATGTTGTACATCTATGTTTTGATTGAGAGATATAACCATTTAGACATTATCCAAATTTCATTCCAGTGACTTATGTATGATGTAGTACTGATGTCATGAGATTGTCTGGTCCAGACAAAACTATTTATAGATATGTCATGATGTATGGAATATTGCTGAGTGCAGTGTAAAACATCAAACCAATTCATGTCCGGTCATTGATGTCCAGTCAAGCCTTTTTGCTTGTGTGTAGCTTCCGTGAGAATGTGGCAGGAATACATTTATGGAAGCCTCAATAGTATCCGTCCAACCACCAGCCAGGCCTCAGTCATTGGCTGGAATACATTTATGGTAGCACCAATAGTATCCGTCCAACCCACAAGCCAGGCCTCAGTCATTGGCTGGAATACTTTTATGGTAGCACCAATAGTATAGTCCAACCCACAAGCCAGACCTCAGTCATTGGCTGGAATACTTTATGGTAGCATCAATAGTATAGTCCAACCCACCAGTCAGGCAGGCCACCAACATTGGCTGAAATAAGTTCTTTGAGAGGCATTTTAGGTGAAGGTACTAACACCGTTATCAAGCAAGTGATGACTTGTAGTCAACTTCTTTATTGCAATGAGTTAGGTACTAACACCGTTATCAATCTGGCTTATAACGGTGTTAGTACCTACACCGAAACGTCGCACTCATTGCATTAAAGAAGTTGACTATCCATACAACTTACTTTTCCTTCATTGGCTGAAATGTTTTGTACAGAGTTTGGTTTAGGTAAGTGTCCGTCCAACCTCTCCTCCAACAGGCAGGCCACTGCCATTGGCTGAAACATGTTTACAGCAGCTTTGATAGTGTCCTCTGTCTTTTGCTGAAAACATTTTACAGTGGACATTGACTTGTTCCGCAAGGCAAATCTTAGCTCTGCAGTGATCATAAGCCTATGTTAAAGTATGGGAGTTACGATCAACTAAGAGGAAAGATTGTTTTGTGGAATGGGTCCCAGAACTATATCCATCCTCTTTAAGTATTTGTTACATTCAGAGATGAGTGTTCCTGGTAGACATTTGTCTGGGTATCTTTTTTCTTAACGTTTATGAAATTACGATAGTCTATGAAAGAAAATGATGTTTTACCTGTGATCAGTTTCAATAATTTTTTATTTTGTCCTACCGTATTGTAAAGATTATTTATCTATTTTTCTTCTCTGGGAGTTACAAATAAGTTTTCTTTACACATGTACTGACAGCTGTTGAATCATGGCTCAACATGTATTAACTAACTCTACCATCTGATGTTATGTAGGTATCAGTGGTACCATCTCGCCCCATGTTAACATTGTAGGTTCCTCAAAGTGTATGGACCACTCAGCTTTTGATACAGATATGTCATTACTGAACAACACGAGAAACGCACCATCCATATAATACGAAATATCCCCGCCAGACTGCAATGTACCAATGATATCTGAGCATCGTCAGTGCATTTTAGTGTGGTGCGTTTCTAATGTTCAGTATATTTAAATATTAACTTGACATTTTGAGAATCTGGGTCCAAATCCACAAATCGTTCGTAACGTTACGACCTGGCGTTACTCTATAGTTTACCATAGGCTTAAGAATGTCGTAGTGCTACAAATGCTTTGTTGATCGGGACCCACTTTTGTATATTTTAGAGAAAAATAAATAACCCTATGAAGAGTGGAGAAGTACATGCCCCCAAACTGGCAAACACAATATTTGTTCAAATAATTCGGTTTCATAAATAATTACAGTTTCCAACTGAATAACTAGATCATGAAACCTGGGATTGATTATTACTTCCTAAGATATCTGTTCAGTTTGTAATTTAGAGGGATAATAAAAGCTAAATTTCAAGGCATAGTCCTGTGGGAATGTTTAAAGTAGAAGTTTTTGTGTTGAAGACTTCAATACAGGAAAAGACAGAGAAAAAATGCACTTAATGTTCTATTTTTCTATTTTGATTCGTGATCAGTTATCCGTCGATCAATTACTTTTTCAAACTCGTGATCAACCCATCCTCAATTATCTCTAGGGTATACATGCCAATAAATCTGCACTGCTACCCTGGATGCATCTACGGCATGGCCCGATAATTGTATTACCTCTCCCTTTGCTGGCTTTTTATCCAGTAAGGTGTCCACTCTCTGAAGTTGAGCATACCAATCAGATAAGCTGTTACAACCGAGCTTGCCAGTGATGCCAAAGATGGCGGCTGCAGCCATGTAAGTTTGCTCGCTTTGCGACTCAGATTTAGGGAAAAAATCATACGAATTGATAGGTCTGAAACCTTAAAAAAATATATGCAAGAACTCCTACCTCTTTCAGAGTACCTCTGCAACAAGTGAGTTATGATAGAAGCCTTGTGATTGGTACGCTCAGCGTTGTCACCTGATTGGATAAAAAGCCAGCAAAGGGAGGTAATACAATGGTGGATATGCATCCAGGGTACTAGTGGAGATTTATCAGAACATATACCCTGCTGATTATCGAGGAAGCGATCAACCTTGTATTGAAAATATTTCCCAACACTAGTCACAGTAGGTGCTGAGTGTAACCAGGGCCATATTCCAAGAAGTGATCTTAGCACAGTGATGATCATAAACCAATGATAAGATGGGGGAGTTATGATTGCCTTAGCAGTAAGATCACTACGAGGAAGGGTTTGGTTTGTGACAATTGGAGTCATTGTGGGATTGTACTTTAGATGGCAGGGATCATTGGTCTTGTTGTCATGTGCTGAGCTGTCTGGTCCAAGCTACAATCAAAAGCCAAAGTGACACAGCTGGGATTTGGTTGAGTTGCATAAAACTTGTTAAACTTACTTAGTTCTGTGTGGGGCTGTGATGATCCAGAGTGATGTGATATGGTACGTGTAATATTTGTTCTACAATATGATATTATCTGGATATACTATGGTAAAGTGGCCTTTGGCTAACTCAAAACAAAATTATTTGGATATATTTAAATTTTTTCCAATGAATCTGTTCATTTGAACATTTCAATTTTGATCTGTCCTCTCATCATTCAGAAGCTTGACACATAACAAATGAGGGTCCTGATGGGTTACACTGTTCAGTGTCATTAAAAATACATGGTGGTAAAGCGAAATGAATTTCTTTTCTAAGATGCCAAAATTAAATCTTACCGACGATTAATCTAAGGCAGAAAACAAACAAAAATATGTTAAGACACATGGTACCAGAAAAACAAATAACAGTTTAATGACGGTTTATGTTCATGTTAAATATCTTCTGTACGTTATTTTAATTACATCTGTGATTAACATAAACCATATGGAGCAATATGAATGTCGCATTTCTACTACCAATGTACGTTAAGATCAGTACATCCAGATAAAGCTGACTTGACGTGTGACATTCCACGGATGCATTGTAGGACTGTAGACATTGTGAACATTGCCATGTTGCTGTTTAATTGTTTAATCAAACAGAGACATTTTATCCGTCGCAAAATATGATAACATGCATCGTGACATCAGTTACCAAGGATACGTTTGATATTGAGGGCGCAGACGAGAATGGCATAGTGACGTCAATACAGTGAAGTCATGCAAAAGTACTGATAAAGTACTGTCGGCGCCTTTGATCTTTTAGCAAAGCATTTTAGAAAACTATAGTTATCGTATATATGTCAAATTTGTTTTGTAAATATTAAATGTCATGTCCATACAAAATGGTTAGTATAAATAAACATTTACTGTTTGTTGTAATCATGCTGAAATCTAGAAGTTGTGTAAAACTAGATCTAATGACAACAAAACTAGTCTATATTCTTATAACATGAATTCCAGTGATTAATTGAAAGCCTTACAGCTTTCCCATCTGCCTTCTCTCTGCAATGATTTCGCATTTTAGATTCAACCTGATAGCATGGCCACTCTTTGGGGATGTTTTTATATTGAGCCCCCAAAATATGACTTCAGACTTAAAAGTGTTAAATTTTACTGACACGCATTCCCTCTTCCGTATCAGTCAGGACCCTGACGGATGTCCAAATAGGATGACAGGTGTAAAAGAGCTGTCAAATGCTCATGAATAATATTACATCAGCAGTATTGCGACATTTGATCGAATCGTTTCAGCCCAGTTTCTGTACATACACTGGCAGATGTCTAATTATATAATCATTGTTCTTCCTGCTAGAAGTGACATTTCCCAGGCGTAGGACCGTATTGTGATGTTAGTCTGCTGCTGACTGTGTCTCATATCTGTATCTTATTGGGTTCACTCTTTGTCTTACAGCTGACATGTACAAGTGTCTGTCCAGCCAGCCAGATCTGTCATGGTTGCTTGTTAGTGCAAGTCATATGTTGCTGTTGATTAATAAATATTTGAAAGTTGGGCATTTGTGTTCTCAGTGACAGATGAAGAATATTCATGTGATTTGTTTCTATAACGAGACTGTTAGATTTGAAATCTGCATTCGGGACAGTACATATTCAAAACATCTAAAACTACACAGTTTATGATATAATTTACCATAGTCATTATTCTGGTTGCAGAATGCAGTACGAAATTGCAAGTTGGGGGGTGGGAGGTTGGAGGGAGTTGGGTTTTGAAGCTCTCTTTTGGGGAAGTCTTATGTAGGCTGAATTTGAGGACTTGGATTTTAGGGGAAGTCTAAGCACTCAATTTGAGGACTTGGATTTGGGGGGAAGTCTAAGCACTCAGTTTGAGGACTTGGATTGGGGGGAGTCTAAGTCTAAGCACTCAATTTGAGGACTTGGATTTGGGGGGAAGTCTAAGCACTCAATTTGAGGACTTGGATTTGGGGAAGTCTAAGTACTCAATTTGAGGAGCACTCAATTTGAGGACTTGGATTGGGGAAGTCTAAGCACTCAGTTTGAGGACTTGGATTTGGGGAAGTCTAAGCACTCAGTTTGAGGACTTGGATTTGGGGGAAGTCTAAGCTCTCAGTTTGAGGACTTGGATTATCTTGGCCCAGGTGCATGTTGACATGAAAACTTAGCTGCACCAGATTCCAAAAAAGTATCCCAAGTATCATAGCTGAAATGTAGATGGATATTCTTGCCTACATGAATATAATCTTGGATATGCGATGACCATACTTAATGTTTCTGCACTGTGTTTAAATACATTGACAGATGAATCTACTGTACATAAGTGAGTGAGTATGTTTTAAGCTGCTTATAGCAATATTCCAGCAATATCATGGCGGAGACACCAGTACCCATGTGGGGAATCAAACCTTGTCTTCAGTGTTCATGAACGGATGCTTTAACCACTTGGCTACCCCACCACTCCTCACCAACTTGAAGGAGAAGCTTGGAGAAATTGTGTGTAAAAATGGATGTTGGGTGGACAATTATGGATTCATCATGACAAATTTTAAATATTTTCACCCGCACTTGGTGCATGTAGACATAAATATAAGGTTGAATAAGGCTAATGTATTATCAGTGTAGGAAACTACTGCCTGAGACGGTTAATTCTGTGGAGGGCTGGCAAAAAAAAATCTTACTTGCCCGATGGTCAGGCTCATATTTTATGTGTAATCATGAAAATCTTATCTGTGAGACTGCTTTTCGTAACCAAAAAACTTGAGATGTATTAGCCAAAATTTGTGATAAGTTATTCAAAGATACTAAATAGTTTTTTTACTGTTGCTGAGCTGAAGTGTGAAATTAAAGTTAGTCTGGCAACTTTTGGGAAGGGCTGGTAAGTTTTCAGAGTTACCAGTCCTGGTGTCTGGTAGAATTTTCTATTATGTTTCCTACACTGGTATTATATAGTTAAACCGAGCACTGGTAGATGCAGAGACATCGGAGAATCGTTCTGCCTTTGTTATTCTCCCACTAGGGTACAGTTAGGGAAGCGCTATTAGTTGTGGTTCCCAGCTGTGATGGAATTACAGAAACAATAGTTTATGATTGTTAATAACTGCAAGAATAACCTCTACTGTATCAGAGTTACTCCCTCTGCCCTCCACATTCAGGGAAAGGACTGAGGTTTATCCACCTTGGCAAGTTGAAGAGGTTGATGGTGATTGGTGGTACTGTTATCTGAACAACTAGTCATGTTATGGTGTAATAGAGGTAAAGGGTTCATAAGAGTGAGTGAGTTTAGTTTTACGCTGCTTTTAGCAATATTCCATCAATATCACAGCAAGGGACACCAGAAATGGGCTTCACACATTGTACCCATGTGGGGAATCGAACCCCGGTCTTCAGCGTGACAAGTGGACACTTTAATCATTACGCTACCCCACTGCTTCGGATTCATAAGAATTATTAGTTTCCTTAGCACCTAAGGATGCAAACTTGGAACAGTGCATTGTTTCCTTACAGACAACTGGGACAACCCTGCCCTGCCAGAGATGTGACAAGAGAATACTGGAATATTAGAGGAAATCATGAGGAATCATCTCTTTAGTTATACAGTAGAAGCTAGTTGTCTTGTTACTTGAGTTTATGTTTTAATTCACTCTGACTTGGTTGACATATGTCATCATATCCAATTGCGTAGATCGATGCTCATGCTGATCACTGGAATGTCTGCTCCAGACTCGATTATTTACAGACCGACTGACTGACTGACTGACTGAGTTTGGTTTTACGCCGCTTTTAGCAATATTCCAGCAACATCACGGCAGGGGACACCAGAAAAGGGCTGCACACATTGTACCCATGTGGGGATTCGAACCCGGGTCTTCGGCATGACGAGCCAACGCTTTAACCACTAGGCTACCCCACCGCCCCTATTTACAGACCGCCACCATACAGCTGGAATACTGCTGCGTGAAACAAGAAACAAACTGAAACTAAACCCTCCCTCACTTATATAAACAAGCATTGTCACTAAGGTGACATAATCCCCCGCCGCAAATTATCAAATCAAACTTGAAAAGTAATGAAAGTGAAGGTCGTAATTTAAGATGAAGTTAAATGTCAACAAAAACATGACCAGTCAACCTCTCTTGATATCTTGCTCTAGTTGTTCAAACGTACAAATATTTTCAAGACTCACTTTGACCTTGACATGAATGTCTTAGTGTATGAAATATGCAAAAATAGTAATAAAGAAATTGCTTATTGAAAAACATTCAAGGGAAGTCTTGAAAGTCTATGAAGAAAATCCAGTGAACTGTTCTTGAGATATCTTGCTGACAAGGGTAAAACGTAAAAGTCCCCTTGTGACCTTGAAATGAAGGTCAAGGTCACCAAACCTGACTGGGACCTTTCATTTACTGTGATGAACCTAGGTACCAAATATGAAAAGAATCCAGTCAACAGTTCTTAAGATATTCCAATTCGTACGTACGGACGAAGCCTAATACTATATCCCCCGCTTAGCGCTAAATGCGCAGTGGGGGATAATAATGTTATAAGATACAAAGAAAACACAGATGTATTGTTTCAATATGTTTACTGACCGAGTCAAAATGATTCATGTCAATGCATGGACACATTTTGGAAAACTGGATCATGGAATACTCGTAAATGCAATACAAATACAAGCTATAACTTGAGTTATGCATAATTGCAAAGATGGCGTTGGCAATGTTGTTCACAATTATTTGTTGACCATAAAAGATGAGGATTCTTGTAGTCGTTCTTGCCAGACTGAACATGACCCGGTTCACATGAACATCAGTTGAGTTCACGAGAATAACTCAACAGCTTTGCGAGTTCAAGATGTTAATTCTTTTATTGTGCATGCGGAAAGATAATCTCTTTGTGATGGAATAAGTAATATGTAGATGCCTTGAGCAGTATTTCAATTTTGACGATGAATTGGAGAACTATATCTGATGCAGTTTGTTATTTCACAATTGTTATTTCAGATGTTACTTGTGAAACATATGAAAGAAATACATCGTTCTGCAGTCTAGAAGTTGGAGAGTCAATAATAAAGCAGACAACTTTATGGATAACAACTTCTTTTTTAGGGACCGTTCATAATTTATGGCTCGGGGGTGATGATGACTTTAAGGGGGATCACCCATTTTGTTCTGTGGAGACATGGGGTGTGTGGTGTGGTGTGGTGTGGTGTGGTGTGTGTGTGTGTTAAATCCATTTTGTACACATGTACTAGTTGGGGTCAGCAATTTTCTACATAGAAATATTAACAAATTATGCTTACAAATTATGGGGACGGGGGAGGTGGGGTTTCATTTATTTTCTACATGACATACAGGTCACAGGTCACTTACTTTGTACATAAATTTTAGAGGGGGTCATTCACATTGTACATGCTTCTCCATGAAAATCATCACCACCACCCCCCCACAAAGTAATAAATTATGAACAGTCCCTTGTCGCACAGAGCGATGTTTCGGTGTAGATTCTTACGTCGTTTTCAAGCTAACTTTGTAAGAACCTACACCGTTTTCAAGCTAACTTTGTAAGAATCTATACCATTTTCAGCTAACTTTTAGCGTGAAAACGGTGTAAGAAACGACACCAAAACGTCGTTCTGTGCAATAAACAAGAAGTTGTTATCCATAAAGTTGTATGCTTTATTACTGAAAGAAACGCAGCATGCAATACAACGTGGAGGATTCCAGAAAGATGCTGTCTGCATGGCAAACTGTCATGTCAACACACCCTTTGTCCATAAACACTTTATGCATTATAGAATGTGACTGCATTTTTTATGCAGCATACCCATGATAAATTGTAAGGCTGCACGAATCCACTGTGAGGTGGAATACTTGGGTAACAAATACAATACCACCTTGGCAGTTGATGTATTATTCCTTGTATTCAGTGAAACAATAACATATTTGTTGACCATTTGATTTGACCATGTTGACAGTATTTATGTATCATATTAATGACCTGTTACCACACTTATATTAGTAATTTGAGCAGTTATTGTCAGATTAATAATATAAGAGTTGACTATTATCCTGGATGTATTCCACTTTACATGCTGACATGAAAAAATACTTTGTAATTACTCTGTGTTTTGTACAAAGAATTATCAACAAGTAAGCTGGAGTTGTATGGTTAGAGTTATGTCCCCTGCTTTGATACAGACTTAACAAACATAACTACCTTGGTCATTTATGCTACCATTTTGCACACACTTACATAGGTAAAAAATCGAAGTTGATGTCCTTTATTAACCCTGAAAAAAAGAGATAAAAACCAATTGCTGTATAAAAGCATAATTCTACACTAACTACCATGGAGCACTGGATGAATTGCAGTGATGTCTGGCACCAACTAGAAAGAGAAGCTGGAGGAAGATGCTATTCATTCTACTGCCTAATGCCTAGGTAAAACTTCTGAAACAAATTAGTTTACTGATTCCTACAACCCTAGATATATGAAAATTGGAAAAAGCACCATTGTTTCAGAATGTTGAATAATAAAGGTGTGGTCACTCCGACCAAAGTGCACCAATGCATTACAACATGTTTAAACAATGTAATAAACTTCACCTACACTGCACTAGTGTACTAAAAAAAAGCCAGTCTGCTCGCCTTCAACATTTTGATCAAGGTAGAGATTCTGAAATATCTCTAGCCCCACAAGCAATGGATCTCTCAGCACACCTTTCAGCTCTCCCTGTGTCTGTAGATCAATACAAACATCCAAAACCTAAACAGTCTAGTAGGTATTATAACCATATAAGGTTGCTCAAGTTGTGTGATAAGAGTTAACCCTCTTCAAAATATTTAACTCATGATTTGTAATTAGGGTATAATATTATTAAAATCTAAATTTAGATATTTAAATACTTACCTTACCTCATGGTAATGTGCATATTACCTTTGCACATCCGATACGAAGATTGGTAAGTTAAAAATTATTGATAATTTTGCATAATCATATGTCTGAAAGATATACTGTCAAACAATTTAAAACTTGCTACGAACTTTAAAGGCTAGCTTTCCTACCTGACCAGAAATATTCCTTCACCATTTCACCCATAGCATCGCACAGCATAATATTGAACCACAAGAATAATTAATCTGATATGTCTGTTCTGAAAAGAAATCCACCAACCAACGAGGATATTTCACACGTTATAATGAAAGTCTAACCTCATGTATGAGGATGCTACAAGCAAGAGATTCAGTAAGATAGCATTAATGTAAGGAAATGATGTTGAAAAGGTCATTACAACCACAACATAATGACATGATGACTTTACAGCAACTGATGTAACAATGATAACGTTCTCAAAAGGAGACTGATAAAGGATGTCACAGAAATGAATGTGCTTCGGTATCTTCATGAGCTGGATTTTACAAAATTCATTTTCGGTTTTTTGGCAGGTGATTCGTTTTCATTGTCATTTTCACTTTCCTCTGTGTTGTCTGATAGTTTTCTCTTTTCACATTCTTCAGGTTTATTTTGTTTCTCTCCTGTTTCTTCATCCTTTTCTTGTGTTTGTGCGTCTTCCTTGCTTGTCTCTGTTGTCTGTTTATTCTCTTCTTCATCATGGAAGCCGAGACCAACATGTCCCCGCCGGCCGCCAATCCGACGATGTTCCATTCCTTGCTGATACTGCTCTTCCAACTGTGATGACATCCTTGTCACGTCACCCTCTGAACAAGTACACAATAACATTAGAACAGCACTCTGAAACTACTTTGATTTGCGTAAGTGAGTGAGTGAGTTTAGTTTAACGCCAACTGAGCAATATTCCAGCTATATGGCAGCGGTCTGTAAATAATCGGGTCTTGACCAGAAAATCCAGTGATCAACAGCATAAGCATCGATCTGTGCAATTGGGAACCGATGACATGTGTCAACAAAGTCAGCGAGGCTGACCACCCATCCTGTTAATCGCCTCTTACGACAAGCATAGTCGCCTTTTGTGGCAAGCATGGGTTGCTGAAGACCTACCCCGGATCTTCACGGGTCTGATTTGTGTAAGTCCGCAGAATATACTTGCTGTTGGTTCGCTGCATTTCAGTGTAACCAGTAACGTAAATTGTCCAGAATGTCAAACTGAATTTAAAGGAAGTGAATTTCACATTGTGGTGTTTTTCTGGCTTATGAACACTTGAACCATGCAAGCTAAAATCAAGATTTTTACTTGCACAATTCAAAGCATTCATACTCTAGTAAACCACTACAGGGGTAAATTCATTTCTACAGCATTATATCCTAACGCAGTAATGATTAAATTTACATTGTTCAATCATGAGATACTCTATTCTTCTCCAAACATATTAAAAGACAGATTTTCATTCATGTGAAATAACACTTTATGCCAGATCTACATCATTGAACTATGGTTTTTGAAAGGCTTAAAATGTCAACATTCAAGTCACTTGATGGGGTATACATACTATTCGACAAGAAAACCACAAATATTGTCGGAGTGAGTGAGTGACTTTAGCTTTACGCCGCTTTTAGCAATACTCCAGCAACATTACGGCAGGGGACACTAGAAATGGGCTTCACACATTGTACCCATGTTGGGAATCAAACCCGGGTCTCTAGCGTGATGAGCAAATGCTTTAACCACTAGGCTACCCCACCTCCCTATTGTCTATGTATTGTAAACCAATGTCATAACGATGTGCCCCACTTACGGTCCCGTGCCCCGCCAACATCCTGATCTCCAATTACAAATCGGCCCTGGTGCTCCTTCTGAAAGAAACATAAGACCATAACAAACACATCAAAAGAACATGAACAGTGTGCTTCTCACATACTCCAATGTACACATGACGAGAATAGTTTCTCTCCAAACTCGGTATGTTCATGCAGGGCTCCAGATAAGGGCCGTATCGGCGTATGTACGGATAAAAAATATGCACGATACGGTAGGAAATAATTTAGAAAACGTAGCATATACGCACCACGGCAATGGTGTACGGTCTTAGAATCATTTACAGACGAATTTATCTGAAAAAAGTACTGTTTTATTGTTTATTGACCTGTTTACACAAGACTAGCAATGTTGTGGTGTGTATATGAAACGAAACACAAGGTTACTGATCTGCCATTAAATTCAGTACTCTGAATGTACTCTTATGTTTTTCTAGTACTCCTGCATTGAAAAAAATAAGGAGTACGTACTCCTGATGTTGAAAAATTATCTGGAGCCCTGTTCATGAATTCGGGCCCAGAATCTTGTATGCAAGACATGACCACTTGTCTATTTATGTTGATGTTATGCACAGCACTCATCCATGATGACTTATAAACATGATGGATGCAACTTATGTCTATCTCTAAGCGAGTGAGTGAGTTTGGTTTTACGCCGCTTTTAGCAATATTACAGAAATATCACGGCGGGGGACACCAGAAACGGGCTTCACACATTCACGCATGTGGGGATTCGAACCCGGATCTTCGGTGTGACGAGTGGACACTTTAACCACTAGGCTACCCCACTGCCCCTCTCTCTGTGAGGGTTTGCAGTATTATTATGGTTAGTCAATAAAGATATCCTTAGTATCAAAGAAATCATATCTGACTGCAAAGGAATGTAGATACATGACCATTAAAGGAAAGCCCAAAGTTAAACAGGTAGCAGACATTTATCACTTTTGTGAAACCCACTTGCATGTGTATGGTGAATCAAGAATCACAATCAGGAATTCTGAACACAAGACAGTGTGTCCTGGTATGGGGAACAACTACTAGTATACTACTCACACTTTGCTAAGGATCATACAAATTCACAACTTTACTTAAACATAGATTTATAATTTGAAATTGTATCCATTTAAAATTCTATAAATAATGATATGGTAACACATCTTTAGGAAAACAGCCACTTTAAGCTATCTGTATGCACTTGATACATGAGTAACCATAAAAATGGTTTTCATGGCACCAATCAACCATTTTGCAAATCATTGACAAGCACACAACACCTGTCAATAGCAGGTATGGGATCCACCAGATGAAATGACGTACTGAAAACTTGGATCCATGCTTACAATCGGCTTAGATATTTAAACCAAATTTGAACCCACGTCATAGTTTTCTGTTGAATCAATGATTTGATCCTTAGCAAAGTGTGAATAGTATAGTAGGTAACAACACCTATGATTATTAAGTCATCTTGTCCTTCCATCAGTATGACTGAGTTACCAGTAATACCTAATGACATGTTATACATGAAATATATAAGGAAAACATTGACAAGATCAAATTAAACACCACGTTCCTCAAAATATTCACAATCTGTTTGTATATAGTGACAAAGTATCAGTGACATCTCGAGCCTCACCAAATGATCTACTTACTCACCTCTTACAACTAGCATAGCTTGCTGAAGACCACACAGTCAAATACAAAATTCAATATAACAGATTCCATATAAAACAGCCATTGTAAGTAAAGAGTCAATGTCATTATGGACATGAGAGCATCAGAAAACGAACCTTTGAGGCGCCCATCAATCTTAAGAACTTGGACTTCCTGTCTGCATCCCCAAGATCTGCTGTTTCCCAGCTGTTTGCAGAGTGGACCTGAAATGATAAAGAAATTAATGTTCACAAAGTTCGAGCACACAGAAGTACTCTCATCAGTAGATCAATGAGATTCTTATTGCTTTCCCAGCTCCTGGAGAGTACACAACCTGTTTGGTGCTAGACTTTGAATGAACATATCGATGACGCCCTTCAGGGTACCCATATACTGCTGGATGAATACAGCATATTTTGGACAGTCACTTGCCAGAGAAGACAACCCATTTTATCTGTTGAAATAGATATATGGAGACAATAAAACACCATTTGGGGGGAAGGGGGGAGCTAAACAACACTGCTTTCAGGGTTAAAGAAATTTTAATTTTGTAGTCTCTGATACTGATAAATGTGACTTGAAAACAAAAGTTTCAACCTTATTATGTACAATTTTTGAATTTGTTGTAGCAATCCCATCACCTGTTTTATGTAGCGCTTTGAGCATACACTTTCTACAGAATCCAGCGCTGTATAAATACACACATTATTATTAATATACTGACTATTTCAAGTACTTCTGTGATTACCTATTAGAAAGCTTAGTCTTGCAACTGATCAGCAATACTTAATATGCCTAAATAACATTACATGAGTTTGTTGTTTAATGCTGCATTCTCTCATATTGCTGTTATATGAATGCATAGGGAACCTATCCCTAACCATTGTAACAATTGTATGTTTCGTCAGCAAGACAGGAATCCAAGCATTAAGAATTCTGGCTGCCTAACAGTTAGTGACTGCCTGACTATGGTTTTACGCTGTTTTTAGCAATATTCCAGCAATATTCCAGCAATATCACGGCGGGGGTACACCAGAAATGGATCAGCTATCGATAACAGTTATCGCCAATACATCAGTATCACGTGTGTGCAGTTCTGGTTGATTACAATTCCGCTATTTTCCCCCACTGTATTTGAAAACAATAAAGGACAGCACAAGGAAATTCTTCATGGTAAGTAACATAAGAGAAAAATTAAAATCTACTGTAAATAAAACACTCAAATAGTCACACAATCAATTATTCGAGGTTACTTTTTGATATAAATATATAGTATTTTACGAATGACATGAGAAATTCTGACATGGCGATAAATGTTACAGTTAGTTGTGAGAAAACATCTATTTGCACTGCTATGATTCCCTTCCGCCATGTTATATAAAAACATGATCGGTGGCAGTGAAAAGGGTGGACACATCAGTGAATAGCTAATTAAGTATCATAATTAATTCTGTTTCATTAATTTAACCAAACGGCGGAGTAATTTTGTAAATACTGCTAAAACTGCGATAACTGTTTGGCAGCCAGTAGAGTTGGGTGTAACCTACCCAAACCCCAACACATCTAACCCTCAGGATCGAAGAGGCATGTGACAAGCCAACTAGCCTTATGGTGAGCTGCTCCTGGTAACCTGCACCCTTGCCAAAACATCTAAAAGTGGCCACATATCAGTTCTTATTTCACAGGTGAGTACAGCATTGTAAAGTCTAAAGTTCCGGAAAGACTTCCGCCCATATCCCCCCTTAAATTTCATTCTAGTCAAATCATATCACCCTCATCTGATAAGGATGAGTTTTAACATGTTTCTTTAATTGTATCGGAACATACTGAAAGACATATCCAACTTATGAAAATGCCACTCGAAGGAATTTTTCCTAATCGTTCAAATTTAGAGGGATACGGGCGGAAGTCTTACCCTAAGTCGAAATTTTCCTCAGGTTCGGTAATCTCCCAGCTAACAGGGGCTCCTTTTTAAATTAAATAGAGTAAGTGTTTTTTTCGCAAAACTATATATATTCAGAGACAACGCGTTAGTCAAAAATAAAAGTATGTGTGTATCTCGATCGAGTGAGCAGGTACCGTCCAGCCTGCAGCTTGGTTTCGAAATTAGACTGTTGGCGAGAAACATTAATCGCTCTGGATCAGTGGCCCTTTAAGTTCTATTATGATACACAATGGCTGAAAGTAGCTCGTAGAGTTATATTTCACATCACAATTAAATAATGCCCATTTTCCTCTGATACTAACCCACCCCAATTGTCTCAGAAGAATTAAAATAAATTATTGCAAACCATCGTCCTGTCACAATATACTGCCTCACAAGCACCTGTTCTCTGATCGAAAACCGAACAATAATTATCTAACTAATTTCATCGTATAAAACGCATGAAGTTGGATTTTTTAGCGCCGTGCATGTTTTGCAAAATAAACCTTTGCTTCTGCAGCCTCGTTTTCCGTTTTGTCAGAGGTGTTTTTAGTGCTGTCGTTTGTACCGTCACTCATTTCTGCGTTTATCGTTTCGACTGAAAGTACTCCGGAAGCCGGTGACCGACGTTTGCGCATGCTCTCTCAATAACTTCCTTTCACGATCCAACACCATCAAAATGGTGAGGAGTATGACTTGTTCTTCCAAAATCTGTGTTCATCCTGAGCATTGAGTTACCAACATTCTTAATCATGACCAAGTTTAAATCTCTATTCTCGACATTACTCACCTGGCAATATATTACTATCACCGGATCTTTAATTATGCCGATATGGTATCGTTTTTGACTGCTGTGTAGTGACATAAACATCTGCACCTGGACGAGTTTGGTCGAAAATACACCGCGTAAATTCGGACAGTTTGTGTTAATATCATGATAACAAAGTTTCCACACACGAAAAGATTTAAAGTCGCTTAATATCTAGAATGAACATGCTTCTGTTTTTCAAATGGACTGAAAAACAATTGAATTGCAAGTTGAGTTGGTTACTTATTGCACACCCAAAAGATACCGGTCTTGATCAGAATCGCTATAATGCGGATTGTGGAATGTTGTGTCGAACCCAGATCCCAGGGTATAGATAATCTTACTTTTGCATTGGTATTTTGTAGATTATACCAGTTGACAGACAACTTCGTTTGAGACAAGTAGATTGGGGTATGAGCTAGTCAGAGTATTCTACATGAAGTATCCATTTTTGAAACATTATGAAATTTATAGTAATGCTCTTCAAAATGCCCAAGTAATCTGGTGTATGCTAATGTGAGGGCGAATTTTTGACACTCTTGCAGATTATATGCTTTCATTTTAGTAAATCCTAAGATCGTAATGTGGATCCAATCCCTTAATATCTAGAATCACAATGGAGAAAAGAACACTTCAAGAAGGTTTGAAAATCAAAGAGCTAAAGAATTTTACTTCAGCTCAATGATTTAGATTTTGGTGTAAAAGCTTATATAAGACTAAAAGAATGCTAGTGCACATTTTAAATGTTTAAACCTTGATTCACTGTCCTCAGTCAAACAGTCCTTGAGGTTTGCACCTATGTCACTTGAACACAGCACCCGTTAAATCTTATAGCAATGGGGTATTGACGTACACATTACATTGGAACCATCTGATTGTTTTTAGGTGAATATCCCGAAACAGAGGAGGACCTTCTGCAGAGGAAGGGAATGCAAGAAACACACCATGCACAAAGTCACCCAGTATAAGGCTGGCAAAGCCTCCCTCTATGCCCAAGGTACAGGACTGTTTCACTTTCAGATATATGGAAAAAAGTATTTCAGAATTGACACACAAGGATTATTGGCTCTTGAGTACTCGTCAGTTGAGAGTGTGTAGTGTTCATTCTTATACATAAAGAGGAAGGACCATCTGTGGCCACAGGAGACAAAAACTACTTTGGGATCCTTTTGTCATCCAGAAGTGCCAGAGTGCCAAAATTTCATGATCCGTCTCAGTTGAATTTAATTTCTTGTGCTTAAAGCACATTTAAGGAATTGCTACTGCTAGCAGTCAAGGAAATATAGCCACTTTTGCAGTATTTCCCAAGTCATGACAACTATCATAGTGTTTTTTGTGTGTTTTTCCTAAATTAATATGAATGGGAGTCTATTTTTTACTGTTTCATCACAAAATTAATTTTCTCCTTAGCAGACTTGCCTATCCTTATGATTTTGGCGTAAGACTTACTATTTTTGGTGCTAAGTTACGACCTTATGAATATGATCATACTGAAATTTGTACGACTTCTACAAATAAATGGTAGAATACTAGATATAGACATGCCCATGCTATTTATAGAGTCATTTACGGTACAAAAAGTACAGAAAAATAGAAGTCACATCAAAAACATAAATAAATAATTTTTCTACCTTACAGTGCTGGTAAAGTTTATTTCAAAGTTGAAGACTTTAAAAAACGTAATTAGATTGGCACCACATTTTACTATTTAACACTATGTTAACATATTAACTAGCAATGTTCTTACTTTATTTCTTGACATTAATCTGTCTTACTATCAGATGCCCCTGCCTTACCATTTTTTTTTAGCTGATCTTACTATTTTCTTTAAAATGGGGTAGGCAAGTCTGCTGTAGATTCTTCATTTCAGTAAAAAAACCTCAGTTGTATCTAAAAGACCTTTGATAACACTGCTCAGTTGAACATTTGTTTTCAAAAGTCTGTTTTTCAAACCATCCTTCCAGCACAACTGTGCCTCTCTGGAATCTGTTGTCTTGGTGTCAACTGAGTCACAGATAAAGACAGAGATGGTGGTGCAATGGAAGAAGATGAATTGAGCATTTCATGAGTTAATGATTTCACTTGGACCTCTTTCTCAATGTCCAGTAGTGAGATCTGTTACATGAGTGCAACATATTGACCAAGTATGAGGTAGTTTAAATGTTGTTTAACAAGAATTAAAGTATTTTTAAATCAAACCATACCTACTGCAGGAAATCTGTTTGCTGAATGTTTAATTTTGTTTTTATTTTCTTTTAAAAATTCTTATGTCTCTAAACTGTAGTGTCATACGTATTAGCAAATCCACACTATCGTGTTTGTTTAAACTTTTGTCATCCCGTCTATAACAATTTCAGTGGAATTTCCTTACTTTCTTGCATTATCATCTTCAGTACTGTTTTTGCCCAAATAACCTGTTACGTCCGGTATTAGAGAACAAGGCCCCCTTTTTCTCTCTGTTGAAAGGGTGTGAAGAACAATGTTTAACCATTTGCTTGAATCTTTCCTGTGCTTTTTGATTTTTAAACTAAGTTTTTTGGTGGTGTATCCATCTTTTCTGTCTGAGCCTGAAATCCATACCACTTCCTTGGGTATGCTTTCATACTATCACCCATGTTTCTTGTAGGCTGGAGGTACGAATGTCACTCATCACAAAAGCAAACAAGGAACTAAAACAGCTAAAGTTCGAAAAAAAACCCAGCTGCTCAGAAAGTTGTATTAGTCATGAATGCAGAACAATCATAGTTAATTAGTTACATTATTGAATGGGAGTCTAGTTTTTACAGTTTCAGGGCAAGATGTTTTATGATTTTGCCTTTTTGTTTCAAATGGTTACAATTTAGTATTGTCCTTCAAGCACAACTGTGCCTCTCTGGAATCTGTTGTCTTGGTGTCAACTGAGTCACAGATAAAGACAGAGATGGTGGTGCAATGGAAGAAGATAAATTTATATCACTTCATGAGTTAATGATTTCACTTGGACCTCTTTCTTAATGTCCAGTGACGGCCTCCGTGGTGTAGTGGTTAGAGCGTCCGCCCGGAGAGCGGAAGGTCGCGGGTTCGATCCCCGACCGCGTCATACCAAAAGACGTTAAAATATGGTACTTGTTGGTCCCTGCCTGGCGCTCGACATTAATGGGTACAACAAGGACTGGTCGGCTCGGAGTCAGTATAATGTGTCTGAGTGGGGTATTCATGCTTCACTGCGGCATGGTATTTCAGTGGGCTAGCACTATAAAACCAGCTTCAGTCTGGGCTAGTACAAGCAGCCGCACATACACATACACACGCATGCACGTCGTCATATGAGCGAAATATTCTCAAGTACGACGTTAAACCCAATTTCACTTCACCTCACCTCACCTCTTAATGTCCAGTAGTGAGATCTGTTACATGAGTGCAACATATTGACCATGAGTAGATTAAACGATATATTAAATATGAATTAAAGTGTATTTTCTAATCCAACCATACCTACTGGGTGAAATATGTAATACATTTTAAAAAAAAATATTTCCAATATTTTCTTTGTCTCTGAAATGTAGCATCATACTTGTCAGCTAATACACATTATCATGTGTTTCATCACATCTATGACAATTCCATTTGATTTAACTTGCTTTTAATGGATTATCTAAGTATAAGTAGATCAAACGGTAGATTAAACATGATTTAAAGAATATATTTAATGCAGCTATGCGTATCTGAGAAATATTTTGTCCATCTGACGTGTTTTATAACATTTTCCTGAATGTCTAGACTGTAATTGACATTTTACCTAATACACACTAACATTGTTGTGTTAACTGTTCCACAGTCTGATATTGCCAGTAGATTCTCCATTCTTCATGAAAGTCATAATCTTGTTTATTCTGTTTCATCTGTACAGGTAAGAGGCGATACGACAGAAAACAGTCTGGATATGGTGGTCAGACCAAGCCTATTTTCCACAAGAAGGTAACTAAAACTGGAGACACATTTGTGCAACCTGAATTAGCTTCATCTTGATGAGAGCAAATTTTGTGCTTTCATTTGTGTAACAATATAGAGTAGTCTTTTTTAATTGAAATATTTGTCATAATTTTATATTGAGTTTGTAAATTTGGATAATTGATAATCCTGACTAAGCACTTAATTTCCTTTTACCCAATTCTTCCCTGTGTTATAGGGACTGTTAGCCCTGTTTTGCATGGTTTACTCATATTCTGCCTACATCTCATTCTGCCTACAGACATGATAAAAGTGTAGGCAGAATGAGAAAAATCAGGTCACCTCTAATTTAGAAATGGACTTGTCCGTGACATAACATAACAGAATCTTGATTGTATTCATATTTTATTTATATTAGATAACATGATATATAGACATTTGTATCGATGTTTGCATCGTCAACTACACAATACGAGTGCATCGATACAAAACACATTTAGGCAATATATCAGGATATTTATATCGTGAGGGTCCAAGATACATCGATGTATCGTCACAAGAGACGTTATATTCCAATACAACTAAAATACTACCTATTGCATTAGGAATAGGAAGGGAGTCTCTTTGAAATTCTTCTGAATTTTAATAACAAATTGAACCTTATAGGAATTTGTTTGTGTCTGATATATTTGTAACAGGAACGAAGGAGTTGGTGTATAAGTGAAAGAGTGAACATTTTTCAAACTCTTGAGAATTGTAGAATAGTTGTTTTCAAGTAACTGAAATATGTTTTAGTTTGACAAATAACACCATTTAACAAACTCTGAGAATTGTAGAATAGGTATACTGAATGTTTGTACTTTCTTAAGCATTAAATGCTGAAACTTTATTAGATGAACTTTATTAGAAATCTGTATCGTCATTCATTGTAGATTGCTCATGGTTTGTTCAATATATTATTGAATATTTTAGACTTGTCTGTGTTCTATTTTGCTGGTTCAAAGGTGACTTTTACACCTTTTGTCAAGGCAAATTATTAACAGTAACAATGTTACATTTGACCACTTTCTAAAATGGCATTGTATATTTAATAAGAAAACAGTTAGTAACAAAAACATAAGAATGTCCATATAACAAGGAAGAATCAAGCAGTCCACTTATCCAAACAACTCAAACCAAAAACCGAACACAAAAAAAAAACAAGTCACAAAAAAAAATCAAGCTCTTCCATTTTTTCTTGTGGGGAGGAAGGGTCAAGTATTATCTATAGCTTTCTCATTCTGCCTACACACTTGTGACCAGCAGACCATGACGTGTGTTGTTTTTAGCTGTAGGCAGAATGAGCTGTAGGCAGAATGAGAGGACACCTTTTGCATGATAAGTGTGTCCTATTAGCAGTAATGAAAACAGTGAAATAAATTAGCTTGATCATGTCACCGCATACTGTGTTTAGTAAACAAATATTGAAAACTCTCAACATGGCTGTGGTTATTCCATGACAATGGTTGTGTAGAAGAAAGATCACTAAGAGGAGCTTATGCACACTCAATTACCCCTGCAATGGGGTCATGTCACAAGACATCGTTTTTGTGTTTTGGCAAGGAAATATCACAAATGAGCCTAATATGACATGTTTATAATGTTTTTGGTGCTGAAATCTAAGGCTTGATCTAATCAGACTTTCAGAATTGTGGAAGGACGTGAAATTTTCTTTATGATTTTTTTGTCCCACAGAACATTTGAATATATTTTGTTTCTTGCGTTCAGGCAAAAACTACCAAGAAGATTGTACTTCGTATGGAATGCAGCCAGTGCAAATACAGGAAACAGCTCTCCCTAAAGCGCTGCAAGCACTTCGAGTTGGGTGGTGACAAGAAGAGGAAGGTATGTAGTTGGGGAGGGTCTGGGCAGTTATGTCCCTTGGAGGAGTTAGATGTTCATGTGCAGCGTTGCTGTTGTAGTAGGGAATCGACAACCCCCTCAAGTGTTTCATAAACATTGGGGTTTATAAAGCTCAATAACATCTGAGAATGTTTGATATCCTGTAAAGTTTTGCCTTTTTGTTTCAAATGTTTACAATGTAGGATTGTCCTTCCAGCACAACTGTGCCTCTCTGGAATCTGTTGTCTTGGTGTCAACTGAGTCACAGATAAAGACAGAGATGGTGGTGCAATGGAAGAAGATGAATTTAGCATTTCATGAGTTAATGATTTCACTTGGACCTCTTTCTTAATGTCCAGTAGTGAGATCAGTTACATGAGTGCAACATATTGACCAAGTATGAGTAGATTAAACGATAGATTAAATATGAATTAAAGTGTATTTTCTAATCCAACCCTACCTTCTGGGTGAAATACGTCCAGTTGTGAGATCTGTTATGTGAGTGCAACAGACAACACAGTGCTAATTCATCTCTTTCACGAGTAGCATATGATGCATTAGAAATTAACAGCTAATGTCTTCAGATATATGATATAGCGTTTGAATCCAAAATTCTTTTCTAATACTGTGCCTTTTTGTTTTGCAGGGCCAGATGATCATGTTCTAGATGTGTCCAGCCTTTGTGTATAAAAGAAATAAATGGGAGAGCTTACTTGTGTCTTTGTGTTCATTCCATGATGGGGCAGTGGGGTAGCCTAGTGGTTAAAGTGTTCGCTCGTGACATGACCGGAGTTAGATTCCCCACATGGTTACATATGCGAAGCCCATTTCTGGTGTCACCCACAGTGATATTGCTGGAATATTGCTTAAAGTGGTGTTAAACTAAACTCACTCTTTGCATGATGGGGTGTGTGAGAGTACTAGAGAGGCCTTCACAGTAACGAGAACTTGATTGCCTTAATGGCTGCCAGATGTTAATGTTTAATTCAGTTCACACCAGTCAATAATTGCTGATTGGTACAGAGACTACTGAGAAGTGTCTTCAAGATACTGGTTTACTGGCATGGCAGATGAATATACTTGTAGCTGTTCTATTACCGGGACTGCTTCAATCCAATACACCTAACTCAACTTGTATGCTGCAGTTTGTAATACTTCTGATTTCATGACGGAGGGTATAATTAGTACAGACAACATATTCAAACATTTCATTCAAAACAGATGAATCTTCACATAGGTATGTGTTGGTTTCTGGGTTTGTGCTAAGAGGCAATCAAATGGATCAGGCTGTGACTTAGTTGTCTGCATGGGATGCAGCTCATATCAGTCACTGGATTGTCTCCACCTGACTTGAGTATTTACTGGCCATTGTATATGTATACCTGACATCTGTGACATCTGTACTTCGTGTTTAGTATGAATCTATGGACATGTTCTTTTGCAGCTTTCTCCTTTTGGGAAAAATCACAACTCGACAGCATTCTTCCATTCTTGTTCTGGAGTAAACTCTGGATTCTAGCACGAAAAAGGTAGCTGGAATATTGCGGAGTGTCATGTTAACAAAAAGTTAAACCCATTGAGATTCTCCTGCAGAACAGAATCAGTGGGGTAGCCTTGTGGTTCAAGCGTTAGCTCGTAACATCGAAGGCCTGAGTTCAATTCCCCACATAGGTACAATGTGTGAAGCATATTTCTGGTGTCCACCGAGGTGTCGCGAGAGTCATATTGTTGGAATATTGCTAAAAGCAGTGTAAAACTTACCTCACTCATGTAGAATAGTTGATTAGCACTGACCTGAATGATTCAGATGTTGCTATGATGATCTTAATGATCATGCTATCAACCAGTGGTTTACCAGTATAAACAAATTACAGGTGGAAACCTGAAGCCCATTTCTGGTGTCACCCACAGTGATATTGCTGGAATATTGCTTAAAGTGGTGTTAAACTAAAATCACTCTTTGCATGATGGGGTGTGTGAGAGTACTAGAGAGGCCTTCACAGTAACGAGAACTTGATTGCCTTAATGGCTGCCAGATGTTAATGTTTAATTCAGTTCACACCAGTCAATAATTGCTGATTGGTACAGAGACTACTGAGAAGTGTCTTCAAGATACTGGTTTACTGGCATGGCAGATGAACATACTTGTAGCTGTTCTATTACCGGGACTGCTTCAATCCAGTACACCCAACTCAACTGGTATGCTGCAGTTTGTAATACTTCTCTGATTTCATGACGGAGGGGTATAATTAGTACAGACAACATATTCAAACATTTCATTCAAAACAGAGATGAATCTTCACATAGGTATGTGTTGGTTTCTGGGTTTGTGCTAAGAGGCAATCAAATGGATCAGGCTGTGACTTAGTTGTCTGCATGGGATGCAGCTCATATCAGTCACTGGATTGTCTCCACCTGACTTGAGTATTTACTGGCCATTGTATATGTATACCTGACCTGTGCTGACATCTGTACTTCGTGTTTAGTATGAATCTATGGACATGTTCTTTGCAGCTTTCTCCTTTTGGGAAAAATCACAACTCGGACAGCATTCTTCCATTCTTGTTCTGGAGTAAACTCTGGATTCTAGCACGAAAAAGGTAGCTGGAATATTGTGGAGTGTCATGTTAACAAAAAGTTAAACCCATTGAGATTCTCCTGCAGAACAGAATCAGTGGGGTAGCCTTGTGGTTCAAGCGTTAGCTCGTAACATCGAAGGCCTGAGTTCAATTCCCCACATAGGTACAATGTGTGAAGCATATTTCTGGTGTCCACCGAGGTGTCGCAGAGTCATATTGTTGGAATATTGCTAAAAGCAGTGTAAAACTTACCTCACTCATGTAGAATAGTTGATGAGCACTCATGAGTGACCTGAATGATTCAGATGTTGCTATGATGATCTTAATGATCATGCTATCAACCAGTGGTTTACCAGTATAAACAAATTACAGGTGGAAACCTGACGTCTGTAGGAAAGACAGTTGCAGCTTTTGACATGACACAACACAACCAGCATGCATTAAAAATAGATAACATTTTATTTATCTGTTTACTATTGACAACTAACAATATTTTGTGCGGTTGGAGATGATTAGTGGCTAAATGTTCTCTCAGGACACTGAAAACAAGTTTGATTCCAAGGTTGATTTGTAGGTACAAAGTCTGAAGCCCATTTCTGGTGTTCCCTGCCATGATACTGCTGGAATATTGCTAAAAAGGCAGTATTACCGTAACTCCCTTGCTCAAATTATTTCGGATTTATCAAATACCAGTTTTAAGTACAATTACGAAAACAATTTCAAGGTGTTTGGACAGAAGAAATCATACGTTATATTTTGATTTCCTTCATGTAAAGTGAATGCATTGTTTGGAGGGAAGCAAGCAGTCAACTATGATTAATAATCACTCGTGAAGGTATCCGAGAACAAATGGGGTGACTGAAAACAGTAAACATGCTGACGAGGCTTGTGTTCTGTTCCAACTGGACATGGACGATCATCACAGTCCGCATTTGTGCAGCAGTTAGACTGTGGCTGAGGAGGTACCTGTACATGTTAGAAAGAGAGGACCATACATTTATTACACTGCTGGCCCATCGAAAATTCAAATTCATACTTCTGGAAGGCCAAGAAAGGGACTGACAAGTCATATTTAGTGTCTTAATTCATGTCGTAATGGCCTAGGGGCTGGTGGGGTAGCCTAGTGGTTAAAGGATTGGCTCGTCACGCCGAAGACCAGGGTTCGAATCCCCACATGGGTACAATGTGTGAAGCCCATTTCTGGTGTCCCCTGCCGTGATGTTACTGGAATATTGCTAAAAGCGGCGTAACACCAAACTCAGTCAGTCAGTCGTAATGACCTAAATGTGTCGACTGATGCCCATGATGTCACCCATGTGATGATACAGGTCCAGACTTGATTATTTTCAGACTGCCCTCTTATAGCTTGAAGGTTGCTGTATGTAGTGACACAAAAATCATCATTGATCAGGCTTTTCAGTCAATTTAGACCTAACACTTCCGTTTTGAATGAGCTCAGCTTTAAACTTGCTTTAGCACACATTACCTCGCTGATCCCTTAGAATCTAGAGTCAATACAACTACATTGTACTAATTTCCTGAATATGTAGGCAATGACCACACCCTTGGATTATCTTCAGAGGATAATGGGATCACTTCTCACTTGTGCATCTTCAACTTTTCAAATCTTATACTCCCGAGTCTACAAGGACTGTAGAGGGCTTGCCAGGTGATGAATTGGAACTGTTGTTCGTGTGACCTAAAAATACAGATTTTCCAGTTTTTGACTGCCATGTTCCTTTGTCACAGTGTACACTTGCTCAATGATTCAACTCTATGATTTATCTATAAAGTAGATGTGTCTCTTCCCAACAATTAAATCATGCTCCTTGGAAACAGTTTCCACATAATCCTTCTTAGGCATGAGGCTCCACTCTCTTCCAAGACAGCTTGAAACTGCAGAAGCCATTCTATTCTCCTCCCAATTAGCTTTTGCGAAGTCGATCGCTTCCTGTGGCACAACCATTTCATCCGGGACATCAAATCTGAATCTTACCATATCCTCTTGTATATGAAAGTTTTGTAAATTTTTGTTTAGAAACACAATGATGAGCAGTGTGCTACTGGAGAGTACATCCCTTGTTGCAAGAGTGTGTAGCTTGGGACATGTTTGTACGATTCTGACAATACTTGTGTCATGAGAGTTGGAAACTACATCTTTGTAGCCATAGCGACAGCTGGAAGCCAGAACATTGTAGTTGACAAACTCTTCCAGCCTGTTGCCATAGTTGGCCAGAGCATCACACAGTTTGTTATAATGCACAGAGGTCAAGGTCATAAGCACCAGCGACACCAGAGGAACACTGGGCTTGAACAATTCCTCATCCAAGTTGCCCAGGACTTTCACATGAAAATACACTCGTAGCTGTTTGTGACTAGCCAGATCCTGCCACTGGTCTTCACTCAGATTATTCATTCGTTGCTTTTGTTGGTGTAGTCTGATGCGGAGTATCGTGAGAGACATTCCAGCGAGGTGCTTGATGAGGCTGTAATGGACGTGGTTGTAATCGAGTGCAAGTTCCTGAAGGTGAACCAGGTACATCAGAGAACTAACTGAGTAGGAAGGGAAGGAATTCACCAAACTCAGCTTCTGTAGAGTCTGGCAATGTTGCAGTCCAATTGGCAGGGGATCATTATTTGAAGCAGGTGTAAAGGTTAGCCCTCTCATTTGCACACTTTTCAAGTGTACGTTCCTCTGAAGAAAGTCATGAATAAGTGATCGGAAACCATTTGGAAATGCAATTTTTCCATTATTGCAGAGAGCAATGGTTTCTACATTTGCACAAGTGTTCGAGATTTCTGTAAATATGTCAAAAGAGTCACTGTCACAGAAAGAAAGTTCAACATGTCGGAAATATCGCCCGTAATCATGAATGCAGCTTATCAGACCAAGTATTAAGCTTTCATCGTTTTTAAGGTCTGTTCCAAAGTCTTCATCATCACGCAGATGTGTGAAGTATTTCCAGACATGTGGTACTGACAGTACCCTGTTCCAGGCCTGGCACACATGCCCCATCTTCAGTCTCTCACATGGGTGTAAGTAGCTGAAGATACTGGCCAGATTGACCTCGGGGAGACCAGCCCACTCAGCAGCCATCTTGGAACCACTGAAAGTGAAAGTAGAGAAATAATCAAATGTGAAACCACAATTACTTGAGTTTGCACATTCAGCAATATTCCAGCCATGACGATGATCTGAAAATAACCAGGTATGGACTGTAACATATGTATGTCTGGCCAACAGAGGCTCACTAAACAAAGTATTGCTAGTTGTAGGTTTGCAGTACATACTAAGGGGGGATCACTCTCATCTGACTTCCTGTTCAAGGCCATATGGTCACAGCACCTGCCACTGTAAGCATCCAAGTTCCTAATAAAGCTTTCTAACACAAAGCTCAACTTTGTAACCTCATTACATGGATCGTGCAAAAATGGACTGATATCGGAAATGTCCCCAGCTGTGGCTGTGTGCCTTGCATAATATTTTTCAGATGATTAGTAAGGAGAAATATCCTTTGCTATTAGTGTGATGAAAAGCCATTTATGTGGATTTTGGAGCAAATCACTGCATCTCATGAAAATAAGAATGGATGCATATACATGTAATTACCTATGTGAGTCCCATGGGTTGCAAAAAACATATAGCTGAATGAATATATTTAATTTTAGACATCAAAGTATTGATGTAAAGTTTACTATCCAAGGTCATTTCTTCACTCTATCACCTTCATAATGCTGCAGAGAAAATCTAATCCATAAGTTTGATGGAGAGTTATTGAGGGTCATAAACTCACAGCATTAAAAGCAACCCTGTACTCATATCATAAATGGCAATATGATATTATACGCTTGTGCATTTGGGAAGATACGTCCAACACAAATAACACATTCTTCAGATGAAAACAGTTTTTTGCCTTGCACAAACATTTTTCAGATGATTAGCCAGGAGAAACCTAGAAAAGATATTCACCATAACACAAATGAAACACCCATAAAAGAACTAGGGTCGGCCTCCTGAAGTTGCTTACAGTTAGAAAAAATATGGGTGACAGTTATCACCCTGGGTCCCAGAAACAGCAGCCTCAGTCCCGGAGCTCAGTCATTGGCGGTCAGGGTGAGAGTGTTTTACACCCACCCCTGTATTTGCTTCATGCAGACAACCACATCACTGACTGAAATTTTGATGAATTAAATCTTTTGGCTGTGATTTCAATCACTTACAATGACTACAAATAGTGGTCATTTCAATTTATACATGGCACATTTTTCTTTGCTCATTTTTGTAGAATTTCAGGCTTGCTAAATCATAAATAACTTGACAATGGACGCAACGAATTTATTAGCGCATCCACAGGACGCAGAAAAAGTCCAAATACTTTTTGTAAAAATTCCAATCAAGTAACAATAAGTTATCAGTGAGTGTGCTACTAGCTGGTTAAGGTATCATTTGCAATTTAATTACTGTAACAATATAACAATTACTGATGATCATGATACACAATACAATAACAGTAACTGAATTATAGTATCAATGATAATATTTAAGTGTCTGGGATCCCCATTTTGTTGTCCAGGACCCCTGAAAAATAAGAGTGTGAGTCTCAGGGACCCTCAATTACAATGACTCGAGGTAAATCCCTGTGTCAGGTGTTACTTCAGTCCTCCAGTCTTTGGTTAGAGTTTGATGGCTACCTCTAACATACACAGCTGGTGTTAAGGTTGTTATCCAAAAGTCATTGGGCACTGCTGTATACACAATGATTGAGCTTCATTAACATCGGTTTCAGCTTTAACAACCAAAAAGTCTTGAAGTTATTGTAAATTTGATGAAAGTCGTGGCCATCAAGGCAGCATTTTCAATGGTTAATATGAATGGACAGCACATTTGGTAGAAAAAGTCTTAGACGAAACTAGACGAAACTAACGTTGGTTATTTGCGATATATAACAGTAACTTCATAGCCCATACATTCAAGCTGACGAATGGGCGTACATACTCACTAATTCTGGAACGCGGAAGTCACATATATACCGTAATCAGTGTGTAAATACTGTAATGGGGAAGGGGGGCGGATACCAAAAGCTGTGATCATAACACCATCTTACCCTTTCAAATGTTTGTCTTCCATTTCATATCTTCATTCTCCATGTGAAGACAAACACTGTCATGATGTACGTCTTGATACTCATCGACACGTGAGTCGGTGTCAATAACAAATTATCACGTGATTTACAAGTTTATGACGCACGTTGCTACAGTAAACACTTCCAAATTAAACTAGGCTTCTGTCTACACTGTAAGCGTTATGCTTGCCGCGCTTGCCATCGAGGAAACTAGTTAGATTCCTGAGCTCGAAATACGCATGCCTGGAGAGAGGCATTCTGGGATATAATTCCAGAGGAAAACAAAATCAGATGGTAAGTATGGAAAATATTTTTTGTTATAGCTCAAAATTTAGATCTGGTATTGTTTAAACAGTTTTAAATATTCTCGAAAATAATAAGATGAACTAGTTTTTATTTCTAAACGACATTATTCCTCTCAATTTGTTAAAAAAACATGTGAAGAGCTGGTTGTACCGAATGTGTTCCATTTTCGTGCAGTAAGTTTATCATGGTAACGAACGTCTTCAGGTCGATTTGCGTGAATATTTACACACACTATCGGATGCAATCCGTGTATTTGGCAATCCAGACTGAAAATTACATGAACATTTTACAAGGTGTAAAGAAACATGTCGGATTTATTCCTGGAAGACTCCTCGTTATTTGAATGCTATAGGATTAGGAGTAAAACTGCATTAGGTCTTTGTCAACAGACAACACAGCTACCACAGCCACAGTTCCTTCTGTTCAAGTATACTCAAATGTTATTCAAAGTTAGTCATTTTGAAAATTACAATTTGCACAGATACAAATGTTATGGTCGATGGTCAAAATGGGACAGTTCAGTCAAGACATGACCATGCAAGTCACGCCTCTCTTCTTCAAGAATTAAAGATTGGGTGTTATATCTCACGCAGAGGCATTGTATGGACCAGAAGAACAGTATATTATATGTAATTGTAGTTGTGCTATGGTCCTTTGTTGAACATGGGGAGCCATGATTTTGGATATAATTTAATTATGTTTAATGAATCAGGTATGGACACATAGTAACTAGATGGTGTGTAATAACTAGATCTGCAGTGTGTATTTCACTTTTCATATTGTCCATGTTGTATTTGAACAGGTGTGGATGTGCATGTTATGAATCGTCTCAGTATGATGGAACATGTACATCTCGCAGGTGAAGATGAGGATGATATGTACTCAGGCTTCAATGACTATAATGCCACATTAGACACAGAGGTAAGTGCATCCATTATGAAGTACATGTAAATCATGGTAACTGAATTTGATAGTCCCATTGGGTTTGCAGAGTAGTGATCTTTAGGACCTGTGCTTGCACTAATGGCTGACTTAAGATAGCTGAAGTGTGTGACCTGGCTGTGATTACATTTTTGCATTGCCCAATGATGTGGATTCAGTTATAGGCGTCTATCACTGACTCTGGGCTGCATTTGGAATGATTGAATAAATACAGTTTTATCATGTTGATATCCATCTTCGGATTGGTTTATATTCATGATATGTATGGGAACTGTTTCTCTTGTGTTATAGGATCTTGCACATGATGAGAATTTCCAGAAGGCTGTGTTGAGAACAAGCCATGGCAGGAGGCCGCCACCTGTAAGTAAAACGTAATACACACACACCAATTTGGACATTCACCTGTGTGAAAGATAATCATGTGTTTAAAAATGATAACCTGTATTTTTGAGAGAGATCATCATCTTAGTTCTTCAATTTTATAAAACAACTGTTTTTGTGCCCTTATCATTTAACTTCATGGACATGTTTAGTTGCTGGCCACAAATGACAATTCATTGTCAAAATGATTTTGGTCTTCACTGAACTATACTCTTCTCTTTAAGCCAATTCTTGGCATTTGCCCTGCAATTTAAACTGATTTCAGAGTGGTCCTAAACATAAGGATATCATGTAAATGCATTAGTTTATGTTATTCTATGTGACTTTATAAATACTGTGGATCATTTGTTCTTCACCGGTGTTAAAATGGCCCAAAAGATCCATGTCTTGCTATATTTCTTACAAAAAAATGTACTTTGAAGAAAGCTCCCAAATGAATACATCTATGAAGGTGAATAATTGAGAATTTGATGTTTGTGAAATGCTCTTGTTAAGAAGATGCTATTTGTGATCCTTTTAGACTGCAAAGATGCCACCTGGAACATCCGCCCGTCTTGGGACGGCAGCACGAGGTAGGCTAGGCATGCCATCTTCCATGGGTCGACCAATCACTGGTGCCATACAGGCTGATGGACAGGCTCGACCAATGACAGCAGTGCGGGCAGCAGGATTTACGTCGTCTGGCAACAGAGGTAGATAAGTTACCATTGATCACCCACCAAATAGCTAGAGAACACAGATGGGGATGGTTTTGTAATGTGTTTGTTTGTATCAGGTCTGATGAAGAATCAGTGTTTCCTTTCATTTATTTTAAAAAAATTGAAAATCTATTAAATTCTAGATGATTTAGGTAATGTAATTAAGAATGAGTGAGTTTAGTTTTATGCTGCTTTTAGCAATATTCCAGCAATAGCACGACTGTGATATAAAGGCAATTAACATCTCTTCTGCATGACTAGAAGAAAACATTCAAGTGTTTTCAACTAAACTATGATTGTATCTGTCCAGGTGTTGGATTTGACCCCATGAATCAAGCAGGACGTGGACCAGCTCCCCCCCTGGAACCAAAGCCTGAGGACAGGTGAGATGCCGCTGTACACACTATTGTAGGATTCTTTGTGTCAAACAGGCTCATGAAAAATGTAACACAAAATGGTACAGTTTTGAGAACAATCCTAACACCCCCTATAACTGATATATTATACCCCAGTCTGCCATAGTTTGCCTTAATACTAGGGCTGGGATGGGTAACCCAGATACCTGGGTCGGGTGGGTTATGATATTGTGACTAGTAGATTAAACAATGTAATATGTTATTCTTTCATGAATAAAAGGTTGTATTGTCTTTGAAGATTTAGACATAAATTACAGTCACCTGTTTTGAATATAATACATGGTTAAGATATTGAGAAACTCGAAATTTCAACCACCAAACTTAAGAACATATTGCCATTTCTTACAAATTTGATGTCAGGAATTAACATAATAGGTATCAGGGTAGGTTAGGGTAACAGATGGTGGGGTACCCGGGTAGAAAATTTGAACCCACCCCAGCCCTACTTAATACCCTGATGACACAGTTACTATGAGTTAGTTTCTTTCATGGCATTACATACCTGGACCAGGGGTGGAGATGGAAACATAAGTGATCATTACTGTGACATCATTTATTTTCAAGTTCTATTGTTAGGCATTGCATACATATTTGGAAGACTCCATCAAAAATCTCATCTGCTTCTAAAACTGATTGATGAATACATGCAGAGTTTGTGTTGATGTGGCATATTATGTGGAATTTTTCAGTCCTGAGGAGAAGATTCGGCAGCTGGAGAAGAAGGTCAATGAACTGATAGAGGAGAGTTGCTTCGGGAATAGTCAAGGCGAACTGGGGCTGGTGAGAGAATCTTGGTCTGGTGCCATATCTGATGTTTCTATAGGGATGTAACCATTCATCAGCACCTGCAATGTCATTGATACTTAGAGTAAAGATGATACTTGAATCGTCAGTTTCTGAGATTGGGATACAGTATGAACAGGAACAGAAACTAAATAGAACACAGCTCCATCTGGTGAAACATGAGGAACAAGTGGATATAGTAGGCAGGCCCACTGAAATCTTCAGTTTCATCAGATTTAAAAAGTCCACAAACAGTACAAAGCATGGAATTCAGATTATGTATTTCTTGATTGTTTGACTTTTGAGTTTTAAAGAGCTACAATGGTTTACAGAGATATTGGCAGTTGAAGAGCAGCTGAAGTGTATGAAACGCATCGTGTATTTATGTGTATTGTCATGCCGTTCATAATGTCGGTCTGACAGGCGTTGGAGAAAGCAAAAGAAGCTGGCAGGAAGGAACGTGTTCTCGTCCGACAGAGAGAGCAGCTTTCCATGGGAGACCAAATCAACCTTGACCTTACATATTCGGTATGTAATACTTTGTTTTGTTTTGTTAAAGTCATATTTGTTTTACTAGTTACTGGGACAGATCCTTGTTTATCGTTTAAACAAACCAGATGTGGATATGTGATTACAATATATGCAAAGTACCTCGTACATGTAGGCTGCAACTCATGAGGATGGATTGAAAGCAGTCTGTGGCTGCTGGTGTCATTGTGTGATTGTGTTGTGTCTGCAAACTTCAATCATAAGTCTGAAAGCTGCATTTAAGTTAAGCTAGAGCTATTTTGAATCTTATGAATTTGATATCAAACAAATAGTGGGGAATTGTGTGTCTTAAGAAGTTAATAATAATTATATGTAATAATGTTAATTTGTTATTAGCGACCTATTATCAAGCATTCAGTGGTATGCCATTCTCTTCCCACAGAGGTTATTTGTCATATCTTCCAACGAACCTCTGTTCTAATACGGCCATATTTCCCGGTTCTCGTAAAATCCCCTATCGGCCAAACATCGCAACACGAATTATCTCCCTTCTTTCTATCCAATCAGAACACGTGTTACATCGACTTAAATCCAACCTGACTAATACAACCAAATGTATGGCCACAAATATCCCTCATCTGCCAGGGACTTGTGTTGATGTGACAAAAAAGACATTTAATGGCTAGCTTGTCCGTTGTCAACGAGGGCGATGGAGATGCCATTGATCCGCCATAACATGACTGAGTTCTGTCTAGAAGAAACGTTTACGCATCGCGCAGGTGAAGAGATTCTAGTTTTCCTGAAGCATGCGGAAATTACCGAGGCCTTGCGAATGATCACATTTGAAACAACGTTGCTGATTGCACAACTAAATCTGATTGCAACCAATCATGAATCCTGAACACTAGCACCATGAAAGGGCCATATTAGAACAGAGGTTTGTAGGAAGATATGACAAGTAACCTCTGTGGGAAGAGAATGGTGGTATGCATGAGTTGTTGATTTAATTTTAAACATGTGTTTTTAACAGTACTAGTAGTATTTTGAATTTTGCGAGGTCCTCCACATAAATTCGGATAGTGTTTTGTACCTCTCATGTCAGTTTTAAAGGTGATATATTTTATAAAGAGCTCATGCTACCTGTTTATTGTGTTACAGGTGTTGTTCAATCTTGCTAACCAGTACGCAGCCAATGAGATGTTTGCCGAGGCTCTCAATACCTACCAGGTCATTGTCAAAAACAGGATGTTCAGCAATGCTGGTATGTACTGTATGAATGTCATCTTAAATCAAGTAGTTACCCTTGATATGTCGTGCAGTACAAAACAATGTCCCTGATCAGGCCATTATCTGGGATAGTGTATAAATTACAAATACAAAAAATTAAAAAGGAGAAAATCATAGTATATTTTCCATGTGGCATTACTATATAATACATGTAATACACCTTTCCCTGAGTTATGAGTGATATTGCAGATCTGATGTTAAAAGGGGTATTACCAGACTGTTATGTAGTATATTGCTGTCGTCTATAGGTCGGCTTAAGGTCAACATGGGGAATATATACTTCCGTCAGAAGAACTACCCAAAGGCCATCAAGTTTTATCGCATGGCCCTTGACCAGGTGCCCAACACACACAAGGAGATGAGGTATGTACAGTAACTTCTTTCAGAGGCATTTAGCATTAAGGAAGGATAACAGTCTATGGGTAAACAATTCCTTTATTAAAATGAGAGTGATGTTTGGGTGTAGGTTCTAATCTAACACACTTGTTAGATAACGGTGTTGGAACCTTCACCCAAACGTCGCTGTCACTGTTATGAAGAAGTTGTTCATCCATAGATTGTTATCCATCCTTAAATATGTACAGTGTTTGTTAGTCGGATAAAATGTATATTCCTAGCAGTGATATAATAATTACAGAAGAAGGTATTGCCAGTACTTCTGATTACCACGATTACAGTTGACACATTTCTTTGATATTGTTGAGGTGGGGCAGCCTAGTGGTTCCAGTGTTCTCTCATCATGCTGATGAAATGGGTTCGATTTCAAACATGGTGTAATGTGTAAAGCCCATTTCAGGTGTCCCCTGACTCTGCCATATTGCTAAAGTTCATTAAAACTCACTCACTGATATTCTTCTCGTAGTCCAGTCATCCAGAACTCCACAGGAGAAACTATACTCAGCAATGAGTGACATTTTGTTTATTGTTTGTCTTTCCAGGACCAACATTATGCAGAACATTGGTATTGTGTTTGTAAAGATGGGGCAGTACAATGATGCCATCACATCGTTCGAACACATCATGTCCGAGTCCCCCACTTTCAAGACTGGCTTTAATCTAATTCTGTGCTACTTCGCACTCGGGGATCGTGACAAGATGAGACGGGCATTTCAGAAACTCCTCACAGTGGATCTGAAGATAGATGATGAAGATAAATACCTACCTCATGGGGTATGTGGTGTATGGAGTTTACGGGCTATGTTTACACTCTCTGGCCAGATTATCTTTCATGATTAGAATTGGTCTTCAGCAACCCATGCTTGTCATAAGAGGTGACTAACGTGATCGGGTGTCACGCTCACTGACTTGGTTGACACATTTCATTGTATCCCAAATTCATAGATTGATGCTCATGCTTTGGATGACAAGATTGTCTGGTCCAGACTCAATTATTTACCGTCCCCTGCCATATAGCTGGAATGTTGCTGAACAATCAAGACAACAAACCAACCAACCAATCTTTCCTTGTGTGATCTTGTTTTTGGTAATGTGAAATGATGTTGTTACTTAATACAGTATATTGTCTGTCTGTCAATGTATCAGTACAATGGTGGTGCCTAAATAATATATGTTAGTACATTGATGTTGCCAAATTGAGATATGTCATTGCCTGATTGGGAAGTATCAGTACAATGATGTGATAATCTCTACAGTGATGTTGCAGGGTGTACTATTCATTTTGTTTTGTCATGGTATATACAAAAGGTCTTAGTTGAAATACTCAAATGAAATGACTTTCATCTACATTTCAAAGCAATGATAAAAAGGGCATATACTGATATGTGTTGAAGGACTAATTGTTGCTGATGGTGGTACCATCAATTATGTAGTTGAAACAAAACAAGACTGTTTATAACATGTTGTCATCGAGCACACAGTTGTTTGACCACAGTTAAGTCTGCCCATGTCCTTTAAGTAATGATGTAATCTGTAAACATGACACCTTTCTATAGGATGAAAAGCAGTACAACCTGGTGCTGGAGGTGATCAAGAATGACGCTCTCCGGCAGATAGAGAGAGAAAAGTAAGTCTTCAATACCGGTAGATAAACACTGTTGACCATTACTGATAGCTAAGGCTTGACTTTTGTTTTGCAATTTATCATCATAACTTTTACATACTTACATATTGCAATATGTCATATGATATATTGCTTACTATTCTTTCATCTGTAATTTGATATCAACCTGAAATGTAATGGAAACATCAGACTTTCCGGCATAATTTCTAGAAACTGTTGCCATGGTCAGAGCATATGGGAAGTTTGTCTCGACTTTCACTTTTTCACTTGGTAATTCATTATTTCATTTTGACTTGTCACTCATGTATACTCTTCCAACAAGCTAGAAATATGATTTTGAAATGTGCAATGTACCTGCCCTTTCCAAATATGTTGTGATACATATTCATGGGTATTTCAAGTCACAGTCTACCGGGATGCCAGTAATATCACACACCTGTGTTGACCATGGTTGTTGCAGGAAGTATGAAGCTGAACGGTGCATCAAGACTGCAGCCAAGATCATCTCTCCGGCTATAGAGGCCACCTTCTCTATTGGATATGACTGGTAAGCAGTGACATTCTTCTTCATAGAGATCGTCCTTGGGGTACATATTATGCATTTTCCACGCTGAAAATGTCCTGTGACAGTTGTATCAATGTTTTTGAATAAAAAGATTGTACAATAAATAAACTTTTTTATTTATTATACGGCCCCCACCTCGTGGAGTTACCTCCCGTTACGCATGCGCACCAACTGGGTAATCACCTAGGCCCGTATCATCATTCCTTCTGCTGTCACTCACATGTGTAAGACGTGTTAGATGTGTAGAGCAGTGCTGTATTCTCCAAGAGAACTTGAAAGAGATATGTCTGAGACACCACCTGTATGTATGGTCTTTATTTTATGTCCTTGAAAAGAACAGTAAAGCTTCGCGGTCGGTTGTTTCATAATTGTGACTTTGTATTAATTAATTTACGCTATCTTTCCCGTGGTTTACGCACATGTTGCTCTGCCATGGCGGGAAGTTTAGCGTGCCACGTGGTTGTAATATTGCGTATTGAACCAACTATTTCTTCCCGTGGTAGCCTTCACGTATTTTTCAATGTTTTATACGTGTCTATTAGCTGCTGGTCCGCTGTTAGCTACATGTTTGCGTGTTTGCTTTCAGGCGTTTTCCTCCTGTTCGCTCTGTGGGCAGAGCATTCCCAGGGCTGACCGCCATGACAAATGTATTGTCTGTCTGAAAAAAACGGACCATATCTCAGAAACCTGTGAAATATGTATGGGGTTTTCCCCCCGGGCCCAGAAGAGAAGGGTGGCGGATTTTCTCTTTTATAGAGAAATGCGGGAGGCGGGAGGGGAACTGACCCAGGTCCCCCTGTCCAAAGCCAAAAAGCCTCGTAGGCAAGGCAAAAAGTCACGCAGCCAGTCGCCTATTCACGCTCCTAGTAGCGGTTTTGACATGTCGTTAATTACGCAGATGTTCCAGCAGCACGCGGACTCGATGAGGTCCCTCGTTCATGAGACGGTTGGAGGGCTCTGGCAGGAGTTCCTCGCCCACTCTGAGCGTGGGGCGGAGAGTCTGGGGGTGGGATCGCTGAGCCCGGCTCGATCCCTCGGCCTTGAGGCGTCTGTAGATCCGTTGCCTCTGGCCTCGGGTCCGGACGCCTCGGCTGCCCCGGAGGGGGAGGCTTCGCTCGCAGGGTCCGTTGAGGATTCCTGGGGTTCCGGTCCCTGCGCCGTCCCGCCCCATGAGAGCGGAGGCACCAGTTCTGCCTGGTCTGCCTCCAGCGTCTTGGGACCGGGGTCTGTGCGAGATGGCAGGTGCCGACGCGGGGCGCTCTGTCTGCTCCTCCCTCTCTTCTGTGCCTGGTGCTAGGCCGCCCACTGGGTCGAGGTTCGGGTCCTCTTCGCGAGGTGACCCAGCCTCGGACTCGGGCTCGGGCGCCGAGTCCATGGATACTGGGGAGGTAGAGGAGCAGGAGGGTGCCTTCCGTTTTTCGTCGGCTTTGCGGGAGGTCCGGCAACGCATTGCCGAGTACCTGCCCCAGGCCGCGGTGCCTGCCAGCCGCACAGACTCCTCTGAGTTCCGCCTGCCAGGCGAGGCGTTTGCCCCTCGGCAGCCTACGCAGACGCTGCTCTGTATTCTACCATCGTTGGTCCGGGACGTGGTTGATCCCCTCTTGTCCCTTTACGCTATCTTTCCCGTGGTTTACGCACATGTTGCTCTGCCATGGCGGGAAGTTTAGCGTGCCACGTGGTTGTAATATTGCGTATTGAACCAACTGTTTCTTCCCGTGGTAGCCTTCATGTATTTTTCAATGTTTTATACGTGTCTATTAGCTGCTGGTCCGCTGTTAGCTACATGTTTGCGTGTTTGCTTTCAGGCGTTTTCCTCCTGTTCGCTCTGTGGGCAGAGCATTCCCAGGGCTGACCGCCATGACAAATGTATTGTCTGTCTGAAAAAAACGGACCATATCTCAGAAACCTGTGAAATATGTATGGGGTTTTCCCCCCGGGCCCAGAAGAGAAGGGCGGCGGATTTTCTCTTTTATAGAGAAATGCGGGAGGCGGGAGGGGAACTGACCCAGGTCCCCCCGTCCAAAGCCAAAAAGCCTCGTAGGCAAGGCAAAAAGTCACGCAGCCAGTCGCCTATTCACGCTCCTAGTAGCGGTTTTGACATGTCGTTAATTACGCAGATGTTCCAGCAGCACGCGGACTCGATGAGGTCCCTCGTTCATGAGACGGTTGGAGGGCTCCGGCAGGAGTTCCTCGCCCACTCTGAGCGTGGGGCGGAGAGTCTGGGGGTGGGATCGCCGAGCCTGGCTCGATCCCTCGGCCTTGAGGCGTCTGTAGATCCGTTGCCTCTGGCTTCGGGTCCGGACGCCTCGGCTGCCCCGGAGGGGGAGGCTTCGCTCCCAGTCCCCCTCTCGGAGTTGGCGCAGGGTCCGTTGAGGATTCCTGGGGTTCCGGTCCCTGCGCCGTCCCGCCCCATGAGAGCGGAGGCACCAGTTCTGCCTGGTCTGCCTCCAGCGTCTTGGGACCGGGGTCTGTGCGAGATGGCAGGTGCCCGCGCCAGGCGCTCTGTCTGCTCCTCCCTCTCTTCTGTGCCTGGTGCTAGGCAGCCCACTGGAGTCGAGGTTCGGGTCCTCTTCACGAGGTGACCCAGCCCTCGACTTCGGGCTTCGGGCGCCGAGTCCATGGATACTGGGGAGGTAGAGGAGCAGGAGGGTGCCTTCCGTTTTTAAAATCGGCTGCGGGAGGTCCGCAGCGCGCCGCAGTACCTGCCCCAGGCAGCGGTGCCTGCCAGCCGCTGGAGACTCCTCTGAGTTCCGCCTGCCAGGCGGCGCGCTGCCCCTCGGCAGCCCACGCAGAGCGCTGCTCTGTATTCTACCATCGTTGGTCGGGGCGTGGTTGATCCCCTCTTGTCCCTTCACGCTATCTTTCCCGTGGTTTACGCACATGTTGCTCTGCCATGGCGGGAAGTTTAGCGTGCCCGCGTGGTTGTAATATTGCGTATTGAACCAACTGTTTCTTCCCGTGGTAGCCTTCAAGTATTTTTCAATGTTTTATACGTGTCTATTAGCTGCTGGTCCGCTGTTAGCTACATGTTTGCGTGTTTGCTTTCAGGCGTTTTCCTCCTGTTCGCTCTGTGGGCAGAGCATTCCCAGGGCTGACCGCCATGACAAATGTATTGTCTGTCTGAAAAAAACGGACCATATCTCAGAAACCTGTGAAATATGTATGGGGTTTTCCCCCCGGGCCCAGAAGAGAAGGGCGGCGGATTTTCTCTTTTATAGAGAAATGCGGGAGGCGGGAGGGGAACTGACCCAGGTCCCCCTGTCCAAAGCCAAAAAGCCTTGTAGGCAAGGCAAAAAGTCACGCAGCCAGTCGCCTATTCACGCTCCTAGTAGCGGTTTTGACATGTCGTTAATTACGCAGATGTTCCAGCAGCACGCGGACTTGATGAGGTCCCTCGTTCATGAGACGGTTGGAGGGTCCCTGCGCCGTCCCGCCCCATGAGAGCGGAGGCACCAGTTCTGCCTGGTCTGCCTCCAGCGTCTTGGGACCGGGGTCTGTGCGAGATGGCAGATGCCGACGTGGGGCACTCTGTCTGCTCCTCCCTCTCTTCTGTGCCTGGTGCTAGGCCGCCCACTGGGTCGAGGTTCGGGTCCTCTTCGCGAGGAGACCCAGCCTCGGACTCGGGCTCGGGCGTCGAGTCCATGGATACTGGGGAGGTAGAGGAGCAGGAGGGTGCCTTCCGTTTTTCGTCGGCTTTGCGGGAGGTCGCGGTGCCTGCCAGCCGCACAGACTCCTCTGAGTTCCGCCTGCCAGGCGAGGCGTTTGCCCCTCGGCAGCCTACGCAGACGCTGCTCTGTATTCTACCATCGTTGGTCCAGGACGTGGTTGATCCCCTCTTGTCTGGGTCTTGCCTCCGTTTCGACTTGCCTGAGCTTGTCCGGAGGTACCAGCTGGGGGAGGATTCCCTGTTCGCTGTTCCAGTGGTGGATGAGTGCGTGTTTGCCCGATTAAGCCTTGGGGAGGCTCGGCTTCCTCGGGCAGCTCCGGCTGCTTTCGGCAAGAGCGGTTAACACCACTGTTTGCCCTCGCGGGCGACTCCCCTGCGGCATGCGTGCGGACCTACGAGGAGGTCTGCCAGAGCGCCATGCAGCAGGTGCGGTCGTCGTGGTCCATGAGGCCTACCTCTCCTCGATGCAGAGGTCGGGCCCTGGAAGCGGAGGGGCATGCTGGAGGCGTTTCTCCGCGTGTCGTGCTACTCCGTCAGTTATCCGAAGTTCAGGCACACCTGCGTCGCGCGACTCCTTGCGCGTCAGCTCGCGTCGGCGGTGATGTGCGCAGTCATGGGGATCGCCAAGCTGTGGCTGTCGGCGTCTCGGTACTTTCGGCAGCTACACAGCAGACCTTGCTGGCCCTTCCCTACCGTCTGGGGCGGCGTTGTTTCCTGGGGCCCAGCAGGTCATCACGGGAGGCTGCCGCTGCAGCTACCTCCTTCAAGGACTCTAAGGCCTTGTTGGAGCACCAGCGGGCTTCGCCCCCACTCCCGTTCCACCTTCCTCCGCCGGGGTGCAGCCTACACCCGAGTCCGCTGGCTGGCCCGGCGGCTTAGGCGGGGGTAGGCGGAGGAACAGGTCCGCCAAGGGTAAGGGCAAAGAGCAGTCCTCTTGACTAGCTCCCAGCCTTTTGGGCGGGGAGGTCTGCCCGACCTCCGTTAACCCATCAGGCTGTAGACCCAGCCGTGTGTCACTCCCAGTCAGCTCCGCTACTACGGGACCACACAGCTCTTACCCCACATCCCAGTGGGAGGCCGCCTCTCTCTATTCCTGCGGGTGGGAGAAGGCTACAAACAACACTTGGGTGCTGTCCACCATCAGTGTAGGCCATTTACCACTGTGGGGCGAGGTCCGCCCGACTTCACTGGCATCGCCGCGCTCCGGTGCCGTCATGTCAGGCAAGGGCGGACATATTAACGCGACGAAGTTCAGGCTCTGCTGGACAAGTCCGCAATCGGCGCATTCCACGGAGAGGAACAGGCGGGGATTTTACTCCACGTACTTCCTCGTCGAAGAAAGGCGGCGGGTTCCGTCCCATTCTCAACCTCAAGGGGTTGAATCGCATGCTAAAGTACCATCCTTCAAGATGGAGACACTGCTCTCGGTGATCTCCTCTGTTCAGCCCGGCGATTGGCTCACGTCAATCGACCTCAGGATCGCGTATCTGCATGTGCCCATACATCCATCGTTCAAGCAGTACCTTCCGGTTCTCTTCACGGCGGGATGTGTTACCAATTCCGCGGTGCTCCCCTTGGCATATCCACTGCCCCAGGGTGTTCACCAAGCTCATGTTAGTCCGGCTACCCTGCGCTGCTCGCAAGGAAGGCGTTGTTACCCTTACCTCGGCGACTGGTTGCTCGGCGCACTAACTCAGCCAGCGAGCCTAGATGCTACTCACCGCGGTGATAGACATTCTGGTTCGACTGGGGTGGATCATCAACCTCAAGAAATCCGACCTGGTACCCACCCAGGACTTGGTTTTCTCGGTGAGGTTCCAAACACACAAGGATCTAGTTTCCTTGTTGCCCGACCGGGTCACCAGAGTGCGGGGAGATGGTGTCTTTGTTCCTCTCCCAGCCCCAGGCACCAGCGGACTTGGCTCCGTCTACTGGGCCATATGGCGGCGGCGATCTCTGTAGTGTGGCGGTAGCGGTTGAGGATCGCCCTATACAGCAAGCTTTGGCGAGTCTGTGGGCTCACTTTCGGAGGACCTGGGCGGAGTCTCACAGTCCCGGGTGGTTGACACCTCACCTTCAGTGGTGGACCAATGTCGGGGAATCTCACCAGGGGGATCCCCTTGGAAATCGGCGCCAGCTCTTACAGTTCAGACCGATCGTCCCTCACGGGCTGGGGGTGTTCTGGGCAGTCTGTGGGTGTCGGACTCTGGTCGAAGCGAAGCCCACCTTCACATCAGCGTGTTGGAACTGAGAGCTGTCGCGGTTGGTTTTGGCTTCGAGAGCATGTCAGGGCCAGGTGGTTCGTCTTCAGTTGGACAACCAGACGGCCATGTCGTACATCCTGAAGCAAAGGCGACGCGGTGTCCTGCTCCTCCGGGAGACATGGGACTTTCTCCTCTGGTGCGACCAGTGCGATTGTCAGGTACTCCCTGTTTATCTCCGGGGCTGGAGAGCGTCGCGAGCAGGCGGCTCTCTCGCGCCGGATCCTGGCCCTTGCAGTGGATGCTTTCGACAGGCAGATATTCAGAGTTATCTCCCCAGTTATGCGGGTGCGTTCCAGGTGGATCTGTTTGCGTCCGGCGGGGCGAATCAGACACCGTGTTCTGCTCTCGAATACCCGGACCGAGGCGTTGGCTGCCGGCGCCTTCCTGCTGGATTGGGCCGGGCAAAGTGCTCTGGGCGTTCCGCCGTTACCACTCATTCCCCGTGTCCTTTCACAGCTGTCCACCCAGCCAGCTCGGCTGCTTGTGCTACTGGCACCGCTTTGGCGTCACAGAGCTGGTTTCGGTAATTCTCAGGTTTCTGGCTCAGCCTCCTGTTCTATTACCTTCTGACCGGACATTCTCACTCAGAGCGGGCCCCCACCCCAATCAAGGATTCAGTGGGTGGCAGCCTCTGTCAGGTCTAGCCTCGAGCCGCAGCGAATTCCTGCAGCAGTTGCAGACACAATTCTGGCCAGTGGAGGATTAGACAAGCGTTCAGTATGAGGATAGGTGGTCCAGCTATGCTTGATAGGTGTTCAGATAGGGGATTGCAGATCCCTTTTCTCGCGGAATAGTCCGAGTATTGGAGTTTTGCAAGCTCGTTTGGAAGAAGGCCTGGCGGCCGACCATTACGTGGCTACTCCACGCTATTTCCACTTTTCACACCCTGTCGATGGTGCTCTTCTGGGGCAGCACCCTCTCGTACTGGCGCTTTCGCTGGCGGAATGCAGTTCGACCTGCTGTCAAAGCGAACCAGCCCACCTTGGGATTTGTCAATTGTGCTTTCGATTGGCTGTCGGTCCCACTTTCTCACACCTATCGGCTATTTCCATTCAGTTGTTAACTTGGAAGGCTGTTTTCTGGTGGCGGTAACATCTGGTAGTAGAGTCGGCGATTTACATGCTATGTCGTCCGACCCGGCTGACTGTGTTTCACACTGATCGTGTCAGTATTAAGCCTCCCGGATCGTTACCGCCCGAAGGTCGATCAACGCTTTCCATGTGACAGCTCCTATCGAACTTCCACTCTTACCCAGCCTTCCACATTGGGGACCTCTGCAGCGAGCACTCACCCGTTGGATGTCCGTAAGACCCTCAAAGTCTATATCAAAAGCGAGCGCGGGGAATCGATGCGGGTACCCAGCTGTTCTGTTGTTATGGTGGCGGGAAGGCTGGTGTGCCAGTGAGCAAGCAGACTTTGTCTTGCTGGCTAGTTTAGATGTATTTGTGCGCTTATCAGGCTAAGGGCAAGCCTCCCCTGAGGGGTTGAAGGCTCACTTTCGGTCAGGGCAGTAGCGCATCAAAAGCTTTTGCATCGGCACTCCCCATTGAAGAGATCTGCTCTGCAGCTATTTGGAGCCGGCCTAGCGTTTATTCGGCATTATCAGCTCGATACACATTCCGTAATCGTCGCGAGCTTTGGCGTTCTGTTCTCTCCAGTGGACAGTGTCCTGCCACCCTGACCGAGTGAGTCTTGGTTCATTGGTTTTGTTGGGCTGCTGGTCAATACTGAGTTTTATTGACATGTCCGCTAATGGGAGCTAAATAACCTCATTTTGATCCTCTCGGAGTATTTAGGTCGGTTGTGGCGTTTTGACATTCCCCCTCACGGTGCTCACTAATCGACACAAGGTGGGTGGGGCTTTGTTTACATTTAGCACCATGTGCGACTTACTATCTGCGAACCTCTGAGGTTAGTCTTTAAGTACAATCCTCCTGTCAGTTCTCCTCCCACAATGCCTCTGCGGCGAAACTGGGACATGTGACAGGTGAGTGTTATGGCGTCTGTTACATTATTCAATTGGCGATAGCTATTTGTATGTGCTTGGACAGAATTCCCTCCTCCCTGGCCTCCGGTCTTTGGGGAGTCTGTGTTTATGCATAATATGTACCCCAAGGGCGATCTCTATGAAGAAGAATTAACCAAACCTGAAGAGGTTTTCAATTCTTCGAAGAGAGTCGATCCTTGAAAAGAACCTCCATACTCCCGCAAATTCTGTGCACTGATTTATTCAGCAGAAGGAATGATGATCACGGGCCTAGGTGATTACCCAGTTGGTGCGCATGCGCAACGGGAGGTAACTCCACGAGGTGGGGGCCGTATAATAAATAAAAAAGTTTATTTATTGTACAATCTTTTTATTCAAAAACATTGATACAACTGTCACAGGACATTTTCAGCGTGGAAAATGCATAATATGTACCCCAAGGACGACTCTCTTCGAAGAATTGAAAACCTCTTCAGGTTTGGTTAAGTTTTTATGGTAACACTTTCCCAGTCCACACAAAATATTCAATCCCAGGTGTGTGCAAGTGCAGATTACCTTTTCTGAAAATAGTCAAAATGTTCAAAGTTTTCACTTATGATGAAACAGTGACTAGCCTGAGGAAATAAGAATGGGGAAGCCTGGTGGACTAAGTGGTTCCTGCTTACACCAAGGCTCTTTGATTCCCTACCTGTGTGAGTGAGTGAGTGAGTTTAGTTTTACGCCGCACTCCGCAATATTCCAGCTATATGGCGGCGGTCTGTAAATAATCGAGTCTGGACCAGACAATCCAGTGATCAACAGCATGAGCATCGATCTGCGCAATTTGGGACCCGATGACATGTGTCAACCAAGTCAGCGAAACTGACCACCTGATCCCGTTAGTTGCCTCTTACGACAAGCATAGTCGCCTTTTATGGCAAGCACATGGGTTGCTTAAGACCTATTCTATCCCGGATCTTCACGGGTCCTACCTGTGTGAAGCTGGGTACTATAAGGTGGGTACTATGTATTATTACAAGCTGGGCTTCAGACTCTCTCAGTTATAGGACATCATTACTTGTGCTGAGAAGATCAGATTTAGGACCGTCTCGAATTGTACATGTGAGTCAGCAGACTTCCAGACAGAATGATCCCTTTTTAGACTTCATAGAAGAATTGGTCCCCATTACTATTGTTATGGAAATGGTTACATGAATGGCAAAAGCAAAACTTTACCACAGAGAAATGTTTGCATTTTAAGATGGCTATCATGTTTAGCAAATATCCATGATGAATGTTTGCATTATTCAGGTGTATTGAACAAGTGAAGAACTCACAGTACATTGACCTTTCTCATGATCTGGAGATTGACAAGGCTATCATGTTCCTCAAACAGAAGGACTTTCAGCAGGTACCTCCCACTACTCATGTTCTCGATCACATATACTTTGTTATACAAAGAACACTGTGGATATCACTGGTCAGTGTCCAGTTCACCATGTTTGTCATATGACCTGAGTGGAATACTGGCTTATTGTCGTGGCAACAAGCCGATTTCATTCAGTCTGATTTTGGCACTAAATTCATGACTATATATCAAGACATTCAAGATATTCAGACATTCAGATAATAAATGTTTGTGTGTCCAGGTATTTTGTGAAAAACAACAATTTTAAACTGACTTTTGTTTGATTACAGTTTTGCCCTTCATCTTGTCTCCATATTATGATTATATGAAGCTACATCTCTCATATTTCCAGGCTATTGAGACTCTAAAGTCATTTGAGAAGAAGGACTCAAAGGTTGCAAGTACAGCTGCTACCAATTTGTCCTTCTTGTACTTCCTGGTAAGTTCCATGCTGACCTCAAACTAGGGGAGACTACTCTGTCTGGGTGTAGGCTGGAATACTGGGGTGTGTTTACTTTTCACATGGATGTTGTAGGCTTCAGTGCATAATATTCGACAAGCCCACTGTGCCATCCATTGTAAAATGGCTTTGATGCAACTCTCAGGGATGTTTACCTTAAAGGAATTTTTCTTTTAGTGTTTGTAGTGATAATTTCTTGAAATACTTCTAATAATTGGTCTATGACAAGTATTTGAATTTAATGACTGAATGTAAATGATTGTTAGGCTGATATAAAAGTAAAGGGAATCCTATTTTGAGAATGTTGTTCAAGCAATAGCAAAATGTGAATGGTCATATCTAGCATATTCACAACATTACAAAACAATGTCCTGTTACCATGGTTACATAGGGAGAATCATGTCAAAATAACGTTTCCCTTTTAAATTGTTCCTTTACTTATTTTCATCATGAAAGAAATGAACAATAGCAATATAAATGATAGAGAATACTGGTTAGATCATGAACATTTTCACAAATTTCTTTTAAATGTGTGTAAGTCACTTATCACAAGGTATTTCTAATTTCATTCAGTTCCGATCAGTAAAGGTCACAGGTTTCACCATGTTATGCCTGATCAATGCAAATTTGATTTTTGAATTGCGATCATTTATTTGATCATTCTCTCATGCCCATGTTTTTCATTGCATGTGCCAGCACAAGGAGGTATATTAACATTCCACATATCTCATCTTATTTCCTCTGCAGATCTTCAACTTATACCAGCTTCCATGCTTACTTATATAGTTTTAAGTTCTGGATGTTAATGTTTCCTTCTCTCTGTCTTCTTTTCCCCCCAAGTATTTTTGGTGGTAAAAGTGGTGCATCTGTTTTTGTTTGCATTTTCCTAATTCCAAGTGGTGAATCTTGTGATTATTTTGTTTGTGCTTGGGTGTGTGTTTGCGTGGTTGCATGTGTGCGTGTGTGCTTGTGTTCATGTGTGCATGTGCGCCTGCATGTTCTGGTGTGTGTTGGTGCGTGTTAATGGGTGAATGTGTGTTAGTGTATAAGTGTGTTTAATTTTACTGCTGCACTAAGCAATATTCCAGCCATGTGACAGTCGCGTCGTGAATGATCTGGACCAGACAATCCAGTGATTGATATTATGAGCAACAGATGATGCCTCAGTAAACCAGATCACCTACCATAGCTTTGTTTTAATGGGTTCAAGTGGACTTATGCTACATTAACCAGGTAGTGTTGACTTTAATCAAGTTTCCAAATGTTTTAAAAATTTAAGAATGGTAAAACTTTATCTTAATGACAATTTTGTTCTGGCAACAGCATCTGTTCTATTCCATTATTCTGATTTGATAACCAGACTAACACACTGCTCGCGTTTCCGCACTAAATATGTGAGTGAGTGAGTGAGTTTAAGTTTACGCCACACTCAGCAATAATCCAGCTATATGGCGGCGGTCTGTAAATAATCTGGACCAGACAATCCAGTGATCAACAGCATGAGCATCGATCTACGTAATTTGAATATGATGACGTGTCAACCAAGTCAGCAAGCCTGACTACCCGATCCTGTTAGTCGCCCCTTACGACAAGCTTGGGTTATTGAAGATCAATTCTAACCTGGATCTTCACGGATCACTAAATATGTGGTCAGCACGTTCTCTGCATGGTATAGTTTCCGTTTCTGTCATGTGTAGCAGTAGTAGTATTGTTGTCCACCTAGTGGTAGGTACAAGAACTACTTTCACATTGTATTTTAGATTTTATTATCAGCACATATACATAGCCTCATTTTATACAGCACCCAAATCCTCTTTGTTTGGTGGGTAGCATGACAGCAACAATAGACTGAACAACGTTGTCACACCCTGTTTCTATGATACAAGCATTCCATTGTGAGGTCATTATCAATACAATGCAAAACTTGTACAAAATATGGATGTAACATTGTATGAAATATATTGTAAAATACTCTTTTCTTAAAAATTGTACACACGGTCTCAGATGTATTTTCTCTCCAGTGATGCAATTCATCTCTTAACACAAGTAGACTGACTAGTGCAGATTTCTTCATGTATTGTGAAGAAAGACCGTTTCTTTTCACATCCAAGATTATTCCCTTCATAAATACACTGTTTGGAGACCAATCTTGTTGCCCCGCCTTCATTTGGCTTGAATATTGCTGAAATCATGTTAGAACCAAATTGACACTCCGATTCCGCTGTAACAGACATCATGACCTTTACCCTGTATTACTTTCATATCACACACGTCTCCAGAGCACAGCTAGGTTGGAAACCGGTCCATTTGTTGCATTCAGTTTTGGTGTAAGACAATGTGTTAAAGTCTTGACTTTTTCCATGATGCACAGACTCAATGTTTTGTCTCAACAAGAATGAATACATTTTACATGACTTGTTTTATGACATCATGCATAATGTTAATAAATTTGACAGTAGAAGTAGCTTTATAATGTATTATACTGCAAACATGTATGTTAATTTGGGCAATGATTCTAGGTGCTACCAGTTACCTATCACAAGTTGTATTTTGGTTTATGTGTTTAATATTTACTTCCCATTTCCAGGAGACAGATCTGGCCCAAGCGGATAAGTATGCCGAGGTTGCCATGACAGCAGACAGATACAACCCTGCAGGTTTGTTGATACTAGAACCATTGCAGCTGCTTTGTGCCTACCTTATCATGTTTCCGCATACACTTAAGTTGTTTTAATGTAACTGTGAAATCCTATTGCTATGATTATTGGCATAAATCCGTTTTGAAACTATAGCAGATTACCATGATTTTGATTATATTGTGAAAAAATGTCGGGAAAAAAAAAAATGACTCTATACTGGGTTGATCTTAATTCCTAACCTGTTCAATGCTGTATCTTTAGGAGATATGGGTAATCTTGTGCAAGTTTGGTGCAGAGTTGCAACCCTTTGTGCGTCAGGATCTGCTGAGTCCAGTAAGAACATATGTATATCACTGCTGTGTTGTAGCCCTGGTAAACAAGGGGAATGTGCTGTTTGCCAAGCGAGACTACGAGAAGGCAAGAGAATTCTACAAGGAGGCCTTGTCCAACGATTCATCATGTGTTGAGGCCCTGTATAATCTGGGTGAGAAATCATTGAGTTTACCTTTCTGTTTCATTCATATGAAGGATTAAATCTAGGAATTGTCCTTTTCATCAAATAAATAAAACCCAATGGCAGCAGATGCAAAATTTGTTTAGATATAAATCTGGTGTGGTTGTGGTTGGATGACATACCAGATAACCATTCTTTTGATGAATTGTCCTTTTTCATCAAATAAATAAAACCCTAAATTTCCAATGGCAGCAGATGCAGAATTTGTTAAGATATAAATCTGGTGTGGTTGTGGTTGGATGACATACCAGATAACCATTCTTTTGATATTAAGGAGGAATGGTCTAGATACTGTGGATCCATCCAATGGATCTACCTCAACTTTGTCTTGTTTTGTCTTAGAACTGTGAACTAAATCAAGTACGGAGGTATTCTACTCTGTGGGTATTCTGTGTGAGAACTGAGCTCTGTGTATTCAGAAGGCTTCGCTGTTCCATCCAAGACATCCAAGTGGATTTGGTTGTTGGACTCGGTCTTCATTTATGTTGCATAGGTCATTGCTCTTCTTGATACATTTGTTGCATAGGTCATTGCTCAATTCTGGATTTACTGGTCCAGACTCAATGATTTACAGGCTGCAGTATGTAGCTGGAACACACCAAGACATGCTACAATTTGTTGACAGTTTTGACAAGTTTGTTGTTTATTCCCTGCTGCCAGGTCTGCTGCCAGGTCTGAGTAACAAGCGTCTGGGTCGACTAGAGGACGCCCTGGACTGCTTCTACAAGCTGCACGCCATCCTGCGCAACAGTCCGCAGGTCATGTACCAGATTGCCGACATGTATCCTTGTGTTATAACCTCATTGCTAGTGGAGATCTCATGGGCCTTCAGTGCCCCAGTTTAGACAGCTAAAGGGATAGAGTGGCTTGACGACTTGGTGAATGCACATCATCTTATACCAGTTGCATAGATTGCTCATGATGTCAATCACTAGACTGTTGTCTTGGAATCACTTGATTCGGATGATGGTCCTGTTTCCTTACATGTAAATAGTTACATCACTGTGGCAAGACAAGTTTGTTTCACATGAAATGCATGCTATTTTAGTGACAGATTGAGTAAAGTAAAGTAAGACGTTTGATCAAAGTTGATACTTTAAGGATTTGCAAGCACCAGTAGACATCCTCAAGCTTTGATTGTTTAGCTGAGTACAATCCCTGACAACTGATTGACCTTAACCTTGAAGACATGACCAGCTTGATGACTCAGCTCAGGCTACTGAATGGTGAGTTACCTCCCTTACTGTCTGATCTTATAAACATATAAAAACAACAAAACAGGTTTTAGTCTATATACTTCCTGTTATGAAACTTACTTAGTTATAAACAATGTAATAATGTTTATTGCTTGGAGTTAAATTGGACAACTTAAAAGCACAGCCATAATCATGTAAAAACATTTGCTACAAAAATGATGAGTGAGTGAGTGAGTTGGGTTTTACGCCACTTTTAGCAATATTCCAGCAATATCACGGCAGGGGAACACCACAAATGGGCTTCACACTTTGTACCCTTGTGGGGAATCGAACCCGGATCTTCAGAGCGACGAGGCGAATGCTTTAACCACTAGTCTACCCCACCACCCCCAAAAATGATGATGACTGCCTTGTCTTATATAAAGATGTTACTTCTTTTTGTGAAAGACAAGAAAACAAAGACAAAGACTTGTTTATGTTATGACTACAGCACTTGTTATTAATTACAGGAGTGGGGCAGACCTTTCTAATGGACTTATGTACTGAAACTGATGCCCCTGTGCTAATGCTATAATTTGGATGACCCTCACCATGTCTTTGGACAGTTTTCTCATGACCCTGTCTGAAAAGACAAAATGAAGAGCATTTTTAGATTTAGAAATGTTCATTTTTCCATGAACCTCCCCAATATGTGTATTACTTTCTATGACACTCACCTCGTTCCCTACCATGCTTGTTGTAATCTGGTGTTCAAGCTCGCTAACTTGGTTGACACACGTCATTGTATCCCAATTGCACAGGTCAATGCTCATGCTATTGATCAACGGATTGTCTGGTCCAGACTTGATTATTTACACACTGCCGCCATATACGGTAGCTGGAACATTGCTGAATGCGGCGTTAAACAACAAACCAGCCAACCAAACAACCCAGTTTCCCAAAGCAAATCATATCAGTATGAAAGTATGAAATTATGATTGTGCTGATATTCAACCTATCTCTGTGTCAGGTTCATGCAGTTGCTTGGGGTGACGCCTTCCGACTCCAGCATCCTCGCCAGGATGGGGGAACTGTATGACAATGAGGGGGACAAGTCACAGGCTTTCCAGTACTACTATGATGTGAGTTACCTCCCTTGAGGGTGTTCCTTTGTTGTGTTAATGCATTATTTATTTACAAATGAAACAAAATAAATGTAAATAAATGGAAGACTGAATACGTCCCCAGCACCCTTTGACAAACTTCAGTGAGGATCAAGCTGATTTTTTTTTGTCAACATCGTCTTGTTTCATTTATGGTTGCAGTCCTACCGCCACGACCCGTCAAACATCCCGGTCATCGAGTGGCTTGGGGCCTACTACATTGACTCCCAGTTCTGTGAGAAGGCTATACATTACTTCGAGAGAGCAGCTATTGTACAGTACGTACAAGCTTTTGTTAATACATACACCTGTCAACATGGTCACTATACCAGGGCTCCAGATAATTTTTCAACATCAGGAGTACGTACTCCTTATTTTTTCAATATAGGAGTACTGGAAAATCTTAAGAGTACATTTAAAGTACTGACTGGAATTTCATGGTGTATCAGTAATCTTGTGTTTCGTTTCGTATATGCACCACAGTGTTGCTACTGTTGTGTAAACAGGTCAATAAACAATAATACAATACTTTTTCAGATAAATACCTCTGTAAATGATTCTAAGACCGTACACCATTGCTGTGGTGTGTATCTGTTACGTTTTCTAAATTATTTCCAACTGTATCGTGCATATGTTTTAGCCGTACATACGCCGATATGGCCCTTATCTGGAGCCCTGCTATACCAAGTCTTCCAATTACTTAAGGTGGTTTTGGTAAATGAAGGTGCCCTAATGTGATGTGCAGAGTTGCTTCCCTCAGGTCTACCAGGCTCATGATACACAATGCCATTAAGTATCATATGTTAAATTTTGTATTACCCTTTAATATTAATGCCCCATCGAGGAATCGAACCCACACTCTCAGAGTCTGGCACCAGGTCACCACTGCACAAAGTCAGAAATCTAACCCAGCAACTGGCTTCCACAAACTGGGAGTCTGACAGTGGCTAGTCTAGTTCATGTACTTTGTGTACTCCTCTGACAAGTCTTACTTGACATGGCTCCAACGGCTGGAAATTTTGATTACACAATGCTATTAAGAAAGTGGTCAAACTTAACACAGCTGTTGCTGAGTGGGTTACATCATGGTAACGTCTCAGAGCTTACCCCGAATATTCATTCAAATCAAACACTGATTTTGATCTCATCCCATAAAAATCCAGGTTAGAATTGGTCTTTTGCAACCCATGTTTGTCATAAAAGGCGACTAACAGGATCAGGTGGTCAGATTCGCTGACTTGTTGACGCATGTCACAATATCCAGATCAATGCTCATGATATCAATCGCTGGATTGTCTGGTCCCGACATGATTATTTACAGACCACCCTTATATAGCTGGAATATTGCTGAGTGAGGCGTTAATCAATAAACAAACCAAGACTTTGATTTCATTGTATGAAGAGGCATGTATAATCCTACTGATTGCTGTTCTTCAGGCCGAACCAGGTCAAGTGGCAGCTGATGATTGCAAGCTGTCACCGACGAAGTGGAAACTATCAGCAAGCCTTGGAGACATACAAACAAATACATCGCAAGTTCCCAGATAATGTGGAATGTAAGGATGATGAACAATTGAACTGTTATAATTGTTAGGATGTACCCAGTGTTGTAGGAGCCAAACAAGTTTGCATTCGTTGGTTACAGAGTGTGACCTAGTTGATAGTATACTATCACCTGTTAATTGATGTTCATGGGTTTGGACTGGTTTGTTTACGTGTGTTTATGATACAAAACATTCATTCAATGTGGAGAAGAAACAGAATTTCGATTCTGATGTGCATCCATATTTGAAAAAGAGGCTTCTACCCACATTAACTTTTCAAAAATCATTGCCAAAATTGTCATTATGTTATGACCGGAAATTATTTTGAACAGAGCTACCTCCCTTAGCTTTGTGTTGATGTTCTGGTTTGTTCAAACCCCAGATGCTGTTTTTGACAACTGGATGGTGGTTTAATGATATTTGTAAACAGCCTGTCACACTTTGGGCTTTCCTCCAATATTTATTGAGCTGATATGATGTGATAGAACCATTTCCTCGTATTACAATAACATGTCTGTGACGCAGGCCTCAAGTTCCTGGTGCGGCTGTGTACAGACATGGGGCTGAAGGAAGCTCAGGACTACGCCACCAAGTTGAAGAAGGCCGAGAAGGCCAAGGAGCTGCGAGATCAGGTGAGATGAGACCTCTCTAGAGTGTCATTTACCTACCTCTGTAGAGAGATCTCTGTCTTTAGAGGACACCTCTACAGAGTGACCAGTTTGTACATGATGCCATCGTCAGAAGAGGAGTAGACTTATCTGTACAGGAGTTGCTTGCCTGCAGGTTATTTGGATGTTTGATGCAGGAATTTAAAATAATACCATTTAACATTACCCATGCAGATCTGGGTTAGAAATGGTCCTTTGCAACCCATAAGGGTGAGAAGCGACTAACAAGATCAACTGGTCAGGCACGCTGAATTAGTTGTCACATGTCTCCCAGTTGTGTAGATGAATGTTCATGATGTTGATCACTGGATTGTCTGGTCCATTATTTACAGAACAAGGCCATATAGCTTGAATATTGCTGAGTGTGACTTTAAACAACAAACCATTTAACATAATACTATGGTATTTTGTGTTGTTGGTTTGCAGATGTTAATTATCACAAACATTTCGGTGAGGGAGGCTGGTTAGATGCTGTATCTACTTGTGAATGATGCATTCAATGAGTATTTATGACAATCTATACCCGTGAAGGTCCGGGTTAGAATGAGCCTTCAGTAACTTATGCTTGTCATAAGAGGCCACTAATGGGATCGGGTGGTCAGGCTCGCTGGCCTGGTTGACACATGTCATCGGTTCCCAATCGATGCTCATGCCGTTGATGACTGGATTGTCTGGTCCAGACTCCATTATTTACAGACAGCTGCCATATAGCTGGAATATTGCTGAGTGCGGCGTAAAACTAAACTCACTCACTCACTATGACAATCTATATTACAGCGAGCTACAAGCGGTACACGGAGAGGCAGTGGTCGTGGACGACGAGAAGGTAGTGCAGGGAGTGGTGAGTGTGTCTCACTCGAAACTCTGTATATGATTTAGATGTGAGGACATTGTCCTGTTTACACTGGAGCGGTGGGGTATCCTAATGCTTAAAGTGACCACTCATCACACTGAAGACCCAGGTTGATCCCCCACATGGGTACATTCTGTGAAGCCCATTTCTGGTGTCCGCTGCCATGATGCTGGAATATTGCTGAAAGCGGCTTAAAATAAACCCACTCACTCCTGTTTATACCATACTCCTGTCAGTCACAAGATATGAAGGGTAGTTATTTTTGAATCCTTGTGAATACATGTCCAAGTTGGAATTCCAGGATGGAATAGGTCCATGGCTCTCTGTTTATTGCAAGAGATCGTGTGGGTACACTTATGATCTAGTATAATTGTGTCCATTTGCATGGCTTTTAGTTTAGAAAAAAATGTCCCTAAGTGTCCTGAAAGCAAATGCTTACAATTTAATGTGTACAAAGACTTCTGATGATCATATGTAATGATGTTTCGTCTGCAGATCGTGAAGGTAGTGGTAGTGGTCATCGCAAGGAAAAGGGCCGACAGCGTGGGGACAGAAAACGTCCAACATTTGATGAGGAAGAAGAAAATCCTTACCAGTCTGGTCAGAAACAAGATATAGGTTTGTTGGTCTTCACATGTTTTGGGAGAAGAAAACTCATTACTCATGTGATCTCATGTCAAGTTAAACAATGATGGGAATTTGTTTAGAGTTATCATGCAGGAATGATGAGTTGATGTAAGTTTTATCAAGCATTCTGATATTATTGTGTAATTTGTGTTTAGATGCTACATATAGCGACCCCCTGGGCCCCCAGATGGAGCGGCCGAAGACTGCTGCCCGGCGCAAGGATGCGATGGAAGATGAGTTTGGTGATGAAGAACTGGGAGATGACATGTTGCCAGACTAGACTCAGGCTACCCACACTTGCACCTGTTACAGGAGAAAGCTGTCACTTTCATACCACTCTGATTTGGAAGAATTGTGGATATTATCTTGCTTGTAAAGATCTACACATTTATAGATATGACTGTGTTTATGAATGCATTGACATTTGTGTAACGAAAGATTAACCTAAAATAATATCAGTTACAAGTAAGCATTTGATATTGTTTTGAAGATGCTCTCTCAGGTTCTTAGCAGCTGAAGCTTGCTGATGCATTGATCACTTCTTATTGTCTCACTGTTATCCCCAAGCTTCAAACGCATACACAATAACATAAACATTAAGACATAGTCTAGGTTGAGTCGCCTTTCCATGTCAGGAAAATGCTGTGTTTAAAAACTACGGCCTCTTAGCCAGTGTATGGAATAAGGCCCGTCCGACCGCCTGAAGTTACCAGCCCTGATGTCTGGCTGGGGTTTTGGCTTACTTCATACTCTGCTCTTAGCACACGTTTTCAAACATGAACACACAATGCACAAGCTGCTCATTTTATGGGTGATATTTTGTATCAGAGTGCCAGATTTCTCCTTGAACACTTCCGTCCATTGTTGTAGATGAAGCAGACATTGTTTAGAATCTGTGTTTACATTCCTGTGATACTGTGATACATCTATGTACATGCTTATTGAGAAATAAATATGTATGCCACTATCAACACTGTTGTTTTAGCTCACCTGACTAAAGGTCAAATGAGTTTATGGGATTGGCTGTCTGTCCTTTGTCCATTAAAATACATCTTCTCCAAAGAAACTACTGGACCAGGGACATTTTCACATACTTCTTCCGTCTGTGAAGATCTGTGTTAGAATTGGTCTTCAGCAACCCACACTTGTAATAAAAGGCAACTAACGGGATCGGGTGGTCAGGCTCGCTGACTTGGTTGACACATGTCATCATATCCCAATTGGGTAGATCAATGCTCGTGCTGTTGATTAGTGGATTGTCAGGTCCAGACTTGATTATTTACAGACCGCCGCCATATAGCTGGAATATTGCTGAGTGCAGCGTTAAACAACAAACCAAATGCATCCAGCTCATTCAACTCTGATTGTCGATATGGCTGCCACATTAAGTTTATTGAAAACCTTACTGAAATTTACTGTAGATTTTAGTGTTAAGTTTTTAGTTCTCTGTACTACTACTGTGCCGAAATATTTTGAATGTCAATGTAGATCGCAACTTTAAAAAACAAACAAACAAGTTTTGGATTGTCTTTGTTGCCATGTTTGACTACATATACAGGTGTACTTCATGTACTTTGGCACTAGATCTGTTTAATACCACGTTCTGGTTTCTATGTAGAAGCATGGGAAAAGATGCTGTAACGGAGACACAAAGCAGACTTCCATGATGAAACGTTAGTGGTGTCATAACAACATTTATGAGTGATTGAATAAATGTTTTAAAATGATGCAGTCAATGCTAAAAATCTTGCCAGCCTTTAAGAATGAGTCTGTGCCAGACTCACCTGTGGCTGAAAACGTGGAATCTTATCAGTCCTGTCATTGCAAGTCCGTATATGTATATATGTTAGGGCAGGTTTTAGATTGAAGGAAACAGGGTCAGGGCTATATGACCCAAAAGCCGTATTGTTATACCATTGGGAATCGATAAACATCAGGGTGCCATTGTACAAAGCAACCTTAGTACTATGCCTGTCTCAAGCCTATGTTGAAGTATGGGAGTTACGGTCACCTTAGCGCTAAGATCGCTTTGTACAACGACACCCATGTATGTATTCTAGTAGAGGTTTTTGTTTACACATCCTTAAATGTCATCTCGGTCGGTCAATGTACTCAGATGGAGAATTGTACTATAAAACTATTTTTTCTTTAAAAAACACACACAAAAAACAACCCACAAAGCAAAAAATACACAAAAACGCACTTCTTTCTCCCCGTCCCAAATTGATTGATTGTAGGATGTTTGGTCATCCTAGTAACCGCCCCGTCATGCCACGTCCCCAGCCTCTCAAAATGATTCTCGAGGAATGTAAAGAACCAAATATATTGGCTGATCATTCCAATGTGTTTGCGCATGAAACATTTATGAAAATCTGCACCATGCCGGATAGATCTATCTCAAGTGACATTTATTCTGGACTAAGTTTCAAAACATCAAGCTGAATGTGGTGAAAATATACTGGACAAAAATAGTTAGGGATATATGTACATTTTGAAATTATGAATAAGGATCTATGCATTCATTGACACACTGATAAAATATAAGTCATAAAAATACCAATATCCCTAACTTATTTTATCCAGTACATGTCTACCATTTCTTCCACCGAGTAGGAACGGAAAGACGGTCAAATTTGAGACACTGCAGGGGTTGGGTAGCCTAGTGGTTAAAGCATTGGCACGCAGACGATCCGGGTTCGATTCCCCACATGGGTACAATATGTGAAGCCCATTTCTGGTGCCCCCCGCAGTGATATTGCTGGAATATTGCTAAAAGCGGCGTAAAACCCAACTCACTCACTAGTAATGCTATCCTGATTTGGACTTAGAGTCAGCCAGGTGAAAAGCTGAAGGTCATATGACCCCTTATCCATAATTGTATGTGGCAGATGAACGTAATGTTTGAATAAAAAGTGGGTGCTGACTACAAACTGTCATGATTTTGTATTGCTACTTTACCCGGAAAACTTCACACGGAAAATCAAAATCAAATGATGATAGTTGTTCAGTAAGTTATTTTATTTTAGAGACGGACGTTATGAATCTTTTTTCCAGAGTTGGTCTGATGTTTCCATTACATTCTGCGTTGAAATGAATGTTTGATTTTGAACCGATTTGGAGTTAGATTGTGATTCATCGGTATCATTTTGACCCAAACAGACTTGTAACTGGTGTTAAACAAACTAAGAATTAAGAATACACAATGCCATTTGAAAAGTGGTCAAATGTAACATATGTTGTATTTGGGATAACACTTTCTCGGTAACGTACAGATTCTGGAACTTTTGTTAGTTGAATCTCGTCCGGGATTCGAACCCACACGTACTCTTAGACTCAGGCACCTAATCGCCAGCGTACTAATTCAGCCATCTAACCCAGTCGGACGAGTCTCAACCCAACAAAATTACCAGAATCTGTACTTGACCGAGAAAATCTAATCCCAAATACAACATGTCTTAAACAAAATCCTTGTTTCCCGGAGCCACTACTGCTGAAGGGGTCGTTGTCGGCACAGGTACTACAGATACGTACCCCAGATACTCGAGTGTATGTACCCTAAACAAAGTCAAAATAAAGAAACGTACCTGGTACCCTAAAAGGCGGACGAGTCCATATTCCGCAATCCCATAACCGAAACCGTATGTAGTTGTTCCCGTTCAACTGATTCCAAGTGGTATTCATGTGCATCGCGAAATATCCGTTACTGTGTATTCTCATTACTTACATAACGCAATCAAATGTACCTAATTAATACAACAGTATGACAGTTCCGGTCAAGAATACGACACAATGGGAATGGAATCGTCCTAGGGTACGTTTCTGTATTCTCATTATGGCCAAGGTACGTTTCTGTATATACAGAAACGTACCTGGGGTACATATCTGTAGTACCCGTGCCGACAACGACCCCTTCAGCGTCACTACTCGCATCGCGGCTAATAATAGTGACAGGAGCTGCAATCACGTGACCGAATGCAGATCACGTGACCCCAGTTCAGCTTGCTTCCTACTGTGGATGAATAGCACTGTAACCGATGTGAACAGGCTTCTAGTTTGCCGTTACGTAAACACAGTAATTACTGCGCGCAGAATATAGAATAATGAAATAAAATACTTGTTGTATTTTTACTTTCATATTTCAAGGCCGGGTTCTGTGGTGTAGTGGTTATCACGTCTGCTTTACACGCAGAAGGTCGCGAGTTCGAACCTCGCCAGAACCTCTTTTCTTTTTTTTTTACTCAAAATATTTTTATGTACAACGATGGTTTTATTTATTCTAAACAATAATTATGATATGTGTTAAACTTTGTTAGCCGAACAATTGGAACTTTGAACTATTTGTATATCAGGATCGGATGCAACCTCGTCCTCGGAAGCGTCAGCGCTCCATCCCCGGGAACCAGTCGAATATTTAAATATCCGCATCATTTGTCAGATCTATATATAGGCTTGGGTTTTCCCGAATTTTAGCGCAATTTACTTTGAATGTACACTTCGGTGACGTAACCAAATAATGCTCTCACTTGTTTGAATTTGCTCTCTTCAATTCAGCCGCTTTCCCTAGGACTTTATTTGTGCCGTGCGAAGTTCTTGAACGGATATAATCTTCCAAGCGAGTTTTCAACTCTATCTCTGCCAGAGTGAGAGTTTGACCCAGCTGAAACACATACATCGCTCCATAAGAATCGTATATTCTGACGTGGAGTTTGGGGAGACTCCGTATAGAGACCTAACAGCATGGCAAACGTTCAAGGTAATTTTGTAACGGTATTTTGGCTTCATTTCTGCATTCATATACATTTTGTTACATGTGTGAATGAGCTAACGATCAACTAATTTATAATGGCGTAATGCTAAACCAGCAGAAAGAAATGACAGTGTTAGTGATACGTTATTTTTTGTGGCTCCTATTTCCTTTGCACTTGCCCTGTCACTTTTTCTCCTCTATGACGGCAGTATTTAAATGATAATGTCTGGAGCTGGCAATCCAGCGATCGACATTACATGATAAGATGCATGGAACCCCGATACCGGCAATCGACTCTGTAAAGACAAATAACTATGAAGACCAATCCCCGCGGGTTTGGAAACATGTTTATGATATTTGTTATTTCAAAGCAATTTGTTTATGTGATTTAATTTGGTTGTGACATACTCATGTGTGTCTCCCTCCCTCTCCCCCTTATAATCATTCCCAAGGAGTGCGACAAGGCTGACCATTAAGCCCGTATATATTTTTTCATGTGTTGAAATGTGTATGATTATTTAACGGCTATGGTAAGGAAATATATGGCCTGGCAATTTTCACAAATATTAGTATTTTGGTATTATAATGAATAAACGTGTTATAACATGAATATGAAAATAAACATGATAAATCAGTCTGTTAAAAGGGCAATAAATCTTGAGTGTAAAAAAGTAGGTATTGAACATATAGTAGAGATTTATTTGATGATGTGGGAATTGATTTTAGTAAGGATGCATAGAATGCAGACAACAATATCAGATCCACAAGAATATATAATATTGTACCATGCCCTGGCGGCGGTCCCTTTGACCTTACCCGTGGCCTATGTAGCTGTTACTTCATTCTAAAATGAGAGCTCGTGTCTACATTATAATTTTTCATGGCCTGAGTAAAGTGTATAGTTTTGTTATAGGGACCAATTCAGGACAGCCATCGTCCAAATATTTAAAAAGTCCAAAACTATGTACTCAAGACATGTGAGCCTTTTTTGTAATATATATATGACGCTAAGCTGTATTTGTAATCACTACTGTATATCCTTATCACTACCGCATTGTAAATTGACTTGTCAGCCCGTTAATTATTGTATAAGACATTTATAACCTTCATTGGTAATCCCCCTTGGCCATGTCTGCTATCACATCAACTTGTCAAGGAAGTGCTATTGTTTTTCTCTCTGTCCATTGATGAGTCGTCGCCTGTCCATTGTTGTCAAAAACTGTATATATACTTAGTATGCTCACATCTAGACAGTGAAGGAGTACGAGTTCGGTATTTGGACTGTCTGTTAGGACGACCACGAGCAGGATATGCCGCTCGTAGGAAACGCCCTGGGGTTGAGCAGGTACTCCGCCGATTGAGTTTCCATAACCTCAGCAGCTTGCGAAAAAAATGTGTCTTCGATTGTATCAACCCATTCCAGTCTATTATTGTCAACTTCGTCAATTATTTGTGACCATGTAAGGTCACCGCGGCGGTGTGACACAGAATGATTTCAAATTCAAACATCCCGCGCTGATTTTGAAAACACGCAATGTGGGCATGGAACAAAGCAGTTACGCTATCCAATCACGCGAGCCCATCGTCTATCTGGACAAACCTCTCGTTTTTAGATAGCGTAACTACTGCATGCCATCGATTCAGCTGAGAAATATACAGAACAATATCAGAAGTGACGCCTCTTGAGGCCTAGGTCACGTCATAGGGTCCCCACGTGACCTTAGGCCCGTTCCCTTGGAAAATCCCGTGACGTCATAGCGTCCCCACGTGACCGAATATCATAGCGTCACCAGAAGACCCACACCTCCTTTACGTCATGAAATTTTACCAGTGACGTGATAGCGTCCTCACGTGAGCCCCACCCCTTTTCGTCATGGAAATTCAAACATACCGCGCTGATTTTGAAAACACGCAATGTGGGATGGTACAAAGCAGTGACGCTATCCAATCACGCGAGCCCATCGTCTATCTGGACAAACCTCTCGTTTTTAGATAGCGTAACTACTACATGCCATCGATTCAGCTGAGAAATATACAGAACAATATCAGAAGTGACGCCTCTTGAGGCCTAGGTCACGTCATAGCGTCCCCACGTGACCGGAGGCCCATTCCCTTGGAAAATCCCGTGACGTCATAGCGTCCCCACGTGACCGGAAACCCCACCCTTTAGCGTCACGGAAAATCCCGTGACGTCATACCGTCCCCACGTGACCGGAAAAATCATAGCGTCACCAGAAGCCCCACACCTCCTTTACGTCATGGAATTTTACCAGTGACGAGATAGCGTCCCCACGTGATCCCCACCCCGTTTCGTCATGGAAAATCCCGTCATGTCATAGCGTCCCCATATGATCGGAAGCCCTACACCCCCATTACGTCATGGAAAGTTACCAGTGATGTGATAGCGTCCCCACTTGAGCCCCACCCTTTTCGTGACGGAATTTTACCAGTGACGTGATAGCGTCCCAACGTGACCGCACACCCAACACATCCGGCATCCCCGATCATGGAATTTTACTCGTCACATCGTAGCGTCCCCGCGTGACCGGACGCCCCACCCATCCGTTATAGAATTTTACCCGTCCCCACGTGACCGGAAACATGTTTATGTTATTCACTATAATATTCTCTAACGTGAGAACATCACGGTTTCCATGCAAAAATGTAAATACCAGTTGAACTGTTTTTAAATTTGAAATTGTGTACCATTCAACTTACTCATCATTACACGTTCGACTTTTGAAATTGTTTACCATTCAGCTGACATATTTGTCGTTTCAACGGGTAAGTTTGCACGTTATTGTTTTAAATTGTTTAAATACAGGACTTATAATCGTGATTACACTATTAACCATTGTATCTGCCTCAAACGTTAACTCATCACCCTGCAAAATTATAAACCGTTGAATATTCTCGTCAATTAGGCTACTTCTACGTTTTTCCGTGCACATCTATGAGCACAGCAGTCGGGGTGAAATATGACATGTTAGCGTGTATTGACAAACAGTAAGAGTTCCCAGTTTTAGTACATGAGTGAATCAATTACCAATAATGTAAATACGATTGAAATGTCAGATGCGAGCTTCAGCATGGTATAACGGCGCATTCACAGCGCGTAATAATGAGGAGAATGCATTTCCTGCGAAATCGTGGGTTACAATACCAAAACAATACATGTTATGACTGACTGACTGCGTTTAGTTTTACACCGCTTTTAGCAATATTCCAGCAATATCACGGCGGGGGACACCAGAAATGGGCTTAACACATTGTGCCCATGTGGGGGAATCGAACCCGGGCGTTCGGCGTGACGAGCCAACGCTTTAACCACTAGGCTACCCCACCGCCCACATGTTATGACCTTAACGAAATGGATCGTAGGCATAGATTATATAGTTCGAAGAGACTGTCGGTGTCCCTTGATGTCCTTGAGATGTCCTCCAGAATAGTCCTACCTCCAGAATCCATGAAAAACACATTGTAAATTCCACATAAAATCCGACGTATATTAAGATTATACTATAACCCCATGCTTTTGTGATTAAATGGATTGATTAACCAACAATTCAGCATTGTATTAAATATAAGCGTCTATCAAACAGATCTCAAAACATATTGTCCGACCATCACTTATATATTCTATACTGTAAAAGGCGCACTGCTTCCGCTCCAAATTGGTCACAGTATCAATAGCCGACAACTCTCTCCGTTGTTCATCACATCAACTTCTAAATGCCACTCAAATAAGCGTACGGTTCTGTTTTGAATGCGTAAAGTAAGCTTTTATAATATCACTAGTCCATTTCTATACCTAACAGTGTTATAAGGCTATTTATGCAACATTTGTTGTATATTTGTTCACTCGCACGAGTGAGGGCATATAGATGTCTTAATTAGTGTCGGGCGACTCAGGCCTAATTCAACGTTCCTCCGCCACATCCGCCACATTCACAAGGCTTGCTGTAGCCATGGATTGCCACGCTGGGTCACCTGGTATTGTTTCTACACTGACTGGTGTGGTATACGCCATTTCCCCCTCTATGACATGCCAGATAAGCGCACCACATTACGACTTTGTCACGATAAAAACTGATTAGTGCATTTATTATGCGCTATTGTTCATCCCATGCAGTTTCTCAAATCGCCGCCTACAACACGTCATTATTACCCTGATAGCGTGATATACGATATATGCCGTGGTATAGTGCTAGTCGATAAATCTAGTTTTTCGTACTTCCATCAAGAGGGGGTGAGGTATTCGTTTATCACTTGGTTTTTCCTTGTCAGTTCACATCCATTTGTCAGGCGAGTTGTGTTAAACATCAGCGTTTGAATTTCCTAGGCATAATCGTTTATCGTTCAAATTGACGTTATTTTTATAGTTTATTGTTTCACCCGTTCAGTGTATACTTTTTAAAAAACTAGGATCAACATTCACAAAATGAAACTTAACATAAAGAAATCGTTTGTTGCACAATTGAATGGGTGTTGGTTTCCAGTCTGTCAATCAAAACTGGCGTATGCGTCAAATTTGGCCAATCAGCAGGCCGGGCGCGCTGTGTGGATTTGTCGGACTTATTTCAGGGGTCAAACGATGCCTCCGAAGCGATGTGCTTCGAATTATGCCATTTACACTCGCTATATTTATTACATATTGCTGCGATTTGATGTGTACCTTTAACAAACCATTACGGTCAAGACAACAAAAATGGAGGCGGATCAAGAAACGCGATAGGCCTAACGGTCAGTTAAATGTCTGCACCATTGTTCAGGAAACCTACGTCTGCCTGCTGATGAGAATTGTGAATGTTATTTAAAGAGGCAAGTTATACGTATGTGATTTTTTATATATTTTAGCTGGCAGATTACAACTGGCGAGTGAAAATGAGTTACATTCCCGATGAAAAAGCGTCTCGACTAGCTGCTGAGACTGTAGGAAGCGTAATTTCTTTCGAATCAATTAATCTATCTGGCAATTATTCACCTCCGTCACAGATATTAGCAGG